TTCGGGTACGGACACCCTCCGTTTCCTCTTTAGGTAAAATCGGCATGATTTTAACCCACTTCTGACAATATGTTTAGGAAACATCGGTTCGCGAGTCCAAGTTTGCCTCGGCCACTATAAAAATCCTTTTGAAGTCCCATTTCTGTTAATATAATGCTTGTACATATTTGAGACCTTCTACAATAATGCTTTTGTATCATATACCTTACTATATATTGTTATAATATATATTGTATGTCTTTAATATATAGGACTTCAACCCACAACTCTACTATTGTAATGCTTATGCATTATGGGGACTTTCTATAGTAATGGTTTAGTATCATAAACATTACTATTATATGTCTTCAATATTCCATATATTGAAGACATATAATACTTCAACCCACTACTATAGTATTGTAATGCTTATGCATCATATAGAACTTCTGTAATATTGCTTTTGTACCACAGAACTTACTATTATATATGTCTTTAATGTATAGGACTTCAACCCAACTCTACTTCAGTAATGCTTATGCATGATGAAGACCTTCTATAGTAATGGTTTATTATCATAAACATTACTATTATATGTTTTTAATATATGGGACTTCAACCCACAACTATAGTATTGTAATGCTTATGCAACATAGAGACCTTCTGTATAACGCTTTTGTATCATAAATGTTACTATAACAAGTTCCTAATATAGGACTGTACATTGTGCAACAATACTATAAGTAGTCGGTCACCCAACCACCCCATATACATATATGTAGACCCTTGGGTATGCGTCTCCGGCAGCTCCCTTATATATAAGCAATCTCTACACGAACACGCTCAATGACTTTTTGACCAAATTTTCCAATTATTTTATCTTTATTGTTTATTATTATAATATTTTCGACTGGTATTTCTATTATTTAACACAATTCGAATATTAATTTTAATAAAGTTTTTTTTAATTTTACGCACTTTGAAAGGCAATAATATTAAGTCTTTAACTTACTATGATACTTAATGTATGAAATGAATTTATTTTAACTTTATACTTATTAATGTATTTTTATTGTTTAATATAATTCTTCTGAGATAAACTTTTACGGCCTTATATAGATATTAATTATTAACATTAAAAATGGGCCGTCACATTAAGTAACTACTTCTCGCAGTTTAGAAATTGTGTAACGGAGACTAGCCATCTGTACAGTACAGGATTATAATGCCCAAGTGTATGAGCAAGCTCAGGTGCACTCTATTTCTTCACTCTCATAGTCCGATAGGGCGGTAATTCGAAACGTCCGGACATCAGGCACAGGATTTGTTTTCAGAGACACGGGGATGGAACAGCGCCAATTTTCTAACTCCGGTGTACTACTGAGAACAACGCTATGACTGATCTTGGGCCCGTAATTCGAATCCGGGACCAACAAGGCATTCAAGAAATGTGAACTGTACTATTATAGTAACTAATTCTATTTCATTGTAACTTCATACGGGATATAACTAGAGATTAATCTACAAAAAATTGCTTTATATAAATTATCGCTGTAGTGTGTAAGAAATTGAAACAAGAGATGGGCAGAAAAGCTGCATTTTCCTGATAGCAACTAAAAATAATAATAAACCGCGGCTCCTTACCTGCCTGCCAAGTGTTTTAACTATGGCAGAAAGAAAGAATGAAAATCTATTAAGGACACCAATCTTCAGCAGTGAACTTTTGTCAGTAATTAATAAATGAAAGAAAACGATATTCGAAACAATTCCCTTATACACTTATACACTTGTAACAGAAATAGATGTACATTGTATACTCTTCTCAGCGTGCCATTATCGGCCTGTGGTGACGAATTAATGGAAATACATAGTTATAAGTGTATCACAACAACCGTCACTTGAGTACTAAAGAGGTTGTATTAACACAACACTCGTGTATTAAAAAATAAATTATTATTTGATTATACAGCATTCAGCAAAATAAATCTTGATATTTTTTTCGTAACATTTAAAGATTTAAAATGTTTTACTCAATGAGTGTCACACCAGTTTGACATCGCTGAAGTGTTTTGATTAAAATGTTTTACAAGATCAAATACGTTGCAATTTGGGCCGCAATTCACTTTCATATTCGCGGCCTAAAATCTCTTCCTAAATAGAAGACAAACAGATAAATATGTATACTTTACTTCGTTACACAAGTTAAAAGGAAGTATCTATTTCGGTGTTTATGCTTTCTTACTTTGAGCATGTTTTTTTTTTTGTATTTTTAGATATTCAAAATCTTCTTATTTATAGTCATTACAAGATAAATTTTATAACAAATAATTAATATGGAAAAGTTTTTATTTATTATCAATGTGCGGCATTTCCGATCTTCGCTGAATCGATTGAACTTAAAATTAACAATTATTTACTTAAAAGTTGAATTAGCCAGGTTAACGTTAACGTTAAGCATCTTGATCCTTTCGTTAGAATGGGGACTGCAAAATGTCCAAACTAAAGTAAGAAAACAATCTCTGAGTTCGCTAACAACATATAAAAAACTAGCGACCAGCTCCGACTTCGCCAGGGTGAGATCTATCAGTGTGGCATCAATTAGATAGTTTATAATAATCGTCAATGACCATTTATTTTATTTATTTTTCCATTTTACACAAAGAATCTCCAAGTTTTCGAATAAAATAACTCATATCACTCCTCAATCAGAAGCCTCAAGAGAGCAATGCCTCTCTATCCGTTTCTTAAATTTCATCACAATCGTTTCAGCCATTTCAATGATGAAGCAGGCGGACAGACTGACAGACCGACAGACGGACAAAAAATTTACCAATATTTATTCGTGTCTTAACGGCCTGAGCTCGATAAAAGGCAGTCATTTTGAAACTAGAGACAGACACCTCAATTTTATTTATATGATTAAAGATTTAATGTATATAATATATACTTTATAACTATAACTTGATAGGTAATATTATGCCGTATATTTTTGTAATAAAGGTACTTCACATATGCGTGCTTTATGTACGTTAAAATCTTTAAATAAGTGAATTTCTTTTTAAACAGTCTAATGGCATATAAGAATTTTCTTATAAAGAAGTCCTCGAACGATCTAATCTTTAAGAGTAGATAAATACTGGGCCACGGGCTTTTCAAGAACGTAGCAAATAAAGCTGATTTATTCAGCTGCAGGGATCTAAGTTACAACTTGTTTTTTCAGATCCCACTCAAGCTCACCTGTGGTACTTTACATTTATATTTAAGAGTAGTATGAAAGTGTCTTGAAATTTCAAACGATGTTGATTATAACAATAACTACATTAACTACATAAATTGCAGCAATTGATTATATTACCTAAGATATTGAAAAAATATTTCGAAGACGAAAAGTAAACGTTAATTTGGTGCTTACAAAAATCTGGGTATTTAAACTCATGTCGACCATACAACATAGCATGTTCATAGACTAATTTTCCACTCTTACTTACAAAGTAGTCGCGGTGTGAGAATATCCACTACCCCATATCATCCTATGAGTTTCGTAAGAGGCGACAGAGGAAAAATACAGAAGATGGGCAACAGCATCTTCATATTAAGAGCTCTAATAGTAAAAACAACTGCGGTTGCCAACGCTTCTGCCAACTGCGACTGCGACTATGGTAATTATACCTATGAATTAATCTATGGGGAGGCCTATATTCTGCAACGGACTTTTGATAGACCATAATAATAATGACGGTGATAAGTTTATCGAAAAAAGATAAAGTTACAAGCTGTATACGTTCCATTAATTCGCTGCGCTACCCCAAGTTTTTACGCAGAGTTTTCATTTATCTATTCATTCATTAATTACAGCCCTTCACAAGTCCATATATCATAGTCAGGTTGAACATAGGTCTCCCCCAAGGAATGCCACAAAGCACGGTCCTTATCCTCCTGACTTCCAGCATGCCTTCCCAAGTCGTCACTCTATCTAGTGGGGGGTCGACCTACACTTTGCCCAACGGTAGAGTCTGCCACTCAAGAACCCTGCTTCCCCACCGGTTGTAGGTTCCATTTCATTCTAATGGCCGACCCATTGCCACTTTAACTTACTAATCCGTTGGGCTATATCGGTCACTCTGGTCCTCCTGCGGGTATTCTCATTTTTAAGTCAAGCGGACTTTACATATTCTCACAACATTTTATTCCTCTGACATGCAGGTATTTCCTCACGATATTCTCTTTCGCTTTGGAATCAGCACTTAAAATTGCAATTAATAATTTTATTGGTGCTGACGGGGATCGAATCCGGATTGCACACATGCTAAGAAAACTACGACTTTTTAAGTTGCTGAGCTACTGTATCTCTCAATTATTAGATATAACAGTTCATATATTCATTACAGTCTTTCGAAAGTTCACTGTTGGCTTCGCCCATACATTGCCAATTGAAGGATGTTTCTCATAGTTTCCACCATTACCTGCGAAAGGCAAGATGTCAGCCGCAGTATTATTTATTTTTTGTGTTTATATTGCAATAATTGTCATAACTAAATAACAATCAATATAAAAATGTACACTGTAACCCAAAAAACGTTGACAAAATACAAAAGTTAAAATTTCTGCAATGGAATGTTTTGTGTTTTCTATAGTACCCATGGTATGTCTTGTAATCTGCACCATGGCCTACCTTAGTGGCAAGGACATGTGCATGTGGTACGCATTTTTAATGACGGAAGTTTTAAAAGTCTTTAGACTTATCTTCCACGGAGCTACAAACTATCTTTTCAGAAAGTGCGAAAAATATAAAATTTTACGAAGCGTTTTTCTGTGTATCTACGTCAATGGAGATTATTTTAAATTTAAATAGATTGATAAAATGTATATAAAAGAAAATAATACGTATTTTATAGTTAAATATTAATGTTAACTTACAGAACTGATAAAATAATGAATAAAATCACTTGTCAACGTGTTTTGAGCACAATTTAGTAACGAAAGGAAAGCAATATTGTTTTTTTTTTTTTTGTTTTGCGCAGATGCGGGACTTACAGCATGACAATTTAAATAGTTTTGTTGGCGCCTGCATCGAGCCACCAAATATTTGCGCCTTATCTGAATATTGTACGAGGGGGAGCCTTAAAGTAAGAACAAACATTTGAAATAATGATGATATTTTTACTACTCTTTATAATCGACTTCAAACAGCGATTTATGTATTAGCAGCTATTCATGTACTTACATCGTAATCGTAAAGTAAAAAGTAACAAGCATACTTAAATTTTACTGCTGGACGTAGGGACCTGTGGCCTCCATTAATTTCTGATGTTTTTAAGGAGGTTTTCGCACTGCCTTATGCGTGATGACGGAATTCATGTCCTCGAGATTTTATTTTAATTTCTAGGATATGTGGGTGTAAATCAGCACTTGAAATCGCAATTAACATTTTTATTAAGGATAAGCTTATCTATCGCCTCGGCTAACACCGATAAACTGGTCTCACACTAACTGTACTGACTAAAAATTAAAATAAAAAATCGTGTGAAATTTTTTTTCTTAGCCTGTATATAATCAAATATATCTAAAACAGACAACTTTACATTTAAGGATATATTAGAAAATGACGACATCAAGTTGGACAACATGTTTATCGCTTCGCTCGTTGGTGATATCATCAGAGTAAGTACTTTCTCTCAACTCATTTAATAAAGTTTAACTGCATCTTAACGGTTTCAAAAGAAGATACCAATTTTATAGGTTAAAGTTTTTCCTGTTTGTATTTTTAATCCACGAAAACATATTTTAGAGTTGAAATCACTCAAGAGTTAATAAAAAACTACTTTTGAACTTTTGTAAAAAACTACTTGTGAACATTTATTTAAAATATATAAATAAACTAGCTTGCCAGGCAGACGTTGTTCTGCAATTTTCGACGACTCTTTGTCATGTTCTATTAAAAATCCTTAAATTCGCAAAAAATAAATTGTGGGTCATGGGAAAAAAACTATTATATCTCTCAAGTTGGACCAAACTGCACACGGTGTGAAAATTTGATTAAAATCGGTTAAGTAGTTTAGGAGTCCATTGCGGACTAACAACGTGACACGTAACTTATATATAATAAGATAATAAAAATGCAGGACAGGAATTAAATCAGAAATTTAAAAATTTTAGCAGACTGGTTATGTAACAGACTATGTTGTTTTCAAAGTAATTGCCTAAAGCAGTTAGGCTAACTTTCTCGCAGTAATTATTATAGTGATATAAGTAGTTCAATCAATTAGGTATGTATATACGAGGGTGGATTGAAAAGTACTCGGCCTAACACAGATCCATTCAATTCTAAAAATCAAATCTACCCACATTATTTAGTTCAGTTCAGACTAGTTCATTGTGTGAAGTTCGAAACGTGTGCGATAATTAGTTGTGATTTTATAAATTTATTAACAAAGTAATCGGACATAATTTCCGCGAATGGAGCAAATCGAGCAGCGTGCCGTCATTAAGTACCTCCATAAGAAGGGGCTATCATCAAAAGCCATCCATGATGACATGGTCAGTACATTAGGCGATTGTACTCTGTCATATTCATCCGTCAAAAAATGGATAGCAGAATTTAAGCGTGGTAGAGAGAGTGTGAAAGATGAACCCCGCTCTGGAAGGCCTTCGACGTCAACTACTGACGAAAATATTAAAAAAAGTACTTGATTTAATAATGGGAGACCGCAGATTAAAAATTAGAGAGATAGCCGAGATTATAGGCATCTCTTATGAACGAACTCAAAACATCATTGTCAACGAGTTGGGTTTCCACAAGGTGTCTGCGAGGTGGGTTCCGCGACTGCTTTCAGTTGAACAAAAAAGGACGCGATTGACTATTTCACGCGACTGTTTGGAGTTATTTGAAGCCGATGCAGATGATTTTTTGAATCGTTTTGTTACTATGGACGAAACATGGGTTCATCACTGTACACCGAAAACAAAACAACAATCAAAACAGTGGAGAAGACCTGGTTCACCACCCCCTAAAAAGGCTAAGTCGTTTTTGTCGGCAAATAAGGTGATGGCTTAAGTATTCTGGGACTCGAAAGGTGTGTTATGATTGATTATCTTGAAAGGGGTCAGACTATAAACCCTGATTACTACTGCACCTTACTACGTCGTTTACGAGAGGAAATAAAAAAAAAACGTCGAGGAATGCTCAGAAGAAAAGTCCTGTTTCATCAAGATAACGCCCGTGTTCACACGTCAGTACAGTCAATGGCTGAAATTCACAACTGTGGCTTTGAACTGTTACCGCATCCGCCGTATTCACCTGATCTGGCACCATCAGACTTCTTTCTGTTCCCTAACCTAAAAAAGCACTTGGGAGGTCAAAGATTTTCGACAAACGACGAGGTCAAAGCAGCTGTAGACGCATATTTCGACTCTAAGGAAGAATAATTTTTTTTCAACGGTCTAAATGCTTGGAAGGGGAGGTGGCAAAAGTGTATTGAGCTTGATGGTGATTATGTAGAAAAATAAAAATATAACTGATTTAGTATGTGTTTATTTTCTTGGTTAGGCCGAGTACTTTTCAATCCACCCTCGTAAGTAAAATAGTTGATTATTTCAATCAAATAATTTAATTATTCCAAACAGTGCTAGAGCCACGCGGTAGCTTTTGCTCTCGCACGGAGCCGGCTCGATGCCGGGGTGGTACCACCTCCTCACAGAATACCAGCGTAAAGTAGAAGTTTACTTCTGCGTTTCGCCTGGTAATTACAGGGCGATTACCACTCCCATTAACATGATAGCGGAATTAATTAAAACCCTACCCCAGAAAGGTACCAGCACCCCTGGTGACGGAGAATCCTTCGCTAAATATTCACGCTCAAGCTACCCTACTCTTCCTGAGCGTGGATGTTCAGGCTGCCCGTGTGTGCCCGTGTCTGGGGGTTGGGTCGAAATTCCGGGCAAGACTAAAACCACTCAGGGCAATCCGAGCAATATGACCAAAGCGACCCTTGCCACGCTATCCGTGAATTTCTGCAACATCAGGGGACTTCATTCATACCTTAACACCGTCCACTACCATCTGGAGATGTCGAAACCGGCTTTGCTTTTTCTAATCGAGACTCTGGTGTCCTTTCCGGCTGATACTTCGTACCTCTCCTAGCCCCGGCTACAAATACAATACAAATTATTACACTCCTTTGTGCCCGGGGCTAGAGTTTGCGTATACGTCAGAGAGGACATCTCTTTTCGACGCCTCGGCAGTCTGGTACGGACGAAGGTACGGACCTGTCACAACAACGACGACTATCCTCGTGTCTACGGGTACTTTTACAGGTCCCATAGCGGTAATGTTCACACAGACCGACTCATCGACCACGTCCAAGTGGTTACAGACTCCGTGCTACAATAGGGTCCATTCGCAGAGATCGTAATCCTTGGCTGAATTTCTTGGTTCCCGTTTAACCTATCATGCGGGTATATCTGTTTATGAATTTGTCTTGGTATATGGTCTGACATAACTGGTTACTTCGCCTACGCGAATCTCTGATGATGCATCTTCACTGTTGGACCTCCTTTTATTTTTTTTACATGGGAAAATGCCTAAGCATACCCGCCTCGCGTGGTCAAGGACGGGTTTTGTCGGGACTCGCACCGACTAAAACCCCATGGTGTTTCACCTTCGTCCCATATTGGCAGGGCCGCAGGAACGCTTTCGCAAATATCCGCGGCCCCTGCAGCGCTGGCTGCCCCGTGGCGGCCTTTACTCGGTAGAACCTTATCAATTAACGGAGCGGCTCCACCAGAGTCGCAGAGGACAGGGGGAGTGGAGCATCGCTATACCAGCACTCCTCTTCCTCCGCGACTCCACCTCGACTGCAGCGGTAGAAGGAGAGGGCACGCCCCTCGTAGCAGCCCACCGACACACATCTGAAGTGGGCTCGCCAAGCCAACTTGGAGTGGCGTCCTCGGGCCAGCCATGTGGGTTCCTCTTAGTTCACCGCGAGTGACCAAGCCACGGCTACTGAGCCCTCCACCTTATAAGGCAGGAAACCGTTCGAGGTCCCCTGCTGGATCTCCTGCTGACCTCTCATCCGGGCGGATATCCGGTCTCCGTCGATGCCCCTCTTGGCTCTTCTTACCATTATCTGATCCAAAATATGATACCATTTAGGCTAACATTGCGGTTGCGTTCTGCCGCCATGTTTGGCACTATGGATCGATTGATTGGGACAGCATGCGCTCTTTTTTTACATTCTACCCTTGTGTTTGATTCTCGCCGGACGATCCCTACGTTGTTGCTGATTCTGTCGCTGATTTAGTACATCTGGGAATGCAACTTTTTATTCCATCATCTGTGGTGCCTATCGGAGGTAGAACTCAGCCAAGGTTTAGTCACTCCTGTAAAATTTCATCACGCCATAAGCAAGAATGCTACCGGGCCTGGGCTCATACCTCAACGTCTCGGGATGTAAGCACCAGCGCTCTTAAAAATAAGTATAATTCTGCCTCCAGATCCTTCAAAAATGTCATTGCAGAAACAGAAACAGAAACTTTTTTATTCAATGTGGATTATAAACAATACTTATTGAAAGTCAATTTTTTCATTTACCACTGGTTCGCAAAAAAAACCTCTGTCCTGGGAAGAACCAGCAATAAACCCAGCGGGTCTATTTTTTTTTCAAATAATAGCTTACTAATCATGTTTACAATTAACAACACAAGACAAATTAGAAATAGCTTGGTAGCGATCACCCTTCCCAGGGGTTACCATCATCCATAAATTCCTTAATATTGTAATAACCCTTTTTATACAAACTTAGTTTAATAAAATTTTTGAACTTTGCGTGTGATGCCAAGGCAAAGTCAGAGCACATCGGCAGAATTGCCGAGAAACTAGTCGACTTCCTTCGGAAGCACATAAATTGTGGTCTCTCGCTAAATGCTGTCTAAGGGAACTTCTGTTATGCTATCTCTGCCATCTCTACACAAGGATAACGACTCACTGGGCCACGCCGCAAAGGAGAAAGCCGATCTGCTAGACTCTCAAATCGACTCTCGATGACGGAGGGAACACACCGCCGAACATCCCGCGGTGTAAGTGCTCCATGCGAGATGTGCTGTTTACACAGCGCTCGGTGCGCAAAGCACTCCTCTCCCTGGCCAACTAGTCGAGTAGGCCTGATATAGTTCCACCTGCTGTACTAAAAACGTTTGCTCCGGAGTTGTTACGGGTTTCAACTGCGACTCTTCCGGTACTCCTACTTCCTAGGCGTAATTCCGAACGCATGGATAATAGCTTTAGTGCACCCGATCCCTAAAAAAGGCGACCACTCAGATCCGTCCAACTACAGGCCTATCGCAATCAACTTCTTGTTCTCCAAAATAATGGAAACAATTATAAACTGCCAGCCCATGAGATACCTTGAGGATCACCAGTTGATTAGTGACCGCAGTATGGTTTCCGTCGGGGTCGATAGGCTGGTGATCTTCTGAGTTACCTAACTCATAGATGGGCGGAGCCAGTAAAATCCAAGACCTTGGTCATTAGTTTGGACATAGCGAAGGCCTTTCATCGGATTTGGCACAAAGTTTCCTTCTTATGGGCTTCCCGAGAATTTGTGGAGCACTAGTTTTCTTGCAGATTGGAACATCAAAGTCGTAGTGCTCCAAATACAAGCTTATTAATGCAAGAGTTCCACAAGGCAGCGTGCTATCACCGAAGCTGTTTCTTCTGCATATTAATGATATATAACAAACCGGTTACATTCATTGCTATGCGGACGACAGCACTGGTGATGCTTTATACACTGGCCATGCCAATATTTCTCGGGAAAACGTCACCGACTACGGGAAAATACTTTCCATATCACACCTACGGCAGTAGTTTTTAGGGCACTACGCTCGAAGTTGTTGACGAGTACGACAAATAGTCCGACTAGGTAAGTCCAACTTCGACCGAAAAGTCAATCAATACATTCAACTCGGCTGGGCAGCGCTCGGGAGACTACGACACATATTATCGTCAAAGTTTGAAAACAAGGAGCCGTGGTAGCTCAGATGGTTAACGCTCGCTGTAAATATAACGGAACGCGAGTAACCTGGGTTCGACCCCCGCCGGCACCAATGAAGTTGTTAATTGCAATTTTAAGTACTGATTTACCACTTGCTAGGCGGTGAAGGAAAACATCGTGAGGAAACCTGCATGTCTGAGGAATAAGAAAAAAAAATATTTTGAAGACATGTGAAGTTCACCAACACGCATTGGGGAAGCGCGGCGGACACTTCCTTTCCCTAAAACCCTCTTAGAAATGAGGGGAGGCCTGTGCCTAACAGTGGGACGTATATAACTTTACTTTACTTTACTTTTGAAAACAAGACTGTACAACCTGTGCATGTTGCCATTGATGACATGGCTGAGAGTCGTGGTCCTTAACTGCTGGCCGTACGAGGAAGTTAGATCGTTTAGCGCGCTATGGAGAAGTCTATTTTCAGAGTTTATCTGCGTGATATACCTACGTTCATCATCATCATCATTACAGCCCTTCACAAGTCCACTGCTGAACATAGGCCTCCCCCAAGTAATGCCACAAAGCACGGTCCTGAGCCACCTGCATCCATCGACTTCCTGCATGTCTTACCAGGTCGTCACTCCATCTAGTGGGGGGTCGCCCTACACTACGCCTACCGGTACGAGGCTGCCACTCGAGAACCTTTCTTCCCCATCGGTTATCGGTTCTTCGAGCTATATGGCCGGCCCATTGCCACTTCAGCTTACTAATCCGTTGGGCTATGTCGGTCACTCTGGTTTTACTGCGGATATCCTCATTTCTGAGTCTATCACGCAGAGAAACTCCGAGCATAGCCCTCTCCATAGCTCGCTGAGCGACCTTAAGCGTCCTCATACGGCCAGCAGTGAAGGACCACGTCTCAGATCCGTAAGTCATCACTGGCAACACGCACTGGTTGTACAAGTTTAGAGAGATTGTTTAGTTTTTAGAGATTGAGGTATACCTGACGAAAAGATATGCCGTAATTTCCCGAACGCTGCCCAGCCGAGTTGAATCCGTCGATTGACCTCTCGGTCGAAGTTGGACTTACCTAGTCGGACTATTTGTCCCAGGTAAACGTATTCGTCAACAACTTCGAGCATAGTGCTCCCAACAACTACCGGCATAGGTGTGACATGGACATTGAACATGATCTTTGTTTTGTCCATGTTCATCTTAAGACCTATCCGTTGGGAGGCACTATTGAGGTCATTGAGCATAGTGCTTAAGTCCTCCAGCGATTCTGCCATAAGGACTATATGGTCGGCAAATCGAAGGTGAGTGATGTACTCGCCATTGATGTCAATACCGTATCCTTTCCAGTCCAGTAGCTTGAAAACGTCTTCCAATGCAGCGGTGAAGAGTTTCGGGGATATAACGTCACCCTGTCTTACACCTCTCTGCAGTTGGATAGGTTTCGAGCTCTGGTTCTGTACTCGGATAGCCATCGTAGCCCTACTGTACAAACACTTCAGCACTTCGATATACCGACAGTCAACTTGGCACCGCTGAAGGGACTGTAGCACCGCCCAAATTTCGACGGAATCAAAGGCTTTCTCATAGTCCACATACGCCAGGCAAAGTGGCAGATTGTACTCTTCAGTCTTCTGTACAATCTGCCGCAGGGTATGTATGTGGTCTATGGTACTGAAGCCTTTTCGGAAACCGGCTTGTTCGGGAGGCTGGAAGTCGTCAAGTCTGCGTGCGAGACGATTCGTAATGACTCTCGAAAACAGCACGTAGACGCGGCTCAGAAGGGAAATCGGTCTGTAGTTCTTTAAGAGAGCGTTGTCGCCTTTCTTAAAGAACAAGACCACCGCACTTCTGCTCCACGCCTCTGGAGTAGTGCCACCATGGAGGACGGAATTGAAGAGCTTCTGAAGGACTTCAAGTACCGGTGTTCCACCCGCTTTCAGAAGCTCCGCTGTAATTCCATCCTCGCCTGGGGCCCTGCCGTTTTTAAGGTGCTGGAGAGCCATTCTACTCTCGCTCAGACTGACGTCCGGTATATCATCGGAATAGTGTCGGATAAGACTTGCTCTTGGATCGTTACTCACACTTGCGTGTGGCTCCAACGATGATGTGTATAGTTGCCCATAAAACCTCTCAATCTTACTCAAAATCTCAGGTGTCCCGGAAACGATGCTGCCACACTCAGTCTTCAGCTTTGAATGTTGGCTCTTTCTGGCAGACAGATCTTTGTCAAAGACTTTGGAGCCCTGGTTCCGCTCGATCGCTTTTTAATACGAGCAGTATTTAAGTTGCGTAAGTCTCGCCGTATGCATTTGGAGATCTGTCTGTTCAGTTGACTGTATGCTGTCAAATCTGTTGACGATTGCGGCCTCATATCCCGTCTAACAGCCATGAGATTAAGAGTGTGATCGGAGAGTTTTTGTGTTCTTCTGCGGCGGGTTTTGCAGAACTTAGCTCCGACCGCATGGACAGTTTCCACGAGCTTGTCGTTCATATCGTCCACTGCATTGCAATCTTCTAGGCACTGGAAGCGGTTACGTAACTCGAGCTGAAAGGTTTCGGGATTCTGGATTAGAGCACGAGGGGGGACGGAGCGTTGACTTCATTAGACGAGACCTCTCCAACTTAACGTTTAGGTTCAGTGTGCCTCTAACCATTCGGTGATCGCTGCCAGTTTTCACCCTTGCGATCACTGAGACATCACTGAACAGTTGGCGTCTGGTCGTCATAATGAAGTCAATCTCATTTTTTGTCGAACCGTCGGGGCTCGACCAGGTCCACTTCCTGTGGGGCCGCTTCCGGAAGAAAGAGTTCATCATAAAGAGTCCCTCTTTCTCCATAAAGTCGGCCAGCTGCTGGCCCCTTCGGTTCCGTTGCCCTACTCCAAATTTCCCTACCTTCAGCTCACCGCTTTCTCTTGTGCCCAGTTTTGCGTTGAAGTCTCCCATCAACACCGTGTAGTAGGTTTTGGAGGAATGTATGGCTCTGGAAATATCCTCATACATTTCCTCCATCTCCTCATCGGGATGTGCCGAGGTTGGTGCGTAAACCTGAATGACCTTCAGCGAATACCGTTTGGTGATTCTGAGTATCAGGTACGCGACCCTCGTCGACACACTCCCAATCTTCACAACGTTGTTGACGAGAGATTTGTGGACGATAAATCCGACACCTCCTTGGGACAGATGGTCGCCCTCCCGGTGATAGAACAAGTTGCCGGACTCGAGGATTGCCGTGTCCTCCCCCCTCTCTTCGGACCTCGGATAATCCAATAATATGCCAGCGCAACTTGTCTACCTCTTCTTCCAGCTCCAGTATCTTCTCGTCAGTCCTCAGGGTGCGTGCGTTATATGTTGCCAGGTCGAGTCGTCGTAGGTGGCAACCGAACCTCCACCGGAGATTCTTAGCACCCCCTGCCCCGCCGTTACCATGGTCGCCACCGTAGCCAGGAATAGCGGGGCCGCCGGGGACTGGGGGCCGTCTGTTTGTGTATTTATTCATTGGGGGGTATTTGCCATAGTTGCCACGCTTGGCGAGCGGGTTGGCAACCGCAGTTTTTTATTACGTCACAGTTGTCATCAGGAAGACGCTGCTGCCCATCTCCTGCCTGTCTCCCTCTGTCGCCTCTTACGACACCCACGGGAAGATATGGGGTAGTGGATATTCTTAACCGCCACTACACGGCTACAATGAAGATACCTACGTTACAATGAAGATATCCGTAGTAGAACGCAGAACCAGAGTAATCGACCAACGAATAAGTAAGCTGAAGTCGAAATGGGCCGGCCATATAATTTGAAGAACCAACAACCGATGGGGAAGGAAAGTTCTCGAGTTCGAATTGGAGTGACGACCGTAAGTCGAAGGTGGCTCAAGACTGTTCTTTGTGGCATCCCGTGGGGGAGCAGTAGTGGACTCGTGAAAGATTGTAATGATGATGATGATGAATGACGAGATGAGGAATGATGCAGGAAGTCGATGGATGCAGGTGGCTCAAGACTGTGCTTTGTGACATCCCGTGGGGGAGCAGTAGTGGACTCGTGAAAGATTGTAATGATGATGATGATGAATGATGAGATGAGGTGGTTGCTTCCCAGCTGTTTTTAAAATAATTTTTGTAAATATTTTGTACAACTTTTCATATTTTAAAATTAAATTTATTAAAAAGTTGGGTTTCTTGGTGGTTCTTTCCAGGACAGAGTCTATTTCCGAACCAGTAGTAAAGTAAAAAATGACTCAATAAGAATTACGTGATTTAAGTATATTGAATAAAAAAATATTTTATTTTATTTTTATTTTGAATTAATTATTGTTGGTCGTTGTTACGGGACACTTTAAATAAATTTATCATTTTCAGTTAATTATGTTAATATGTATTTTAATAATAATTTATTTTGTTCAAGGGCATGATTTTTATTCACGAATCTCCATTGCAATATCACGGAGCATTGAGGCCCTCCAATTGCCTTGTAGACGCTCGTTGGGTCGTTAAACTAGCAGACTTTGGCCTCAGAGAGTTCAGAAGAGGAGAGTTGCCACCGTCAGAACCTATTGCGTTGAGAGCCCACATTGAAGGCATGTAGAATGATTTTATATGCATTTGTTTTATAGAATTATTTAATCATTATAGTAGAAACAGTAAACACTAGATAGTCTTAGTGTTTATGTATACTCTGAGTTTAAGTTAAAGTTTAGCCTATATACTGGCACAGAGGACAGGCTTCCTCTCATTTCTGATAAGGTTAAGAAGCAAGCTAGTGTCCGCCGCGCATTTTGGCGAGCTTCGCATGTTATTGAAATATCTTTTTTCTTATTTCTCAGACATGCAGATTTCCTTACGATATTTCCTTCACCGCCGAGCTTGTGGTAAATCAGCACTTAAAATTAACAATTTCATTGGTGCTGGCAGGGATCTAACGGTTGTTGCGTAATGTAAAAGTGGGTCTATGCTAGACGAGCCGAGCACGAGCGGAGCATGAGCCGAGCACAAATTCGTGTATTGTATTCGTGTAACTTACAAGCCTCGAACGCGCCCGCTTCGAGCGTTTTGTTCGTGCTCAACTGTGCTCCGCCTATTGTCGGTTTTTTGATGAACACAGGGATTTGCATCGCGTGCATCGATTTGCATGTTGAAGGCTTGTTGTACGTCTACACTTGACACCGCGAGTAGAGCGGCTCAGCTCATGCTCAGCTCGTGCTCGGCTCCTCTAGCGTAGACCCATCTTAAAATTTACAGCGAGTGTTAACCATCTGAGCTACCACGGCTCTCTGACTGTTAAAGTGTTTTCTTAAGATGAAGTGTCAATAAAAACAAAGCAGATTTATATTTAAATTGACATTTTTATGTAATCAACGCTGATAAGTGAATAAAAGTTAAATTTTATGTCATGTTATGTTTTGACTTTTAGAAAGTGAAGTTGTAGAAGTCAACAACATGACTCTTATCCTGCGCACTTAATCTTCTTCATGAGCCCGTAAAGTCAACAGCCATTAGAGGGAGGATTTGCCATAATTGCCACGCTTCAAGGATCGGGATATTTTACGTTTATAACGTTATATCGCCGTTCGAAAGCCACATAATATTTCTGTTTTTTTTTCTTAAGCACCTCTTATTACACTCTTGGGTCTGAAGTGATGGACTTTCTAAAGCCAACAACATAAATTGTTTAAATTTATAAAACTGCTTGATTTTTCGACCAACTTGGTAATATATTGAAGACAATGTCAAGTTCTTTAACAAGTATATATATGCACAGATATGGATATGAAAGAAGCGGGAGAGGTGTGTCAGGATCGTGCCAAATGGAAGTCCGTAGTCTATGCCTACCACACTAAGTGACAGGTATGAGGGCTTGGACTTTTCTAATGACTTATAAAACTGCGTAGGTTTGCTGTATCTCTCACCGGAGCTGCTACGTGCGGCGGGCTGGGGGCCGGGGGGCGGCGCAGACCTGCACGGCTCGCCGGCCGCCGACACGTACGCGTTCGCTCTGCTGCTATACGAGCTGCACACGCGCCGCGGACCCTTCGGCCCGGACGCACCGAACCCGCCCACTCTACTGCGTCGCATCGCCGTTCATGACTCGCCGCCTTACAGGTAGGTATGTGTCTTTACGGACCGTATTATTGTTACGAGCTTAGGGTTCGTGACAAAAAACTGTCGATTAAATTACCAAAATTAACATTTTATTTACCGAATACCAATTAAGACTTAAAAAAACACTAATAATTAATCACACTAATCACTTTTAGTTCACTTTATTTCGCTCCGAAGCTTCGCTTGTATCGCTAAATTCAATATTGCCCCGATCGCGGCTTTCAACGGCTTTAAATAGGGCTCTGCCACCGAAACATCCAGAATATTCCAGGAAATACGGGCCCCGACCGACCAGGCGCAGAAATTTCGAGTGTAGGGCTTTCTAGAAAGCTTAGTTCCTCTGTTCGATAATAGATGGCGCTAGTGCCATCAACTGTGGCGCGAAACAATATTTTTGCTGTTTGGTTGCTCTAGCCAAACACTTCTATGTATACTACTAAACTGGCTCTACGGTATTAATACCGTTACCGTTACTGTTACGGCCTATCAAGAGACCACTGCTGACCATAGTCCTCCCCCATAGATTTCTCTCCCATAGGGGGGGGGGATATTTACCATAGTTGCAACGCTCGGCAGGTGGGTCAGCTACCGCAGATTTTTATTTTTAGTTTTTATTTGGAAGACGCTGCTCCCCATCTTCTGGTTTGTTTTCCTCTGACGCCTCTTACGACACCCACAGGAAGATAAGGGCTAGTGGATATTCTTAAACCGCCACTACAAAGTCAAATGCTAATTAATTGCACACTAAGTATACTATTACCCTCAGTTCTCCATAACTCATATAGTCGACTGCGAGCGCGTGATAAGACTAGTTTCTTTTAGTTTCTTATAGAATAATGGTAACAAACAATAACACAGTTCATCTGATGGTAAGGGAATGCTGTGGCTCTTAGACATCTACATTTATTCTCGGTTAAGAATGAAACCCCTGAGGACTAAAATAGAATGCCTCTATTCCAGTAAAAAGGGTCTCCGGTTCTCTACACTCACCATACGAAACACAGCAGCCTTAAGGTGAACTTTTACGCTGTTATTATGAGAGAGCGTGGTTCTACCCCGGTCGAGCCGACTCATTCGTGCTACAACTAATGTAGCTGCAGCGTGGCTCTACCACGTATAAACAACAACTCAGAAGTTTGTAACAACTCCGAAGGAACTTCTCACCTGCACTTGGTTGAGTATGTTGAGTACCATTGAATTAACGAAGCTGTGATCCGGTATATCTATTCCAAAATGCCAAATCTAAATCTCACACACACCAGTCTGTGATAGGAAGCAATATTATCTGTGCGATGTTGTTGATGCTTACTCTCCGCTCACGAACCTGCCTGTCCACCATTATAATTATTGAGCAAAACACCCATAAAATGTTAACCCAACTGGCACATTCTCGTAAAGGCTAATTACGCCGCACGAAAAAATAAACTCAAACAAAGAATGTATTGCCGTCCCTCTCAGTGAGTTTCGAATACGGCGAGCCAGTGTTTGACTGGTAATCCCTCCAGATGGTAAGTGGTGACGTTGGCCAAGGTAGTAAATCGCACTGTCTAATATAACAAAAGCATATTCACTCGGTAAGAGAAATGCTCGTAAATTACGCAGAAGATAATTTAGTGCCCCAAATGTAACTGCTGGCATAGAGTCGCTCACTCTTCCTAAGTCTAGACATTGCCAGTCAGTGTCAGACAATTTAGGAGAAGGAAAGGACGAAGCTACTCCCAACCACCTAACTCAAAAACTTTTATACACTTGTAATTTTGATGTCTAATAAAACCCCATTGAATACTTAAAATTGCAAATTTATCATAGTTCTTGAGATATTAATCTCTGAAAAGTGACATTTCACTGACTCACTCATCTAAAACTTAGACCACTTTTAGCCTACAATTGGGTTAAGATTCAAACCCAAGGACCGTAACGTAGTAGCTCCTTAGCATAAGTAGGTAATATTGATCACTGGGATTTTATTTTATTTTATACACTAGCAAAGCGTGTTCTATTTCCGCCGACACTACAGAAATAGTTAATCTGATTTTTAAGATCTTGTGGTTACCATTTATCATAGTTATATCGTAAAGAGACATCCATAAAAAAATAAAATTCTTTCTTGCACTGAAACAGCCAACGACTACACAGCCCGAATAGACGCCTCATGAATGGCGAACACTTTCTGTCAACACGTCAAACAAATACGTCTTACTTAAGGCGCTACTTCCAGCGAACGACCTTGAACGTTTGGTCTGTCGAAGCTCGCTACAATATATCGCGTAAGAAATCGCCAAAAGACGCCACCTACTGCTACGAACGTAGTATTATTTTTTCGATGTCAATGAACTATTCTATGGAAGTAGACACGGCGTACAATGATAAATGTATTTTAATTTTCTTTATTCGATATATTAGTTGCATTATATTAGAATTATGTATTCTAATATATTATCTAATTAATAAAAAAGACTATTTTGATTATTTTTAACTATATACTATACTGCTAATATTGAATTAGCTTTTTATAGTGTAAATTATAATATTTGTCGAAATATTAATTATGAATTCGAACTTTACATGCTAATGGTGCTTCATTTTTGTTATTTTCATTTACTTACATATTGAAAATATACTTGAATAGTAGGTATTATTATTTTATTTAGCTTCTGAATTTTAGGATATGTTTTACCTTGAGGTCAAATATAATTTTGAGGAGCAATAGTTATTACCTACTAATCTTTTATCTGCTATTCCTTATTTAGGAACAATATTAGTAAATTGAGTTTGAGGGAGATTTACTGTTTATAATGCTACATTTATTATTTTAATATTTACCTACTGGGTAGGTAATTATTAAAATAATAAATATAGCATTAGTAAATAAATAGATATTTTTTTTTTAAATTTTTAAAATTAAAATTTTCGTATTTTTAAAAATTACTAAAAAAAAGGGTTTGAAATAATAGATTTTATCACAAAAGAAGAGAACTTGAAAAAAAAAGGAAAAAAAAAAGCGGGACCAAAGCCAAGACGCGAACCACGGAACTCCGATATCACGCCCGACCGACATACCACCTGAGCTATAACGACCGTTAGTGATTTGTCGAAATTTACCTTCTTATATTGTAGCAGTTTTTTTATTGCCTGAAAACATGGACAAAAGGACATTTTCTAAAAATAAATCCAAGCGTTCGTCGCTAAAATCGTTGGAGCCGTATAATTTTCTCATCTGGTTCGGTTATATAAATATTTAAATATATAAAAATTATAAATTAAAATGAAAAGATAAATATACATAAATATCAATAAAATAAAATAAATACAAAATAATATTATATTATTACTGTTATTATTATTATTATAAGTTGTGGTTCGCTGAAGCTGCAACCTAATGGACCATGATCTGAAATTTTTATGAAAAGAAGTGGCTGACGTCAATTATTATTATTCTTATTATTTTTTCATTACTGCCTTTTTCAACCTCACAAGATATTTGTAACTGCAAAAAAAGAAAACTACGGATAAGTAAGTAAATCAGTAATATAGTGTTATGTATGATTCAGACTAAATAAAGGTTCCTAAAAATAGACGTAGATAAAGAAATTGCATAAAAAATTACTCAAATAAAAATGCAATAAACTTGTTAATTTTATAGGTACTTAGTAAAATATTAAAATAATAAGTTTTTTAGGATATTTATGTAAAACATAAAGGTTATATTATGTTCTAACTACGTTCACGCTTGCGCATATAAAACCGCGGAATTTCACTAGTTTTATTATCAAAATAATAATTGACAACCCTACCCTAAGTTTGCCTTGATTTTACCAACTCAAACTCGTTTTAGGAGATCAAAACATAGAGAGAAAGATAGGAGACTATTTTTTATTTAATATGGTTGGATCTTTATTTATTTGTATATTTTTTGTATTTATTTTATTTTATTGATATTTATGTATATTTATCTTTTCATTTTAATTTATATTTATAAAAACCAACCAGATGAGAAACTATACAGATACCCCAATAACAATATAATAATAATAATAATATTCCACAACTATCACACAACGCCATCTAGTCCCAAGCTAAGCAGAGCTTGTGTTATGGGTACTAGACAACTGATAAACATACTTATATATTTCTAAATACATAAATATTATAGATAAATTACACCCAGACACAGAACAAATGATCGTGCTCATCACACAAACATTTGTCCTGGGTGGGAATCGAACCCACGACCTGCAGCATAGCAGTCAGGGTCACTAACCACTAGACCAACAGGCCTGACGATAAATAAAATAAAGTCTCTAGCTCGAGAGGAGAGGAGCCGTGGTAGCTCAGATGGTTAGCGCTTGCTAAAATTTTCACAGTGTGCGAGCAAACCGGGTTCGATCCCCGCCGGCACCAATAATATTGTAATTGCAATTTTAAGTGTTGATTTACCACGTGCTCAGTGGTGAAGGAAAACATTGTGAGGAAACCTGCATGTCTGAGAAATAAGAAAAAAAATATTTTGAAGACATGCAAAGTTCGCCAACACGCAGTGATAATTCCTTTCCTAGGACCCTTTCAGAAAATAGAATAAAAATAAAAAAATAATAAATCCAAACTTCATTTAAAACCAAACATATAAATTGTAAAGTAGCTGCAGGTATCTATAACCAAGTAAAAGATATTCCTTTACTCCAACTTGTCCATGTTTCCCAAAACAATTTTTAATTAAGCTTTATATTATAATGCGGATTTTTTATATTTAAAATTTTAATAATAAAGCATTTCGTACGTCTCAGCCGAGGCGCAAATATTTTTCGGCCGCAAATTTATAAGACCGATTTGTTATTCAAACATAAACATGGTTTTTTAATTAAATCTACCAATCATAAAACGACACGCATTTTTATTGAACACTTCCTATTCAATTCACAAAGTACCTATTATATATTTGTTTATATAAAAAAATATATTTAAGTACAATCATAAAACTAAATGGAAACACAAAGTAGGAAAATGCATTGAGTTATAAAACACATAAATCAATGGGCAAATGTAAAAATGCTGGAGGCAGGCATCCCTATCGCATGTTTACGTACCGCACGGCTGTAATATTTATTTCTAAGATACGGCCGAGTTACAATATACCGTGACGTAAGCGCATCGGTTGGTAGGTACTCAAATAATATTATATTTGCGGCGAAATACGGACGCGCGGCGACCAGCGACGCGGCCACCTCGTATGAACGCATACAGCGTAATGCCGCCCGCACTCTGCGCACGCCCCTTTATCATAGAAGTCACACAATTTTCGGAATTATTTCAATTAAAAGAGAAAAAACGAACTTAAAAATTTAAATAAAACGTGGAGAATATAGATTTTTTTATTATCTATCCATTAGTGTTATCCTCAAATGATTAGAGCGTTGCGTTTAGCAACAGATGAATGTAATCAAGAATTTTAGTCATTTTTTAAAAGTTGATTTAAATGTATTTATAGCACATAAAAATAAATTAGAACGTGGAATGCGATGATAAGATATCGAACATTAATAATGTACTTTTAGATGTAGTTTATTTTTCATAACTAATGAGATAATAGAGTCTGAAAAACGCACTTTCGCAACATTTTGGTCAGGGATTCACCTTAAGAAAACAATCGCGTGATCTACTTTAGTAACGACCACCTCCCTGACCCGTGAATATCTTGCATGTGACTCGTGAATTTTCGACAAAATAAAATACAACAGACGCGCAACATGATTCCCTGCACAATATAATTGTGCGGAAATAGTAGCCAAATGTGTAAATTTCAAAAAAAAAAATGGCATAACTTTTCATAGATAAGTGAATTTTAATTTCCAAATTCATTAATTGAAATTAAATCAGAGCTCAACCAATATTTGTCACAAGCAACTCGCGTTGATTTATTCGGACATCTTCGGATATTTTCGGACTATGCATCCCTTTCTTTTCAATGAAGTTCATTGTTGCTATACTTTTCTTTAATTACCGGCACATGTAACTAGTGCTGTACCAATTAAACTATAATATTGGTACAAGTAAATATTATGCATGTTATCGTGAATGTTTTACAGACTTATACTACTATAAGAGACATAGGTGTAAGCTGAATTTTTTTAGTGAAAGCACGTTAATCCATATTTGAATTAACTGATTTAATAATCAAATCAAATTATTCAAAACTTCTTAGAAATAATTCATAATAAAATTGATATAATTTTTAATAGACAGCACTCCGCTCTCTTTACTGCTAAGACGCCATGTCGAGACAAGTAGGAAACGGAAGTGAACTTGACAGTTTAAATAACTGTTGCTATTTTACTTTTGATAGTATTCTATTATTTCAATATTGTAAAGCTTGTTTTAATAAAAAATATTCTTTAAAACAAAAAATTATATGTATTTTACTAAATACGATACCTACTTGGATAAAACGTCTTATGTATTATTTTTATTTTGTCCTAATTTATAGTAGAATATAAGTCTGGTACTGATAAAGTAGACTTGGTATCAAATTTATGAGTTAAAATTCCCAACACTATTTGCTTATTAGCAAGTGTCGCAACCTTGATTTTAACCAATTAGCGTGCATTTCAACTCGCCTCCCCCGTACCGCTTACCTCAGACTTTTCACAGACAGGTTTGAACAGACAGACAGACAGAAGTACAGACAGACAGAAGTAAATACATTATAATATAGGCGTTTATTCGGGCTGTGTAGTCATTGGAAGCAGCGCAGTGGTACTTCCTGATAACCGTTAACCGGCTTGTGCCCAACATTAGAACTGCGATCTAAATGAAACTTATCTAAATAGTTTACTTTTCATTTTTTGTTATAAATGTAATATCTTACTCTTTAAATCTAACCTACTCTTATAAGGCTACTCTTTTATATATCAAACTATGACTGTATTTGTGGCAGACCTCCTCTGGAAGCGTTAGCTGGAAGATTCGACTGCGTGCGCGAGTGTTGTGTGGAGTGTTGGGCGGAGGAGCCAACCGCAAGACCAGATTTCAAAGCCATTCGTACGAAACTGCGTCCTCTACGGAAAGGCATGTATGTAACCTATATCATTTTATTTTTACAGACTATACGGTGCTCTACTCTTTATATAAGCATGGAAATTAATCACCGCACATCATATTAATCGAATTAAATTCAGCGAACTCTTTAAGTTGTAACTCTTTAAGTACCTAATGAAAAAAAAAACTTTACAGGACATTTAAAATAACATAATATATTACTTCACAATATTTTACGTTATTGTAATGGGCTGTATTTGTAACATAATGTAGGATATTTTATCATGTATTTATGTACCTATTTTTATTATAACGTTACAGACTTACCTACCTTCTGCATATTACACATATAGCTTGTTTTTGATCTGATGTACACTTTAATTGTTATGGGAATTGTTCTTAAATTACTGTAACAATTTACCGAAGAGATAAAAACCAGTACCTATATCTATAAGCAGTAAAGAGAATTCCTGTTCAAACTCAAGAAGTAAATTTATTTCTTCAACATAAACACTCAATCGTTTGTAAAACAACTCGTAACATTTTCAAAATTTATCAAAAGGATATTTGGGCGGCAAGACATTTTTTGTAAATGGTGATAAAGCTCTAGTATAGATGGCAAAACGCACGTTTGAAGAATATTATGTTTTAACAGATCTATTGCTGTCGCGCTGTGCTTGTACAATCAACATAGACAACCGGGATATATGGCAAAATTGGCCAAATTACTATCTCGTAATCCTTGTTTTCCCCTTATAAACTACACTGTCGCCGTCATCGATTGTTTTTAAAGAAAATAAAAAAACACATAAACAGAACAATAATCATATCGTACATTCTATATAGATTGTATCGTAAAAATATTTGCTTTAGTATCATAATCCAAGGAGAAAACCGATGAACGCACGTTTGTATGGACTAAACGCATCCCAGACAATATGCTCTTTGAAGTAATAATTTAGCACTACGCTCTACCGGAATAACATTTGATGACACGTATCATTATTTCAGGAAACCAAATATTTTTGATAACATGATTGCCATGATGGAGAAATATGCGAATAATCTTGAGGCCCTCGTCGACGAGCGTACTGACCAGCTGCAGGAAGAAAAGAAGAAAACTGGTAGATATTTATTCGGACCATTTCGAGATAATCTTAACTTTGGTTTTTTGTTGTTTTTTTTAAATTCTATGTTGCCTTATGATAACGTAAAAAAAAAGTAAAGTTACAGCCTATATACGTCCCACTGCTGGGCACAGGCCTCCACTCATGTCTGAGAGGGTTTTAGGACAGGAAAGTGTCCGCCGCGCTGCCCCAATGAGTGTTGGCGAACTTCGCGTGTCTTCGGAATATTTTTTTCTCTTATTCCGCAGACATACAGGTTTCCTCACAATGTTTTCTTTCACCGCCGAGGTACACGTGGTAAATCAGCACTTAAATTGCAATTGAGAATTTCATTAGTGTCGGCGGGGATCGAACCCGGGTTACTAGCGTTCTGTTATATTTACAGCGAGCGTTAACCATCTGAGCTACCACGGCTCATATATCCTTATGATAAAATTATTAAAATTATTATTTGCCACCATATGACAAAAGAAGCACTTCATTAATTTATTTATCAAACTTCAGAGGCGCTGCTAGAGGAGATGCTGCCCGCGCCGGTCGCCGAGCAGCTGAAGCGCGGGCGCCGAGTAATGCCCGAGAGCTACGACTCCGTCACCATTTACTTCAGCGACATCGTCGGCTTCACCGCCATGTCCGCGGAGAGCACGCCGCTTCAGGTCCTTGTTAAACTATCCTTTTCGCATTCAATCAAAATAAAAGCCCTCGAAACATCGAAAACTATTTTTAAATTCGTAATAACGTATCGAGTGCTCGAAGGTGTAATGTGAAAACGCGTACATAAATATCCATTATAACTTTATTTTCAGACAAGTTTTTGTTTGCACTTTTTCGCACTGAAACCTATGAGATAGGGATTTTTATGAAAAAAACGTTTTATGAAATTTTATTAATGCAATTATGAATACATAGACTGATTTTCAGCCGACTTCAGAAAAAGGAAAGGTTCTCAATTCGGCTGTATTTTTATGTTACGAGTAGATACCTCAGAACTTTTTCTAGGTGAACCGATTTTGATTATTTTTGAAATTACTGTTAATTTTTATTCGAAAGCTGGTGCTTGTCATGCGGTTTCGTATTATTTTTATAAGATCTGGTCAGTAGTTTTTGCGTTATCCTTAATAATGCGTATTGAATTAACATCGACTACACTGATGATGTTCTCATTTTATTTATATTGAAGTCGGTTGTACAAAATTTTTAATTTTATCACTTGTGAGCAAAACATTTCGTTGTATAAAATAACTTTATCGAGGTTGTACCTGAGTAGTAGGATGTATAATTTTGAATTTTAAGTAAACCGGCTATTAATTAAAAAGAAGTCCGAGTTGAAAGATTATTTTTACTAACGCAAATTATGTTTATTTGTATTAGTGATTGACTTCAGAAGCCGATTCAATGATTTTATCAATAATATTAGACTAAAAATATACGAGCGCTGCGCTGTTTCAATTACGATTGTAGGTACTTATATTTATGTATATTTTATTTTTCAGGTGGTGGATTTTCTCAATGATCTCTACACATGTTTTGACTCTATCCTGGAAAATTTCGATGTATACAAAGTGGAAACCATAGGAGATGCTTACATGGTTGTAAGTACCTAATATTTTTGTAAATTTTATCACAAAAATCCATGTTTTTTCTTCCTTTATTAGTGTGTGTTATATGGCGTGTGAAGACAGTTTGACAGAATCTATTAAAGATCTTAGAATGAAGCGTCAAAGGTGCGAGACATATGGTACTGCGTTATCCAATCCATCCCCTAAAAGTGGCCTTTTCAGTAATTTCTTCATACAATGGAAGAGGGACATGCCCAATAATGTTCTCCTGATCGAATTTTGGTGACGCTCTATTCCCTCACTCTAGTCTGATTCGACAGTTATCCGATACTACCTATTAAAGAGCATAAGTCTGAGTATTGAGCAGGAACCATCTTGAATTTTGTACAGAATCATAAAAGACTACCGAGGACAAAGCTATGAAAATCCTTCATATATTATGTCGGGGAAATATACTGGTCTACAAGCAAAAATAAAGGAGAAATGTGAATTTAATACCTTTGTACCATGTGCGGGACATTCACTAAGCTTGGTGGGTGTCCATGCTGCTGTGTGTGTATCAGAGGCAACAAAGTTTTTTGAAATGGTTCAGAAAGTGTAAAACTTTTTTCGAGAGCCGTGCATGAAGGTCATAAACAAATATAGAAGCTTTGATGTTAATCGCCAAAGGTACAGAACATGCACGAGAAACTAGAAAATAATGGGAAAACTATACATTCATATAGTTTTCCCATTATTTTCATTCCATTAGGAAATTTGCAGCTCTATATTGAAAACAATAGACGAAAGAAGTAGTTATCTTCAGAAAGAATAACACTGATCGTTGCAACTAAATTCTTTACTTCACTTGATAATTTTATTATTAACGTCAGGGATATGTTTAGGAATTTTGCTATCTTTTTTATGTCTTCCTCGACGTCTTGATTTCCTTCTTTATATGTGTTTACAATTGAGATTTCAAAGTCTTTCATTTTAAATTTAAATGCAACAATATTTTCCTAAACATCCTAAATACCAAGCACGTTATACTAGGAGGGGACATCAATGCAAAGAGTCCCTGGTGGAGTTGCAACGTGGAGGATAGACGGGGCACAGCCGTTTTGGAAGCGTTAACCCAGCTTGAACTACACATACTGAATGCAGGAAGGACACCCACTTTCTGGGCGCGCAGAGCAAATAAAGACTACACTAGCATCGTAGACATAACCGCGTGTTCAAGCAGCCTACTACATAAAATAACCAATTGGATTGTTAATCCAGATTTTGTCACGCTTTCAAACCACAGGACAATTACATACAATATAAAAGTTGACAATTCACCAGAAGAAGGCAATCAAAGGAAATCTACGCGTATATACAACACAAGTAAGGCTAACTGGACAGACTTTTCCTCTACTCTGAAAGCGGAACTGGAATTTACAATATCACGGGGGGAAGAAGTCAGAAACACACCAAGCACACACGCTTTAGAGAACCTAGTCACCCAGTATGTTAAATGCATCCAAAATTCTTGCGACAAATCTATCCCTAAATTACCTAAAAGGATATCTACTAAAACACCATGGTGGACTAAGGAACTAGACGAGAAGAAAAAAGAGGTTATTTGGAAAAGGAGAAGGATCAGATTTGCAAATAAAAATAGAAAACAAACTATAATTGACGAATATATACAGGCTAAAACAGAATATAATAATCTTCTCACTGAAACAATCACATCAAGTTGGAAAGAATTCTGTAGTAGGCAAGATCGGAAGAGCATGTGGCAGGGCATATACAGGGTCATACGTAAATCCAACAAGAACTCAGAAGATACTCTCTTAAGGAAGACGCCGAACGGTACAATAAAGACCCCAGCAGAATCAGCAGAGATATTATCCGAAACCTTCTACCCAACGGACGACACTGAATCTGATGAACGAATACATGTTGAAATTAGACGTAATACTGAAACAAAAAGGAAGGAATGGGCAACAATAAAGACTCTATAATAGAATTCACAAATAATGAACTACAACTGATTTTCAAAACCATGAGTCCACAGAAATCACCGGGAGAGGATGGTTTAACTGCAGATATCTGCTACAAAGCCTTTATGGCCACTCCTCCGGTTCTCCTAGCTATCTTCAACAGATTCTTGGAAATCGAATACTTCCCAGGAGCTTGGAAAAGAGCAGTAATCAGAGTTATCCCTAAAGCAAACAAAAAGGATTACACCATTCCTAAATCATATAGACCTATAGGACTTCTCCCCGTTCTGGGAAAGGTCTTGGAAAAGCTGTTCGTCAATCGTCTGTCGTGGCAGCTGGGATCGGAGAACAGAATGAGTAGTCGACAGTACGGGTTCTTTGCGCAGAGAGGTACCGAAGACGCTCTATGCGATGCGCTAGAGTTTATATAGCAGGGCATAAATAACAAGGAAATAGTTGTAGTTGTCTCCATAGACATCGAAGGTGCCTTCGATAACGCCTGGTGGCCCGTCATGATCAACGAGCTTGAAAACAAAAAGTAGACAAATCCATATGCAGATTAATAAGTAGCTATCTCTCTAACAGGATTATAAAACTTACGTACGCAGGTAACGTAATTATTAGGCAAACCAATAAGAGATGTATACAGGGCTCTACCTGCGGACCACTTCTTTGGAATTTTCTACTAGACCCACTACTAAGAGAAATTGAGGAAAAAGGAACACATATTCAGGCATACGCGGACGACATTATGTTAATATCCAAAGGGAAAACAGCAAAAGAGATCGAGAATGAGCTTAACCCGATTTTAAACCGTATACTAATGTGGGGCAAGCTGCGTAAAATGAAACTGGCAGCCCATAAAAGTCAGGCCATTGTAGTAACTAAAAAAGGGGAAATTCGAGAACCCAAAACTAACACTCGACAACATCGAAATAAAATTTACTGATAATGTCACGATTCTCGGACTCACAATAGACGTCAATCTTAATTTCATAAAACACGTAGATAGAACTTTAGAAAAGGCGATACAGCTTTACAAAAAGGTGGCAAGAACAGCGAGAGCGAACTGGGGACTTAACACAGAAATTCTCAGGACAATTTATATTACTGTAGTTGAACCTTCAGTCCTTTATGCTGCAGGGGCCTGGGGGTCTGTAGCAGATAAAAAGCAAATAAAGACTAGGCTCAACAGAATAACCAGGACATTTATCATCATGATAAGTAAAGCACACCGCACATCCTCCATGGTCTCCTGTGTCACATTAGCCTTAATCCTTCCCCTGGATTTAAGAGCAAAAGAAAATGCTGAACTGTACAAAATAAAAATAGGGAAACCACTTCCGCAACTACCCGGCAGGGAGCTAGCGAAACCTGTTAGCCCATATACTCTACCTCACCCAGCAGAACGACAAAAGCTATCATACAGTTCAATCACAACCGAACACGAATTAAAATCTATGGGAAACGAATGGCTTTGTATCTACACGGATGGCAGCAAAATAGCTGGTAGAGTAGGTGCTGCCATTACCTGTTGGAAGGAAGGCCAGGAAATATACAAAGCAAGATTGAAACTAGGAAACCACTGTAGTGTGTATCAAGCAAAATTAGCTGCCATTTTGAAAGCCACAGAAGTGATACAAAGCAAACACACACTCAGGAAAGCGAACATCTTAAGTGACTCTCAATCCGCACTCGAATGTCTAACAAACCCTAATACCCTACACCCTCTTGCAGCAGAAATCTTGGATCGGATATTAGAAATAAAAAGAAATCAAGGTGAAGTGAGATTTTTTCTGGATAAAGGCACATTGCGGGATACCAGGAAATGAAAGGGCTGACGAACCAGCCAAGTCAGCTGCTGAAACTTCTAAGCAAAAACCAGCGTTCGATTGCTTCCCCCTATCATTCGCAAAGCGCCTTATCAGGGACAACACTTTGCAGAACTGGCAATAACGTTACACCACAGCGGAAACCGGACGAGTGACGAAGAAATTCTTCCCATCAGTAACTCAGGCATATAAGACCATGACGAAAGTTCATATTAATAACCTATGATGTCAGATTTTTACCGGCCATGGAGGATTTAAAGCGTATTTGCATAAGTTTAAGTTAGTGCAAAGTCCATGTTGTGATTGCGATCAAACTACACCGCAAACTATAGAGCACATATTAATCGATTGTCCCAAATATGTAGTAAGAAGATTTCGATTGCGAACGCTGCATGGGTTTTGCGCTCAATGAAGATACTCTAACAAAGGCAACGACAATGACAGTCGCATTCATTTCCTCGGATTTGCCGAGTGGTGCACGAAAAAAGGTACTAAAAGAAAATGGTTCCAAAGTGTATAATTAAAAGATTTAAAAAAAATTGAATTAAGTAGTGAGTATGATAATAAATATGTAAGAACGTCACGTTAATAATTAAGTATGCTGTATGTATTTATAGAAATAAAACTAGCTAGTATCATATTTATATTGTAACAAAACAAATAGCATATGTAATTATGAGTTAAGTTAGCTAAGCTAATATAAAATGATATATTGTTCTACCAGCAAATTGCAGTTATAATAATAACAAAAAAAATAGCATAGATAATTACTAATGTATGGCAAAGTTAACACCGAATGTTATATTACATCACTGGCTAATTACACGCTAATAAATGTAACAATAGAAATAACATAAACAATAATTACATGTATAGCCAAATTAATACAGGCATAATGATAAATTGTTAAATAGCTAGTAACTGATTTATAAGGACACATACGCGAAATACTGTAAACAATAAAATGTAAAAAAAAAATGTAAAATACTTAAAAAAATACTATATATAATTAAAAAAAAAACTCAGAAAACACACAAAAAAATAGAAGAATTACAAACACCCAGAAATAAATGGTGCTGTAAAATAAATAACAGCAGATGAATTGAGACTTCTAAAAAAAAAACGTCAGGGATAAATTTGATAACTTCGAATCGTCCACCATAGAAAGAAACCCGGGATCTGACTACAAGAACCTATCTCAAAGAACAAGATGAAACTCACGCCAGTTTTTTTATGGTTTTACGCTTTCAGTCCAACTGAATGGAGAAGAGAGATTCAAAGTAGAAACCTTTCTTCCCGTTGGGTTCTAATTGATACCCTGCGCGTTCATCTAAAACAGCGCTTAAGTTCGTATAAGAACATTAGTCAACGTTTTGGTTTATTTTGCGCTTGAAAATTCCAAAGAGTTGAGACAAAGTTGCAAAGAATTTGCTAAAATATATTATGAAAACATTAACGAGAAATAGTTGGAAATGGAATATCTGCAATTAACAGAATACTTGAATATTGTTCATCGTGAAAATGAAGGAACTAGTAGTATACTGAAAATGGATCATCTTTTGAAAGAAAACAAAATTAAAAACATATTTCCAAATGTATAAATCTCATAGAGAATATTTTTAAGCATTGTGGTCTAACTATAGTGGGAAACGCTCCTTCTTCAAATTGAAATGAATAAAAAATTAATTAAGAAGTGTTTCAAGAGAGTCCAGCCACTTTCTCGCTGATGCCCATAGAATGTGATATGCTCAAAAACGTAGATTTTGAAGAAGTTCATCTCAAATCTATAAGGATACCTTCTTTCGACATGGATTTTTGAGCACTATCCTGTGAATGCTAAAATAGTTACTTTTGTGAAATATATTATATTATCTATTAAAAATAAGTCTACGACTTTTGTTATCTACTTTCTTTATCTATTCTAACAAAATAGTGTTCTGTCAAGGTCATAGCGGCCCCATTATCCTAATGTACCCAGCGCCTCCAATAGGTTAAAGACGGCCCTGCTCATAAAAATAAAATTCGTTCTGCGCTAGTGATCAACTGGCACGACATTATAATATATTCATTATTCATTCATTACAATCCATCTAAATTCCATTTCTGAACAAAGTCCTCTCCCATAGACTGCCTCATAAAAAAGTAAACGTCCCTCTGTCGTCTTTAACGACAACTACGTAATGAAGGTAGGTAGTGGGATATCTTACGTCACCACTAATATTATATTACAATAATTTTATTTTTACAACAAATAATATAAAATAGTTGTGATATAGTTCCATCGAAATGTTATATGAGATAATCTACTTACTTTATTTTATAGAAGAAAAAATGAAAATAAAACACAAAACCCCTCAAATTTTCCTTGTAGAGGTCGTAGGTTTTAGGAACTAGTGAAAGACTATGATAAGTTTAATGGACGTAAGCGCGACTATTGATCATGAAGTACCGGGCTCGAATCCTGGTTCGGGTCAATTTTCTGTCAAGAAATTCTCAGTAGACGCCTGGAGTCCTGATTCGTAAAGTTGGCGGTGTTTCACCCCCTCGGAAAGCACGATTGGTCCTGCACTTGATTTCACTCTGAACGTATCGGATTGCTGTCCCGTCGGACATAGAGAGTACACCTAGCTTATGCACACATAGACTGGTCTAGAGGACATTAATAATTTTTTTAAGAAATATTGAAATATCTTTCATGAAAATCCGTTTTGAAACATCGCTTTTTTAATTTCGCCGTTTTGGCCAGGTTGGACAATATGTTTTGTATTTTTGACATGATTTTGAGGCACGAGAATTGATACTTTAATTGAGACTTTAAATAGTATTATGCTCAAATTCATTATCTATATTATTTAATCGAAGGGATTTTTAAAATGTTTTACATTAATCGAGATAAAAATATGTACATGTTTACGATTTAGTTTTTTTAAGCGATAACCTTTATAATACGTTTCGATAATATGAAAGACATGTTGAGTCAGATGCTTTTTGTTTGATGAAAGAAAAAACATTAACTTTTTGTCCATCGAATGTCGCACTTACGTAGTAACTTATCTAATCTGTGGCCGCAAGCTTACTTCGTGTTGGACAAATTTGCATGTAGCGGAAAAAGGAAGATATCCTCGCTTTAAAGTAAGGTAAAGTTACAGCCTAAATGCGTCTCGCTGCTAGGCACAGGGCTCCTTTCATTTCTGAGAGCTTTTATGGCAAGGAAGTGACCACCGTGCTGCCCCAATGCCTTTTAGCGAACTTCACATGTCTTTGAAATATTACTCGCCATAAGCCTAACCTGAATAAGAGGTGTGTGGGTGGCGTGCAGGTGTCGGGGCTGCCGCTGCGCAATGGCATCCAGCACGCGGGCGAGGTGGCGTCCATGGCGCTGGCGCTGCTCGCCGCCACGCGCGCCTTCCGCGTGCGCCACCGCCCCGAGCAACGCCTGCTGTTGCGCGTCGGCCTGCACTCGGGTACGCTTTTTACTTTTATATAAAATTGAAGTAACAAACGAACTCCACCTGATGCAGCTTATCAAAAGTCCACTGCTGAACACAGGCCTCTCCCATAGATTACCTTATAGCTGCCACGCTTGGCATGCGGGTTGGCAAACACATTTTTTTTATTTTTTTTTATTAAGTTGTAATCAGGAAAATACTGCTGCTTATCTCCTAGTTCAGTTTCCCTCTACCGCCACCTGTGACACCCGAAAAATGATATAGAAAAGTAGATATTCTTAAGCTGAGAACAAATTATCGGACGCGGCTGACGGACGCGGCTCACAGCCGCGGCTTATTGAAATCTAGCCAGTACATTTAATACTACACTGTGCATACTATCGGCCGTAAGACACGGACATGACCTTGCGTCGCTCTTGAGCGTTCGGACGTCCGAACAGAATCTGGCCGGCTGGATGTTTGGTGCGTCCGCGGACAGTGTGAACGGGGCACGGAACGCGTCCGCGGACGTTTCGAGTGTCACAAGCGAACCAACTGCGCTCGCGACATGATATGTAATGAAAAAAAATTAATTGAATCTGTTCATGGCCACGAATGCCTACATTTATAAGTACATATTAGTACATTCTTAAGTAAATTTTTTAACGTTTATCATCTTTTTGTAAGTCTGGATACAATGTATGAAATTCATCATACTCGAGCCGTTTTACATTAATATCATGGACAAGGAGTGTTTGGGTCCCCTATTTTTTGGAGGACGACATAACGCAGCTGCTGCTAACTTTATAAATTCGTCCTCGCTGTCACTGTTTGTCATGTTTCTCGATTGACAAAACCTTTCTGGAATGACCGAAGCGAGGCGTCCGAGGACGCCGTCTCAGCTACCGTGCACACCGCTAAGCCGCGTCAGTCAGCCGCGGCTGACGGACGCGTCCGATAATTTGTTCTCAGCTTTACACTGCCACTACACGGTTAACAAATGTAGACAACTTAACGCATTAAATGGCTATATTATATGCAATATTACCTTCGAGTACTAAGATAGAATGCCTCACAGCTTGTCACATACTATTTCTTTCTACGTGCTTTAAGCAAGAATGTGCAAGAAGGTTGCGCCTATCCAGACTGGCTCCAAGAGGTCCTGGTCCCTACTGCGACTTTTCTCGTGTATCGAGGATTCGTTTTACCTAATTTGTTCGTGGCGAGGAATAAGTAATTTAAAGATCTAAGCAAACAGCGGTTATTCAGACAATAGCCACAGTTACGGTGTCTGTTGACACGATTGTTAACATAAGTTATTAGAAACTGGAAAGCTGTGAATACACTGGCGTTAGTCGCTACGAATAGATAATTAAAATTCTCAAGTAATTTGAAAAATATATTTGTGCAGTTCACACGCGGTAGAATAGAAACCTTCAAATAAAATTAGATAACTAAAAATATATCACGGCAAATGATTTATTTAATACTTGTGATAATATTCAACTACAAGTGTGGCATAAAATATAAGATAAAAGTTTAATTTTATATGTTATATAATATAATGTTACAATCTCTATATTTAGACACATGTAGACTAAATTTTAGTATAATAAATCAAAAGAATATTTTCTTTCGAGTAAAGTTGCTTTGTAATAGCGCCATCTACTTCATTCTATAGGTAAAGTCATTTTATTGAACAAAAGATGTCAACGTGGAACGCAAAGTAGACGCTACATGACTTAAACACGACTAATTTTATATCTATCTCATTCTCTCGCAGGCTAAATCCTATAGATGTATATGTTTGTCTCTTTTTAGTGTCGCTTTTTCGTTTCACCGAGTTTCAAATCACAATGATTAAGAAGTTTGCACTTCAAAAATAATTATTTAATTCAAATTTGGTAACAGGCGTCGTATTTGCAACTGGTTAATGGAGAGTTACCCTAACAACGAAGTAACTACGCTATCATTTAGGTATTGAACGTGTAGCCTGTAGCTCAAGAGCTGGCTATTCAACTATAAAAAAGGCGGCGAGTTTGGCTGTTGAAACTTCAAATAGTTACCTATCGCTAGTCGTTAAAGAAACAGAGGAGATCACCTGTCTCATAAGTTAAGGGCCAGAAGCGATCAAAGCTCCGTTTCGACGGCGAACGTTATTCGGCTCATATCCACCATTGCGGCGCAGAAACATCGACAGCGACACGTGCGTCGCACGCAAGCAAGGTGCATATTGCACATTCACAAACATCCCGAACAAAACACCAATTTAAAACCATACAAATACTTAATTGTTATGTGCGGGATCCGAAGCTGTTTTTTAAGGTGACTATAGATAATATTTTACTGTTAATGAGCCATTCCATCTTGGTTCTCAAGGATGATAATGTATTTTTTTATAGAAGGGCAAACGAGCATGCGGCTTACCTGATGGTAAGTGACTACTGCCGCCCAGAACAACACCAGGCGAATTGCAGGTGCGTTGCCAGCCTTTTAGAAAGGAGTAAGCCCTTTTCTTGAAGGTCCCGAAGTCGTATCGGTTCGTAAAAATCACCGGCGGTAAGCGATTCGACAGAGAAGTTGTACGAGGGAAAAACTCTTAATAAAACGCACAGTAGTGGACCACTAAGCATCCATATGGTGAGGATGGTATCGTGTTTTTTGACACGATGTGCGTTCGTGAAATTTGGCGGCTGGAACTAATCCGAACAATTCCTCAGAACACTCCCCGTGGTAGATACGATAGAAAACGCAAAGGGATGCAACATCCCTACGCAGTGCTAGTGAAAGAACTCAACGATTCGAACTGCTCTGCGCTGGATGCGGTCAAGTGGAAGGATCTGGCACTGGGGTGCCCCGGCCCAAAGATAAGAACAGTATTCCATGTAAGACAAAACTTGCGCTTTGTAAAGTTGCAAGCGATGTGCCGGCATGAAATACTGTCTCGCTCTGCTAAGCACGCTGAGCTTTTTAGAGGCCAATTTGGCCTTCCCCTCCAAGTGACCACGAAACTACACATTATTTGATATGTTGACGCCGAGGATTCCGATGCTAGCTGAGGCAGCAAGTAGACAATTTCTCGGGAAGGCCATAGGAAGGAAGCTTCGAAAGAAGCTCTTTGTACCAGACCCGATCGAAGGCGTTCGCTATGTCCAAACTAACAGCCAACGCCCTTAGACTCTACTGCCTCCGCCCATATTTGAAATTTACAGTTTAATTCTTCATACGGGAATGACTGAGTGAGAGAAATGTCAATATACCACAGCATTCATTTCCAATAGGTGATCTTGAAAACTGATATCGGTAGAATACAATTTTAGTTCCTCAATGCTTAAGATAATACAAAGTAGATTTTTAATTCATTAAGCAAACCTGAAACTCAAAATAATCCACAAAACTATTAAATAAGCAATAAAACCTTTGTTTAACAATATAGCTTATATTTTTTCAGGGCCTGTGTGTGCTGGAGTAGTAGGGTTAAAAATGCCGCGATATTGCCTTTTTGGTGACACCGTCAACACTGCTAGCCGATTTGAATCAACCGGAGCTCGTAAGTTTCATAATAATTTTATTTTCTATGCAATAATTTACATAATAATAATAATAATGTCCTCCAGACCGAATTTCGGCCACGGCGGCCTGCCTCAACGGAGGCTAGCCATCGGCGCAGGACAGGTTTATATTGCCCAAGTGTATGCGCAAGCACAGGTGCACTCTCTATTTCATCAGGCGCAGGACCAACGGCTTTACGTGCCTTCCGAAGCACGGGTGATATACCGCCAACTTCCTAAATCCGGGCAGCTATTGAGGATTTCTTGACGGAAAAACTCAATAATAAATTTTTTCGCCCGACCCGGGATTCGAACCCAGGACCTCATGATCAGTAGTCGCGCCACTATAACCCCTAGACCAACGAGGCAGTCAATAACAATAATTTACATATAATAATATATTCACCACAAATTTAACTATCGAAAAATGTATAATACTGTTACGAGCTTGAGGTTCGTGACAATAAAAATTGCCGATAAAATTACCTAAATTAACACTTTAATTTACTTTACACAATTAAAGTTAAAACACTAATAATTTAAACACACTAATTCACTTAATTCCACTCCGAAGCTTCGCTCGTATCGCCAAAATCAACACTGCCTCCATCGCGTCTTGCAGCGGCTATATATTTAAATTAGCAAAGAAATATCCAGAATGTTCAAGTAAACACGGGCAAGGTACCGAGCGTTCGAGGTTCGACTAGGCGCTGTCGGTTGAGTAATTTGTGATGTCATTTTCTCAATGCTCCCCTCGCTCTCGTTCCTGACACTAGATGGCGCTAGTGTATCGTTGACTGGAGCGCGTAACACTGCCCCCTCCTAAGACATGCTCGTCCCGAGCATTATCGGCCCCATAATAACGCGCCAAGCGATTCACATGGACGATCTTAGGAGTCCCTCTTGCGCCTTTCTGTAACGGCTCCGCAATGTCAAGGGCTGTCCTATCCCGTGGTGCACCAACATTGTACAATTTCGGTGCTCCTCTACTACGTGTCCGAGGTCCCCGCTCGGCCGCACAACTTGTACATGTACGACACCAATTCTCGACATCGTCACGATAATGGACCCAGTAAAACTGTTCTCGGACCTTCAGTAGAGTTCGTTTAACTCCCAGATGGACTCTTGAACGACCATTATGGCACAACTGTAGAACATTCGGCACTTTAGCTTTTGGGACAACCATGTGCAAACGACAGCTGTCTCTTCGACCATTGTCCCATTTACGGCACAGGACACCATCCTGAATCAGCAAGCTGTCCCATTGGGCCCAATAGCTTTTCGTGGTTGAACTCATCGCTGAGACGTCCCTCCACTTAGGCTTGGTAGCACGGGCCTTCATCCATCCCAGAATCGGCTTGATGTCCGGATCTTCCTGCTGTGCATGTCGTAGGTTGTCCTTCCACCCGTTGCTGAGGTGGTCTGTCCTGAGCATCCTCACGGATACCACCTCCTTACTCTCTTGCCTACTACAATGGTTGCAATCTTCAGGACAAGGTCTTCTTGACAATGCATCTGCGTTGCCGTGAGATTTCCCGCTGCAGTGTCTGATAGTAAAGTCGTATTCCTGCTGCTGCTGGGCGGTGCTGTTAGCCGCACTTCCTTTCTGAGACCGTTCACCTTCCCTTCGTAGGGTGTGCTCAGGGTAGCTGGACCGAAGATGGCCCCTTTCCCCACAGCCATAGCACCTAGGGCTGTATCTTTTATTGTGGTCGCGAACCGTAACTGCTGTAACCTCCCTAGCGTGAGGTGAACGATGATCCTGTCGCCGCCAGGCAGTGTCGTTAGCTGCACTACCCTCTCGAGATCGATCAACTCTCCTTTCCACGGTTCGCTTAGGGCAGCTGATTCGAAGATGGCCTTTTTCCCCACAGCCATAGCACCTAGGGCTGTATCCTTTGTTGCGGTCGCGAACTGTAGCTGCCGCAACCTCCCTGACGCGATGGGAACGATGATCCTGCCGCACGGCTTCCACTTCCAGTGCATGGGCCAAGGCGTTCTTAAGCGTCTCGTGGTGCCCGAGCCTCACAGCAGCTCTGACTTCCAGGTCGCGGATGCCGTCGATGAATGTCTGCACCAGGTTCCCTTCAATGAGCGCAGGTACAGACCGGTATGCTTTTCGCACCAGCTTCTCCACCTCTAGAGCCCACTGCTGCAGGTTTTCGTTGATGCGCTGCACGCGATCTTTAAGCTGCGCACGAAAGACGTGTTCCAGGTGAGCGTCGCCATACCTCGCCTCCAATGCCTCAAGGAGTTGCTCATAAGTCACTTCCTCGCCGAGAGCTTCCAGAACTGTTAGGGCCTGGTCGCGCAGGCCTAGTGTGAGAGCAGTCATGGCCTGACTTTTATTCCAGCTGTTCGCCTTCATAACAGCCTCGAACTGGATTTTGTAGGCTGACCAGGAAGAGGTCTCGTCGAACGGCGGCACTTTGAATCCACGTAGCGAAGGTGCTGCAGCTACTACGGGAGCTGTAGTTCCATCCCCAAGTTTGAGGTCGTTTAGTGATTTCTTCATGTCAGCCACTACGTTGTCAACCCGATTGTTTACTTGGTCGATTCGGGTTTCAGCTTTCTCGATTCGGTTTTCAGCTTTCGCGATTTGGGTTTCGGCTTCCGACAGGCGGTTGTCATGCTGAGCAACCCTATCCTTCACCTCCTTTATCTCCTTCCCGAAGGTAGCGTGAAGGTCCTTCATGAGGAGCATCTGCTCTTCCAACCGACGGGCCTGTTCTTCCTGTCCGCCCCGCAGCTGCTCTTCCAATCGGCGTGCCTGTTCCGCCTGCTGGCGAGCCTGCTCCTGCAGCATCACCATCAGAGCACCTAAGTCAGGTGCTGCAGATGTAGGAGCTACCGACGGGCCTGCAGCCGGTGGCTGGTCCTCCGACGTCTGCGGCGTTGCACCTACAAATCTTCGTTGGTCCGTCTCCTGCTGGCGTTGACTTCGGATACGGACACCCTCCGTTTCCTCCTTAGGTAAAATCGGCATGATTTTATCCCACTTCTGACACCAATTGTTACGAGCTTGAGGTTCGTGACAATAAAAATTGCCGATAAAATTACCTAAATTAACACTTTAATTTACTTTACACAATTAAAGTTAAAACACTAATAATTTAAACACACTAATTCACTTAATTCCACTCCGAAGCTTCGCTCGTATCGCCAAAATCAACACTGCCTCCATCGCGTCTTGCAGCGCCTATATATTTAAATTAGCAAAGAAATATCCAGAATGTTCAAGTAAACACGGGCAAGGTACCGAGCGTTCGAGGTTCGACTAGGCGCTGTCGGTTGAGTAATTTGTGATGTCATTTTCTCAATGCTCCCCTCGCTCTCGTTCCTGACACTAGATGGCGCTAGTGTATCGTTGACTGGAGCGCGTAACAATACCATCACATTAGGTTAATTATTTGATATGTATGATACATCTATGTAATATTTTTCTACAAAAATTTATTACAGCACTCAAGATTCACTGCAGTGCGGCTTGCAAGGCTTTACTTGACCAGCTTGGCGGATATATCCTAGAAGAACGTGGCATTGTTTCCATGAAGGGCAAGCGGGATCAGGTAATTTTTATGCTTGAAACTTAAATTACTGTTTATTTATGTACGTGTGTGTAGGTAAATCGTGATGATAAAGTGGAATGGAAAGAAATTAAAATTGAAAACCAAGTTTTATCACTAACCCTTTTGGAGTCAGCGGTATAGGCCTTTTTACTATTATTTATTTGGATTAGCAACAGCTTAGCTTCTCAAGTTTAATAAATTATAGGTGTGTGTGTGTGTGTGTGTGTGTGTGTGTGTGTGTGTGTGTGCGTGCGGGCGGGCGTGCGTGCGTGCGTGCGTGCGTGCGTGCGTGCGTGCGTGCGTGCGTGCGTGCGTGCGTGCGTGCGTGCGTGCGTGCGTGCGTGCGTGCGTGCGTGCGTGCGTGCGTGCGTGCGTGTGTGTGTGTGTGTGTGTGTGTGTGTGAAAGTAAAAAAAGAAAGTAAAAAAACTTGAACGATGGGTACATCACGAATTGAGTGAATCGAACTTGCAAACACGCGTTGACTGCTGTGTTACTTTGCTTAACCGTCACCAAAATGAAGGGATTTTAAACCGAATCATTACTTGTGACGAAAAGTGGATACTGTACGATAATCGGAAGCGCTCGTCGCAATTGCTGAACCGCGAAGACCCAGCCAAATCATGCCCTAAACGAAAATTGACTCAGGAAAAGTTACTCGTGAGTGTTTGGTGGACTAGCGCCGGTGTCGTGTAGTTGTGTCAGCAACTGCAAACCATGAAGGAAGGACTAGCTGCTAAACTACCGAGATTGGTCAATCGCTCTAGGCCACTGCTGCTTCACGACAACGCAAGACCACACACTGCACAACAAACAACCACTAAGATAGTTGAGCTACAATCGGAATGTCTGCGACATCCGCCGTACTCCCCGGACCTTGCTCTGACAAATCACCATTTTTTTCTGGAATTTGGACAACTTCTTACAAGGAAAAAAATTCAACTCCGATGCGGCACGGCAGTCCAAACCGCCTTCAAAGAGTTTATTGATTCTCGCCCCCATGGTTTTTTTTTAGCAAAGGGATCAATGAACAACCTATGAGATGTCAAAAGTGCATAGATAGCAACGGTGCATACTTTGATTAATTAATATTTTACAAAAAAAATTGACTTTATATTCCTCCCGTACAAAACGCCAATTTCATATGTAAGGACCTATTACTCAGAAGAATAATGTCCATAGACACCTTATAATAATGAGAAAGAGAATAATGTACATAGACACCTTATAATAATGAGAAAGAGAATAATGTACATAGACACCTTATAATAATGAGAAAGAGAATAATGTACATAGACACCTTATAATAATGAGAAAGAGAATAATGTCCATAGACACCTTATAATAATGAGAAAGAGAATAATGTAAATAGACACCTTATAATAATTAGAAAGAGAATAATGTACATAGACACCTTATAATAATGAGAAAGAGAATAATGTACATAGACACCTTATAATAATGAGAAAGAGAATAATGTCCATAGACACCTTATAATAATGAGAAAGAGAATAATGTCCATAGACACCTTATAATAATGAGAAAGAGAATAATGTCCATAGACACCTTATAATAATGAGAAAGAGAATAATGTCCATAGACACCTTATAATAATGAGGAAGAGAATAATGTACATAGACACCTTATAATAATGAGAAAGAGAATAATGTACATAGACACCTTATAATAATGAGAAAGAGAATAATGTCCATAGACACCTTATAATAATGAGAAAGAGAATAATGTCCATAGACACCTTATAATAATGAGGAAGAGAATAATGTACATAGACACCTTATAATAATGAGAAAGAGAATAATGTACATAGACACCTTATAATAATGAGAAAGAGAATAATGTCCATAGACACCTTATAATAATGAGAAAGAGAATAATGTCCATAGACACCTTATAATAATGAGAAAGAGAATAATGTACATAGACACCTTATAATAATGAGAAAGAGAATAATGTCCATAGACACCTTATAATAATGAGAAAGAGAATAATGTCCATAGACACCTTATAATAATGAGAAAGAGAATAATGTCCATAGACACCTTATAATAATGAGAAAGAGAATAATGTACATAGACACCTTATAATAATGAGAAAGAGAATAATGTACATAGACATCTTATAATAATGAGAAAGAGAATAATGTCCATAGACACCTTATAATAATGAGAAAGAGAATAATGTACATAGACACCTTATAATAATGAGAAAGAGAATAATGTACATAGACACCTTATAATAATGAGAAAGAGAATAATGTACATAGACACCTTATAATAATGAGAAAGAGAATAATGTCCATAGACACCTTATAATAATGAGAAAGAGAATAATGTCCATAGACACCTTATAATAATGAGAAAGAGAATAATGTCCATAGACACCTTATAATAATGAGAAAGAGAATAATGTACATAGACACCTTATAATAATGAGAAAGAGAATAATGTCCATAGACACCTTATAATAATGAGAAAGAGAATAATGTCCATAGACACCTTATAATAATGAGAAAGAGAATAATGTCCATAGACACCTTATAATAATGAGAAAGAGAATAATGTCCATAGACACCTTATAATAATGAGGAAGAGAATAATGTACATAGACACCTTATAATAATGAGAAAGAGAATAATGTACATAGACACCTTATAATAATGAGAAAGAGAATAATGTCCATAGACACCTTATAATAATGAGAAAGAGAATAATGTACATAGACACCTTATAATAATGAGAAAGAGAATAATGTACATAGACACCTTATAATAATGAGAAAGAGAATAATGTCCATAGACACCTTATAATAATGAGAAAGAGAATAATTAACATATACACCTTATAATAATGAGAAACAGAATAATGTACATAGACACCTTATAATAATGAGAAAGAGAATAATGTACATAGACACCTTATAATAATGAGAAAGAGAATAATGTCCATAGACACCTTATAATAATGAGAAAGAGAATAATGTCCATAGACACCTTATAATAATGAGAAAGAGAATAATGTCCATAGACACCTTATAATAATGAGAAAGAGAATAATGTACATAGACACCTTATAATAATGAGAAAGAGAATAATGTACATAGACATCTTATAATAATGAGAAAGAGAATAATGTACATAGACACCTTATAATAATGAGAAAGAGAATAATGTCCATAGACACCTTATAATAATGAGAAAGAGAATAATGTCCATAGACACCTTATAATAATGAGAAAGAGAATAATGTCCATAGACACCTTATAATAATGAGAAAGAGAATAATGTCCATAGACGCAAGGAACTTTTTGCTTTACTACTTCCTGGGATTTGGAATCGAAATTTTTGAATACATTTTTAATCAAAACCTTATCTGTCATCAGACCACAGTGTGCAGTTAAATGAATATAGCAGAACTAAGATACATAAGATATAAATATTTTTCTCATCGAATGAACATACTGTGGTTGTGGATGCGACTTCACAAATTGCGGAGTAAAACGCAGATGCAAATAAAAAAGTTAACAAAATGCCATGAAACGTTGTATTTAGATAATTGTTTTACTTTTCAAGTATATCTAGATAAGTGTCATCCCTGAGAAAATATTGTTTTAACGCCCTGCAAAGCTCGCAGTCGCCCAGTGCTCATAAAAAGTTGTATGTGTTTCATGTAGGTAGTAGGTACTAATGATTGTTTCACTTTATCGTTTATTTCATCCATTTAGATAAATACTGAAAGTGAAACAATCTACTACTACACACAGATGGGACGCCTAGTTTCCAGTAAAAAGTGTCATTAAATAGAATTGATGACACTTTTTACTGGATTATATAGATATACTCACAATACGACACACAGTAGCTGCTATTGCGCGCTGGTATTCTGTGAGAGCGAGGTCCTTCACCGGTCGAGCCGACTTATTCGTACTGCAACCGTAATATAGCAGCAGTATGGTTTTACTACGTGTAAATTATAAACTAATAGAAACAGAAACTTTTTTATTCAATATGGATTATAAAAAATCATTATTGAAAGTTATTATTTTGTTTACTAAGAAGAACCAGCAAGAAACCCAGCGGGACTTTTATTGAATAAACAAAAACGGCTTACATTCATATATGTTACAAAATTAACAATACAAAAAAAAAATTAAAATGGCTTGGTAACGATCACTTCATTCCCAGGGGTTATTATAGTTTACAGATTACTTAATTTTGCAATAAACCTTTTTATGCAAATTTTGGGTCAAATTTTGTATATTTATAAATGTACACCTTTATTTATAAACTAATAGTTTTTTTATGGTTAGCTTGTACACAAGATAAAAGACAAATGTGTGTAAATTACACTAAAGTTTTAATGCATGCATATCATTTCGCTGCTGTCATCCGCAAGCTCCTATCTAATGCACGTAGGTAAAGACGAAACTGACCAACCTCATCTTAAGTGGTACACGACACGACAAATCGCGGTATATTCTCATCGAAAATACCTTTTTTATGAACGAAGCGGTAAACGAGCATGCGGCTCACCTGATGGTAAGTGATCAACGTAAACCATAAATATCTGCAACACCAGGGCAATGAGGGCCATGAGAGCGGCGCCACTTATGAATGAGGTGAAATATTTGACAGATTTCATGGCGGGGAAAGTTATTTTGTTAGAAAAGTGATTTTATTAAGTTCATTAGATCAGGAATAGATAAAGCAAACTACGGATGTCCCACAAAGTGAAAGAATTTAAAAGTTTAAAATGTGAAATTTAAAGAACCACAGCACTGAGGCATTGTTTTGTGTAAATACATACAGTAAAACTGAAAACTTTTTATATAAAACGCAACTTTCGTATTTCGTATTTACGTAACAAAGAAGTTCACCTCAGTTCCAACTAGCGACATCTGGTGAGCGCAGGATTATTAGCTCTCGTTACAGGTGCGTTGCCGGCCTTTTAGAAAGAAGGCTCTTTTCTTGAAAGTATCTAGATGAATATATGTCAGGTGACGTACTGGCTGCGCGGCGAGGCGGCGGGCGCGGCGGCGGCGCGGACGAGACGGCGAGGTCTGCGTGCACACGCAGACGGGCCCCGCACCGGCCAGCGCAGCTCGCTCAAGGCGCGTAACTGGAAAAACCACCTCGGCGGCTTGCACAGGTGCGCCCGCACTCGCTTTACAACTTCTCGCGAGTTCGATTTTTGGCGGGAACTTGACCGCCGGTATATTGCCACTCCTATTGCTTAAATAATGATTTGAAGTAGATTTGATACGTAAGTGGTGCGCTTTTGTGTATTGAATGTCTACGCTTACGAACTGTTAGTGGAAACGACGAAACAAGTGCACCGATGGCGAAGTGAACCTCAAGATAATGCCTGCTTAGGCGCATTGAGATACTATCGTCAACTACTGTCTGATGGCTCGAACTGCAGTCAAGAGCTATCCGATACTCTCAAAACTTTACAATGTGACGCATCAACATATGGTTAAGTTTTATAAATAAATAATTATTAGGAATAATTTCTTATTACTTTAATACAAGTCCATTATAAAAATATAACAACTTTCCGAGCTTGGTCAGACTGCTAACGAAAGCGCGGCGCCGCGTTCTTAAGGAGAGTATTTTCTTCTTTCTCTGCTGCATACATAATTGTCCAGCACGAAGTAAGCGTACGATATTTGATGGACAAGTAGTTAGGTACTTTATTTAAAACGGTTCTGCATATTATCAGGAAATATAGGACCTAAATTAAATGTAACCGATTAAGAATTTAATTCAATAACATGCCTTTCACATTATTGAAAAATACTGTATGGTTATCGCTTAACAAACAAGGAACTCGACAGTCAATTTTTTTATTTTAAAAATCCAATTCGCTTGAGTATTTCATGCACATCTTTTTTCCAACCATATTACTTTTTAAAAAGTATCAAATGTCGCAAAACAAAATCGTGTCTAAAATACGGTGGTTTGTCCAACCTATAAATGAATCCTTTTCGTTCAGTTTGGTAACCCTTGGACACGCTATTATTCGAGTGCATCTCGCGCTGTCCCGTGTACGGTTAACGGTGCGCGATCCGGTGCCCGTGTGCATCTCGCACCGCGCTGTCAGTCTAACCAAGCCCTAAATATTAAACCTTACCTATTCCGCAACTACTAGTAACAGTTACGTACGTTTCCTTTTTCAGGTGTTGTAGCTTAGAGTCTCCAAAGAAATTACGATTTGCTTCGGGTAATCATTTAGAATCTCAAACCGACAGCGTACTTCATCATAGAAGCGATGAGTATCTAATGGAGGTAAGAAGATTCTATGAGTATCATTTTATTCGTGATTATGAAAATGTGATGAAAATTTAGGTCATTGTTAAATTTAACCACCTAATCTAATTCGATTCTGAGCTCAACACTCATCAATTACCCTTCCCGTAGACTGTAACTCCTCCGACTACTGCTTGTCGCAGAAGTTAACCACAAGAAAGGACAGTGGCGAAATAATATGTGATGGAGTTATTAAGCGTCTACTTAATTTACCATTACAGATATCAATAAAATAATTTACTTGGTGTTATCTAATAAAGCCTATCGAAGTCTGGAAAAAATCATCTTACCTAATTTAAAACAAGTTAGTCAATTTAGACTAGTTGTGGCAAATTGTTGATGGAATTATTAAGCGTCTACTTGTCCCCATTACAAATATCAACAAATAGATAATACTTAGTAAATTATTATTTACTATGCATTATCTAATCAAGCTTATGGCCTATCGAAATCTGGAAAAAATCATCATACACAATTCAAAACTTAATGACTATTTGTTGTAGATATTACGATTCGTTAGTTAAGACAGGCAAAGGTCTTACACCATACAGTCGAGTTTGACGTGTATTTAATTCAGAAAACTCTTTTATACATATATATACTAATGCGTTCGTAAAGGATTCCTTCCACAAACTAATAAGAGTACTAACGTTATTACCTCTATGCTTGTAATTTCCCTGTATAAACATACATGAAAATTATATTGAGTAGTTGTGTGCCCATATATTGCGGCCGACTGACCAGCTCCGTCCTCATATTCAGCTGACTGATCATCACAACTTATTAATATGTAACATACAAATAGTATAACAATTTTCAGCCTTAGTGAATTCATTTTATTACCTCGGCAGGTACAAGGTCGACCTTTGATAGCGCACCTGTCACTTGTTCTGTTTTGCTTGACTGACCGCAGTACATTTGTTTATAAAACCATTGTAACGAACTAATAAAAAACTGGTCTTAGTAAATTCAGTTTTGTAGGCACCGTCTAGATGGGCCACTGCGTCAAAGATGCGAAACATTTAGAACTACAATCGTCAATTCGCCTGTCAAGTGTATTTACGACAAACCCTGACCCATCAAGGGAGTTCATTCATATATTAACAAAATACAATCCGTTAAACGCGTGACCTGGTGATCACAATACCTCGCTTAAATACGCAAGAAACTACGGTTCCTAAGTTCGGCCCTGCAGTTTAGCCAACCTACGATCTTAATGTATAATTTTCGAATAAATGAACATATGATTTATAATTTACTGATTGAGGTACCTACAAAAAATTTACAAAATAACGAAATGACTACTCTGTTTTACATTTTTTTTAACTCCGTCAATGTTACCTCTTTTGAAGTTACCACTCCGTCCAGTTTCTAAGAATATTCTTATTATTTGCAGGTGGTAGGCGAGGGTCGTCTGGCGCCCACACAACGTAGCGACCTTTTGGAAGCGCCGAGCTTACGGCACGAGTACACGAGCGTGTCGTGTCCTATCATCGAACACGTTGAGAGCGCTCACCCGCAAGAGTCCGAAACTCCGCTTGACAAGCTGCTCGTCAAGTCGCACGATAAGCTGCCCGATAATAAGTCGTATGATAAGCTGCCCGATAAGTTGCTCGATAAGTGTTACGACAAGCCGCCCGACAACACGTTCAATAAGTCTTTTGAAAAGCCGCAAACCGCACCCGATGCCCCTTGTGACATCCGCCTCGTCGTCAACGGCTGTTCATACGACGATACCGCCGCCATTCCACTGCTCGCCGACGCATAGCCTTCCATATTTACCCGCAACTCCTAGTCATTAGCCGCCGCTGGACACTAAACTTGTTATGACTATAGTCACCCTTGATTTACATTATTATGGATATCTACCATGGCTATTTGATGTATTTCTATCGACTGTAAGGAATGTGTTTGTAATGTTTGATTTGCAGCTTTTAAAATGTCTATAATTGCCTTTACGAAATTTGTAAGCTTTTTTAATTAACATTTAAAATTGAATGTAATTTGTAAGTAAAATAGATTTTACAAATTCAGCAATGGTTAAAAAAGCTGTTCGGCGAGAGTTGTTAAAAAAGCAGTTCCTAAACTGATTCGCCCGTCCTCACACTTGACAACAGCAGCAATTCTCTTACCACAAAACGCTTTGCTGATGGCGATAACCGAAGCCCGTCAAACAAATTGCGATTCTTCAGCGACAGTCGCTATATTGAAATGTTTTAATAATATATATCAACTCTTGTCTAACAGACTTTAGATTTTATGAAAGTGTTACCTGCAATATTTATAATGTAATTTTTATGTTTGTCTATTGTGTGTCCGGCCACGGCGTAACGATAACATTAATTTCCATCCATCCGTATGAGGACTCGTTGTCATTACGCATAACTATAGTAGTAATGTGATCTATGTCAGTATTATTAAGAAAACTTATTCAATAGAGAAATTATTTAATAACATTAAACTCTTAATTCACAATTTACGGTAACATCGTTTTACTTACACATATTATTTACAACAGCATTTCATATACATATATCTAATATACATTTAAATGAATCGAGTGTTTAGAATAGATACGACGGGAAAACTCCCGCGGAATTGTGAATTTAATGTTTGACTCATCGACAGTACTTAGAAATAACTTTCATTGCACAGTATTGTTACAACACTAAAGAAAAAAATTAGGGGGAGTAAGGATATCGTACTATTCGACCGAGCCAAATAGACGAAATGATCGAGCGTCCATTATACGATACAGATCATAGATACTGACGTCAAGTTGAATAGTTTGGTTAGCTTGATCGACTAACAAAAGGTACAGTAGGTCGTTCACACGGCAGACTCGCGGTCGAGCAGGGGCGGCGCGCGACGTAGCGAGGAACTGCTGCTGCGCGTGCCGCTGAATATGCCGAGCAGCCACGAGCGGATCGCGAAGCGCGGCATCTTGCGCATGTCGCTCTTGACGTCCGCAATGTTCTCCAGCGAGCGCCACTTCTTGTAGAACTCTATGTAGTTGGCGTCGTGCACCTTGCGCTTGGGGCGTTCGAGTTTGTTGTGGAGGCTGCACTTGCGCAGAAGGGGGCTGTCCTCTGCGGTTTTGGGCGGGTCGTCGGTGACGATGCCGATGATGGTGCCGTTGAAAAGGGGGCCGGACACGGTGGAGACGGCAACGTCGGCGTCGAGCGAACGAGAGGTGTGTCCGCGGCGCAGTGCGCGGCGCGACTCGCGGCGCGGCGCCAGCAAGTCCAGCGAGTGCGCGCCGCGCAGCGCCGCCCCTGGCCCGCCGCGCCCGCCGCCACCCCGCACCACCCCGACCCCTCCGACGCGCCGTCCGTCTCGCACGCCGTCGACGATGCGATCGAACTTAAGGCGTGCCTGTAACAACGTAACTCATCATACTAGACCGTTTATCGCTCTTTTATTATACATATCTCTTATGTTACTCACTATTTACACCTTTGCAGAGTGAAATAAATTCATAGTATTAATAAACAATCGCTTTACCAAGAGCAAATATTACAATAAACACCTTCACAAATAGAGTTTACAGCAGCTATGTAAAACTTGAGTTAAATTCAAACAACGCCACCAAGTTGTTTGCTTAAAAAATAAGGCAAGTTGCCACTTATTTTTCATACTAATGCAATATGTATAACTTACAAAAGTTTTAATGCGCCACTAAGTTATTTAGTACAGATGTAAATTTGAAGTACAACAGTTCGTGAATCACTCCGTATGGATAACAATAACATTTCGAATAAGGGTATAATGAAATGACAATGTTATAAAAATTGCATCCTTTAATCAACAAGGCCGATACAATCCAAGCAATCACACGTGCAAACCACACGTACAAATCGCACTTGCCTTCCTCATTCGCTTGTACTAACTACAGTTCGGAAAGTTGAAAGCTCGAAACAGTGTACGGAACAACATCCGTCGAATGGCTACGTAGCTGTACGTAGCTGTAGGTCCCTGAGGCAGCTTAGAGAACTAAAGAGGCCAACAAGGTACTGAAACTGATAATATACTTTCCACTATATCATAAAACAATAAAATTACCAATTGTTTCACAACTATGCACTTTAAAATTTAAAATAATATAAAAAAATTCAATCATATAACAGTATAATGAATAACGATTGACATTTTATACTCACGTCTAGTAATTGGTAAATTCTCATAAATAAAACTGGTAACATTTTTGATTATTTTGTGGGATTCTAGTTTACAAAGGCAAAAATATAATGACGCATTAAGTTTTAAAGTTAATGTTTAATCAACTTAAAAATGTAATTAAACTAATTTCTACGGAATACTAACATCATTAGCACTTAAGTATTAAAGTCTAAAAAGTAATGCCATAGTAAAAACAGAATAGTAGGATTCTCCCGCGCCGCGCGAGGCTTAAATGCCTAGTGTTGCAGGGTTGTCACTGTATTTTTGTTTAACAGCTAAGTCTCATTTAGTTTTATAAGTAGTTATAATATTTACAAACATAACACATACAGATTCATTAATCATTTCTTTAGTTTCCTTTCAAAGAATCAATGATTGTCAAAAAAAATCCAGCTTTACATTACAACAAATACCAAATAATTAAAATAAGAGTAAATTAACAATGAGCATATGGTGTCAGGTCAGATAATGTTTAAAATTAATTTGATCTTATGTGATATGATAATTAATGTACCTATGAGGTATGTATTTATGTATAGATATAGTAATATAACCTATTAATAAATCGCTAATTTACTTAAACAAACGCATATATTAATTTATCTTACAAAAATAAAAAAAGAAAACGAAAAAAAATATGCTAGCAAAATTTTATTAAAAGTCAAGAGTCTCAAACAAATGTGGTTCGTGCGTACGAGTCCGTACTGTCACGTGCCAGGCACGCACACAAATTAGCGACGTTCGGTACATTTCTTAGAAGATAGCCGTCTATTCTGTTTTTACTATGGTAACAACACCTAAATGTTTCTGAACTCCATCCATCCTATTGTTACAAGACTATTATTTTTAACTAATTTTCTTCTTATATATTTTTATTAGATCTTCATCTGAAAGAGGTTTAGTTGGCCTACCATGTTTCTTTCTTTCTAGGATGTTTCTTTTATGGTACTTCTTACCTATCGATAATTTGTAAAAAAAGACTTTGGTTTCGGCTTTTGCTGTTCAATGATGTGTTGGTAAACTATTTTGTCTATACATTTTTTGAAAAATCTTTCATGTCCTTAGGATATTTTGTGGATAAAGTTTGCTGCCTCTGTTCGCCCTGTAGTGTAGTTGGAGGGTTACCTATAGCTACTTAAAAGTTTTAAAGTATTTCCTTTAACTTTTTCTGAATTTGTGTTACCGGCTGGGTTTACTCAAACATTTGTGAGTATTATGTCAGAGTTTTTAGCTTTATTAGTCTGGTTTAGTTTGTTAATTTTAGCTTTCTTTTCATTTTAGTTGTCAGTTTGTTTTTATCGTTAGCTTAACGATTCAACTCTGCTTGTTTTGCCTTTCTTTTAGTCTCATTTCGTTGAATCATTTCTAATCATTTTTCGTCAGTTTTCTAGCACTGCAGCTTTCTCTAACCTTCACTTGTTAGCAAAAAGAACGATATTGTTTACTGCTTCTTTACTTTTTTAAAGCTTTTTAGCAATGACAAAGATCTTTAAATATTTTTCTAGAGCATTTGAAAGATTTTTGTTTGACTTCCACGAGCTATTCACCTCTAGCAAATTCTACACTTTATCGACTGGTCGCATAGAGTAACACGGTCACCGGCGGATCGGAGAGGAGTAGCCATATGCAGGCGTTCCCTTTCGTCAAAGTATAAGTACACGCGTTCCTATGCGTACAATATAACTAGTTGCAGCCGCACTGCTCACTATACCATCTAGTTACGCGACGTATCGAGTATCGAGTAGTTACGCGAGTAATCGACGTCCTACAAAAATGCTGAATTGTTTAGTTTTTTTGCTGCAAAAGGAAATCTGCCACGTCAAATTTACGAATAGATTCCTTCCTACCTTTCATACTTAAATAATTTCTAAGTACATTAATGCTATTTTACTTCTTTTTAAATTTAAACATTATAATAATAATGATCGTATTGTTTCGGATTTGTTTACTAACACAGCCCGCCCGCCCTCATACAATACGCGGATCCGTCGAACAACTGATCAGAGTTTATATCCGAGTTGTCGCTGTCACTGAACGAGTGTTTTATGTGTGTGTTTTGTAGTGACAGACGATTGTTTTTGTGTGCGCGAATTTCCTCCGCAAAAAACGACAGACAATTCCTTATCGGAAAAAAACATTATGGCTAGTCCCCTCCGGTGCGCCGGTTGCCTGGTGTAGCTCTTTGACTGGTCCTTTTCTTAATTTCGGTAAAAATGTTTTTCTTATAGACCCAAATCTGTTTCTAGTAACGTTTTTGTCAAATTGATTGTTTGCCATTCGAGAAAACCTTTACATCATAGAGCTACGATGGGCAGATATGCAGCGACATCAGCTGGTTGCAATAGTTGCGTTTCATTCGGGTAAAGGGCAATGAGTGTTATCCCCAGACTTTGGCGAAACTGCACTTACTCAAGAGCGATATCAAATTCTTTTTTTGCAGGGCAGGATGAAAAACGTTTAGTGTGTGCTGGAAAAAAGTTCTAGACTTCTTCACTCTCTAGGCATTGACTTGAAGGTCTGGTCGCATTCTTTTTAGAGGGAAAATAATAATATTTGGTGTCGTTTCAGTGTCTGCTCCTAAGGTACACATGACAGTTCAGCTAGACTTCGATTGATCATGATTCACCGTTCACGTTAAAGAACGTTCTTTTTCCCCTTTACTGCGACCACTCTTGTATTTTGCAGCCGGGATGGAAGATGTGATTTAGAAGTGGATAGGCGCGTCGCTGCCGGAAACAAAGTCAATGGTGCCCTGAATGCATTAGTCAAAAGGCAAGGCGTGGTGAAGAGTGCACGCCTCGCAATAAATAACGCAGTATTGGTACCGACTTTGTTATATGGCAGCGAAACCTGGGTATGCCAGAAGAAACATAAAAGCAAGTTGAATGCAGTGGAGATGCGATCTCTTCGTAAAATGTGTGGCGTTACCATAGCCGATCGAAAGCGAAACGAAGAGATTCGCAATATGGCAGGATTGAAAGATGACCTTATCACAAAAATTGATAGGGGCGTACTCAAACAATGGTTTGGGCACATTGAGCGAATGAGTGAAGACCGAATGGTGAAGAAAATATATAGAGCGAAAGTAAATATTAAAAGGTGTCGAGGTATACCGAGACTAACTTTCGAAGACCATGTGAGCAAATTGCTCGAAGAGGGGAAGGTCAAGAGTACTGGGATACCTAGACGTGCATGTATGAAGAAGTTAATGAACCTGAAAGAAGCGAAAGAGGTATGTAAGGATGGTGACACTTGGCGATCTGTTCTCTTTGGCTACCCCGTTAGGGATTGTGCGTGAAGATAAGTAAGTAAGTAAGTAAGTACTCTTGTATTTTTCGGACACAAAATTAAATTCGTTTTGTCTCCATTGTATGCTTAGTCGGATTGTGGAAAAGATCATTTCGTTTCAGATAGTCTGCAATTTGTCTGAACCAGTTTCGAATTTGGCGTTCCGACAATTTTGAAAGTTACATCTTTCAGAAGTTTTTGTAGAAAGCTCTGGATACCTTTTTTAAAACTCTATATTATTTTTTCCAGAAGTGTTCTCTATAAAACTGTTTGATCTGATTTTTTTATACTCTCACTAGATAAAACCGTGTCAGGATCAGTTCGACTTTTCAGAAATCTTTAGACAATCGAAACTGCAGTTGCTCGTCAAATGTCAAATACTCGCACGGTAGTTTTTTTTTCCATACCATATTTACGAGGGCGGCACTGAAAATTTCGGGAATCAAAGAATGACACATTACTATTTAAAAATGTATTTATTGCTTTTCGAAGTATTCTCCGCGAAATTTGACACATTTTTCCATACGATGGAACCAACCATTGAAGCAACCATTCCATTCGGAAGTTGGGGTCTCCAAAATGGCCGTTTTGTAGGCGTCCACAGCTTCTTCAGGTCATGAAAATCTCTGTACACGCAATTTATTCTTTATTTTAGGGAAAGTATAGAAATCATTAGGGCTTAGATCGGGGCTGTACGGCGGATGGTCTAATAATTCTATGTTTTCTTGCTCTAAAAACTCTTTTGTTCTGTGTTCATGCAAGATTATTTGTATTTGACTCATGCCAATGTCTAAAATTGCCTGAATTTCGCGGTATGTCACATGTCGATCTTCCTCAATCAGCTTACGCACAGCATCAACGTTTTCTTGGGTGACTGCAGTTTTTGGACGAGCTTGACGGGGATCATCACTGAGCTTGACACGTCCACGTTGAAATTCAGCAAACCAGCGATACATTGTGGTTTTGGATGGGGCTTCATCACCAAATGCAGAAATCACCCGGTCAACACACTGTTTTTGTGTTAAACCACTTCGAAAGTCATAATAAATCATCGCTCTTGAATTTTCTCGAGTCAATTCTATTTTCTTAACGACTAAACAAGTTTGACAAAACCTTGTGACAAGAACGAGGATCTATTTTTAAATAAATAAATGGTATTCGATTTTTTAAAACCAAGGAGTTTTCAATTAAAAAAGATTTTAATACGACAGGAACCGTGGAAATATTCCATTCCCGTTAATTTTAGTGCAGCCTATGTATATCTTCCAAAGCTTTTCCAGATCTGCATTGGAATAGCCTTTCGAATACTTTTTCCCGCTCTTAACCTTTGGCATTTTCACCAACAATAATTGAGAAAGAGGTAAGTTATACATTGGCACTACCCAAACGATATAGTAATTGGAAACTGCTAAGAATCGATTTTAGACTAAAGAAAGCTTGGATTACTAAAAATAAAGTTTAAAACATAAACATAAACACTCACGCCTGTCACCCAGAGGGGTAGGCAGAGATTACGGACTTCCATTTGGCACGATCCTGACATACCTCTTTCGCCTCCTTTACATCCATATATCTACGCATACATGCTCGTCGGTTAAGGGTACTTCTAACGTGGCCCATTTTCAAAATATCGCCAATTTGGTCGACAAACTTTTTTCTAGGGCGTCCCTTCCCGACTCGGCCGTTCACATCTGCCATATAAATTTGCTTTGTCACTCTTTCATCATTCATTCTTTCTACGTGACCAAACCACCGAAGCATTCCTTTCTTAATCCTGGTCACAACATCATCTTGCATACCACATTTATCTCTTATCACGCAATTTCTCACCCTGTCATTCAGATTAAACCCTAGCATATTTCTTAAAGAGCGCATTTCTACAGCATTTATTCTACTTTCGTGCTTCTTCTGCCACACCCAGCTTTCACTACCATACATTAACGTAGGGACTAACACAGCATTATGAATTACCATACGTGCCTGTTTTGACACATTCTGGTTCTTCATAATAAAGTGTAGTGCCCCATTCACTCTATTCCCTGCATTTACTCGTCGTTCTATATCCCTATCATATCTACCATCCCTGCTAAATACACATCCCAAATACACAAACTCATCCACTTGCTCAATTAACTCTCCTTCTATTCTTATTTCACATACCGTTTTGCTTTCATCTCTTTCAAACACCATCACTTTCGTCTTACTTGCGTTCACTTTCATTCCCCTTTCTTTTAATTCCCAGTTCATTAATGTAACCATCATTTGCAACTCAGCCGCTGATGACGCAAATATGACTTGATCATCGGCATACAAAAGGCATTTGACGGTTAACTCGCCCATTCTTAAACCACATTCTTCATCTTTCAAAGTTTGCAAACACCGGTCCATAAATAGGTTGAACAGCCAAGGGGAAGCTACACAGCCCTGTCTGACACCTTTTTGGATGCCAAACCAGTCTGAGTAGACCCCATTGATCCTGACACAAGCACTAGAGTCCCTATAAAGAGACCCTAATGCCTGTATCAAACCAGCGCTCAACATATGGATGAGTTCAGTGTTTGCCATAACACATTCCTGTCCACTCTGTCATAAGCCTTTTCCAAGTCCATGAACGCACAAAAAACTTTCTGGTTTTTGGCCAAAAACTTCTCCGCAATCATGCGCATGGAAAAGACTTGATCTGTGCACCCCATTCCCTTTCTAAAACCCGCTTGCACATCCCAAATTTTTCCATCAGTTTCTTTCATAACTCTTTCAATTAACACCTTAGCATACAGTTTACCCACAATACTAAGCAAGCTGATACCGCGGTAGTTTTTGCAGTCCTGCTGTGACCCTTTTCCTTTATATATTGGTACTATAACTGCTTTACACCAGTCATCCGGTACCCGTTTTAATTCCCAACATAAATTAAACAAGGTGTACAGCAGGCCTGCCACCACTCCCTCTCCAGCCCTTAGCATCTCGAGTGATACTCTATCATATCCAGCTGCCTTACCTGCTTTCATGCTTTTCATTGCTTTCATTATTTCATCTACACTTATCTCCATACCCCTTTCCACTTCTTTCGGAATTTCTAGTTCATTTAATTCATACGACTCTTCACTCATAAACACGCTTTCAAAGTATTCCTTCCATCTGTTTAAATTCGAAACTTCATCATTCAGAATACATCCATTCTCGTCTCTTATAGCATTTATTATAGGCTGTTTTGTATTTCCCCTGGCAGTTCTTACGAGTTTCCAGAACTTTTTTATGTTAGCCTGGAAATTATCAGATATCCTTCTATCATTCTTATCCATTCTTTCTTTCTTTTTCCGTGTTTACGCAAGGTGTTTGTTACCTGGCGCGCGCTGCGTGGTCGATGCGTTCTTGGCGCAAGCGGCGCGAGGCCGGCGAGGCGGGCGCGGGGGCTGCGGCGGGCGGGGGCAGCGAGGCGGCGGCGGTAGCGGGGGCGGCGGGCAGCGAGGCCCCACTATGCAGCCGCTGTCGCACGCCGCCAACTGGCCAACCAGTATCGTTCTTGAGCTCTAGGGGACCGAAACCACACACTTAAAACCCGTTATGTTCACAGGCATTCATGTTTAAAACTAGATACGATATGCACTATCGCCATCCTCCGCGCCAGTAACCCTGACCTTGAAATTGAACTCCGTGGTCAGGTTCACGGGAGTATAAATCAGGATCAATAACTGTCAAGAAACATTTAATTCAAAGTCTTAATACTAGTCTAAGTCTAAGGGCGTTATCACAATGGCGATTTGCAAGCGAGTTCAAAGCGAGGCGAGTGTACAGCGAGGCAGCGAGCTCCACCGCCGATAGCATCTTGTAAGCTCCCGTTCAACAGCCCGTCCCACCCGACAGTGTGAGCAGTTTTTCCTCGTCAGAATCCATTCAGTCTATTGTATGGCTATTCTATATCCATTGTATCAACGACGTTTGAACCTCTCAACGATGCTACGTCCGCTCACAATCGTCTATCATTTATTCTATGACGCAGCGTATTCGCGGCGGGCTAGCGGCGCGCTCGCTACGCACTCGCCCGCTTTGAACTCGCTTGCAATTGGCCAGTGTGATAAGGCCCTAAATTCCTTTAAAATTGTAATGACTATTAATATTAGATTTTCCGAACTTAAAAGTAAAGCTCGTAGAAATTTAGGAATGTAGAGTTACAATGTTTATCAGCACAACACAACCCAATGGTGTAAATCCAGCCTGGTGATTGAACGAGAGATCCTTAATTAAATGCCTGCATATAACTTATTACCTATGCTTTTAGATGAATTACAGTGAAAAAATTAAAATTTCAATAAAGTTTTACGTTATGATTCGTCAAGTCTGTCTTATTGATACGCCTGAATCCTTTAAAATATATCCTTTTTTGTCACAGAAACGCTAGACTGTTGTAAAACTAAAACAAAAGACGATGATATTTTACCAGCTATTATTTAGATGGGGACATATAATGCCTTCCATACATTACTTTTACATGGACTGCATGAATTACTAAGACTCCGGCACCCCTCATATATAGCGACGATATATGACATGAATGCGGTTGATTTAGCAACTGCTTTTGTTTTGCAGAAGAGGGCCACAAAAGTTATTATAAACCTAAAACCGAGAGACTCTTAGAGAAAAATTTTACGAAATAAATATTGGTTTTAACTTTGACCTCTCAGCATATTTACAAAAATTTAATGTATATTAACCAAAATTTGTATGTTTTAGAAAAAAAAAGTAATATAAACTCCGTAAACACTAGGAAAAAAAACATAACCTAGTGATACCAGTTCCGTAACTCCATGGAATACATTACCCATGTGTACGTTATTACAACAAAGTCCCAAAAATATACAAGGTCTCTCTACTATCATGTTTAAATATTTCATTAAACAAAAACTGTATAAATAGGGTTATTTTAATATAAATGAATACACGATTGATAATAGCCCCTAGGAATAAGGTGTTCGCTTCCAAGCTGTTCCTAAAATAAATTTAGTAAAGTATGTAACCATTCATAATGTAAAATATATTTAAAAAAAATCCTTCTGGGTTTCTTGCTGGTTCTTCCCGAGACAGAGGTTTTCTCCGAACCAGTGGGTAAAGTAAAAAAATGACTTTCAATAAGAATTACATCTGATCTATAATTAATAAAAATTATTCTATTATATTCTACTTTATTCTATTCTATTAAGAGGAGTATTACACAAAAACGCGAAATTACAAGTTTTCCTTGTTGAAATTGTATATTTTCGTTCGTTGCTTGAAATAAAAATTACTTGGTAAAAATAGTTTGTTTTCTCTACTACAATAAGCTCAGAGTAAAATTTAAATAACTTATTTGGTTAGTAACAATCATTCTCCCGATGCATGTTTAGGCCAAAACTCTCAGACACATGATTTAAAAGCTCTGATTTGTAGATTCTATTGAATATCGACCATCAAATATTATATTTTTATCTTACAAATATCCTATATGTTATAATTTAATATTTAATAGTAATAGAATATGTTGTCCTTATATGCCCTTCACGTAAGGAAAAAAATCGACATAATTCAATTAACAACCGAAAAAGCTTCGGTGCCCCAATATCTCCGAAGTTCTACTTCATTGTGACGTAAAATTTATACCAAAATAATCATCAACATTTGCTTAAACTATACTATTATTTTTACTTTTTAAATCGTTACTATGAATTTTTAATTAATTAAATATCATATACTGTATATTTCTATACTATATATTTCACTGTCCCGACCATCTGAACTTGCGCCCTCCTTTCTGCCAAGGAGGGTCTCGTCCGTTTACAGCTTAAAGATCTCTCGTCAGATCGGTAAGCCAATCCCAAAAGGTGGAGTTTAATGGGTAATAGTCTCCACATAACTACACAGCCGGCTGCATGGTATGCTATGAGCATTCTCCACCTCCCTCCCCCGTTACCGGAGGGTTGCCCTTATTTGCTTCGGGCGCAAAAACCATCTGAAATCATTATAGCGCGAGCGCTTGTCGAGGTTGGACCTGCGTCAATTGATTCAGCGCGCAGCTTCGTTTCGATACTATCGTAGTGTGCGTCGATTGCCGTGGCGCTGCTATTTTGTGCGTGCTAGAGCATCGTCAACTACGCCCGCAGTTTTTGATCTTTGGAAGTATTTACTTTGGTATAGTATATTTCAATTAGTATAAAGTTCGCACATTATTATTATACCAGATAGTTAACTCATTATAATTATTTTTATTGTAGCTGAGCTTTGTTATCAGTCGGTCTAAACGTCTTGTTTTAACAAGAAATATCCTACCAGATACCTAGGAGAAATAATGAAGGATAAAAATGTCTGTATGCTTGCCATATGAACTACTGGCAAAAAATACGACCAATTTTGGATTTTGAATATGTTACCCAAGTAACAAGCGTTTTATGAAAAGCGTGGTACTTCCTGAAATTATCGACTCGAGATAAGCTCGGTCAATGTCATTGCGGCAAATATTTTTATAATAAATACTTCCTAAAATTATCGACTCGAGATAAGCTCGGTCAATGTCGTTGCGGCAAATATTTTTATAATAAAAAATATGGTAATTGACTAGAAGTACCGATTAAAAAAACATTAGTTACAGTTGGTTGTTTTATTTATTGCAACAGGTTGCAACCGTACTTTTTATTTATTTATACCACTATGCTACCATTAGTAGATATAATCGATTAATCCCAGCATCGGTTGAAAATCGATTACTGCGTAACAATTAAAATATTTATGTATACTTATTTCAACACTAAGGTTGATAAATAATGAAAAATATATCAAAATAGATTATAATAAATTAATTAGATAACACAAAAATGACACACCAAAAAATTTCTATCCACTGAACTCCAACCTAAATAAACTTGTATTTTGGAAGATCCCGATCGTTTAGTCTAGTCTTTTAGTTTAGGTTTAGGTTTAAAGAGTTTATTATCTCAAAAAGAAAAAATATTCACTTATATGAGACTTAAAAATAACATAAATGGTAAAAATAATACATTTAAATACGGTGACTTATATGAATAAAGTTACATAAATATATCGAAATTAGGATTAAAAAAAGCACTCTGTTTAAATTAATGTTTGACAGTGCTTTTTTTAATTTATCTTTAAATTTTGAAAACGGTTTTTCATGAAATACCTCATTCGGTAGGCTATTGTACAATAGCGCTCCCTCAAACTGAATAGTTTTCGAACCATAAATTTTAGTCCTAGCTTTTGGTAAATGCAGTTTATGTTTGTTTCGTGTACAGTGTTTATGTGATTTCATTTTAAAACTAATTTGGGTGTGTATGGAATCTAAGAGAATTTTTCTGACTAGTATGCACGTTTTGTATTTGTATAATTGACTTATGGATAATGTATCAGTTTTTTTATAGAGCTCTTTAGTAGAAAAGCGGTAGTCAAGTTGGAATAAAACTTTTAACAATTTATTCTGGGATATTTGAAGATCCTTTATATTAGTTTTAGATGCACTTCCCCATATCGCTATTAAATATTCTAGTAATGACTTAGCTAGTGAGTTATAAATAATATTTCGAACTTTATAAGGTATAGAACGTTTAGATCTGCGCAAAGCTCTCGTCAATGATGTTATTTTTGACTGCAAGCAATCTAAATGAGCTCGCCATGTTAATTTAGAATCTAAAACGAGACCAAGATATTTTTCTGACTCTGACTTTTTAAGTTCTTGGTTTTTTATTGTTAAGGGATCGAATTTAGAACCTTTTTTTGTTTTTCGCAGTAAAAACCTTGTAAGAAGTTTTTGTTACATTTATAGTTAGCAGATTGTACCGAAACCATTCACTCAGTGTATTTAGATCAGCTTGTGCATCTGATATAGTCTATTATAAAAAGAAACCCACAATTATGGGTAAAAAAAAAAAAAAGGCAAAAACGAAAAAAAGGTTTATTAAATTTTTTTTCAACTTTAAAGCTGATCCAGATACACCAATGTTTTGCAATTTATTGACCAAGATAGAATGTGAGACGGTGTCGAATGCCTTCTTCAAATCAATGAATATACCTACAACTATCTTTTTTTGATCAATATTAGTTTTTATTTTGGTAATTAGATCGATTGTAGCCGATAGAATATTTGATCTGGTGCGAAAGCCGTACTGGCCTTTAAAGAAAAGAGAAAGAAAAAGAGAAAATAGTTTCTGATGGATAATTATTTAAACGTGTATATATATATATACAGGGTGTTAGTGTAAACACCGTTGTCCTTGAAACCAGTGGTTTGGTTTCACTTATAGAACGTGAATTCAATGAATTTAAAAAAATGAACGCTATTTTCTCTCATAAAATTTAAAAAGTTTCTGTCCGACACCGTCCGTAAATTCATGGATACCCTATGCGCCCGAGTTACGTAATCACTGTAAAGATAACATAATATTCAACATAAAAACACAATAGGTACACATAACCTGTGATATAACTTTTTCTTCATACTTTCATCCTGGCTTAGGATAGGCAAAAATTGAGGAATTAAGGAAAAATTTAGATTTTACGAAAAAAAAAGTTGTTATTTTTCATTGAATTTACGTTCTAAGTGAAACCAAACCCCTGGTTTCAAGGACAACGGTGTTTACACTTACACCCTGTATATATATATATATATATATATATATATATATATATATATATATATATATATATATAATCCGCCCAAATACTTTTGATAATTCGGGCAAAACTAATATGGAGCGATAATTCCCAGGGTCAGATTTAGAGCCAGCTTTGTGAATAGGACTAACTTTAGCTACCTTCAGACTCCGGAAATACACCATCTCTCATACATTTATTGATACATAAACATAAATTATCACTTATTAAGTCATTAACACACTTTATTGCTTTGGGCGTTATACCATCTATACCTGAACTTGCATTATTATTTAAGTTTTTTATTATTGTTTTTATTTCATCTTTTATACATATTTTAAATTTTGAGAGGTATGTGTGCATATGCGAGTTAATATTATCATGCTATATCATATTATTATGCTGTATCATTTTGATATTTCTGCGGTATATCATTTGCTAAAACTGTACCTATTGAAGAAAAGTAGCTATTAAAAGTTTCACATACCTCTGTTCCATCGTGAATGGTTTTACCGTTTACTATAAGCTTTGGAGGAGCACAATCACTTTTTATTTAATTTAATGCAGAGTTATAAATTAAGTACAACATTTTTAAGGTTCGTTATAGCATTTAACAAAGGCAGAATAGTAAAATTTATCCTTAGTGTCTCTAATAGTACATGTAACTTTGTTTCTCACATTATTAAAATAATTCTTTAATTCAACATTATTAGTATCTTGTTTTACATTTTTCCACAGCATATTGCGGTTTCTAATTCCGTTCAATATCTGTTTGTTTATCCAGTCGTCTTGGGGTAGATTTTGTATTTTGTATTTAATAGTTTTATGGTTCTCAATACTGTCTTTAATGAAACTTTCTAATTGATTGTAGTCGTAATCTGTCATCTGAAGATTATTTTTAGCAATATCCTTGTAGAGATTATCACAATTTATTGCAGCATACTAAATTTTTTTCTTGGGTTCCTTTTTATATTTTTTAAATTCACAGTAAATTTGTTTATGATCCGATAGAGGTGCGCCATACGAAAATCGTTGTTAGTATTTGTACAGACATGGTCAAGGATCGATTTAGAAGTTTCTGTTTCTCTGGTACAATACTGTATATTAATTTTATTAAGTATTTTATATACCGATTCTTGAAGTATATAGTTATATTTTTTGCTGCAACGGTCTTTATTTAATATATTTATACTAAAATCGCCAAAAACTGTTGATCTTTTCCTTTGCTCCAACTGTGTAGAAAAAATTTAAAAAAAATTTTCAATATTAGTTGTTGTTGGTCGGTAAACGAGTCCAATATTTAAGCAGCATTTCTCTAAACAAATTCATAGGAAGTTGTTTCCATCGACATATTTTTCTTCCATATTTGTGTAAGCTAAATTATTGTGCACATACATTAACACTCCCCCACCAATGCAGTCAGTCCTATAGTTATATATGTGTGAATAGTTTGGGATTTTTAATGTATATGCGTCGCTTTCTGATTTAATCCAGGTCTCAGTTAGTAATATTAAATGTATAGTATACTTAAAGGATTTAATAATGCATCTTAGTTCGTCAATTTTTCCCGGTTTTAGTAAACTTCTAACATTTGCGTAAAAGAATTTTAGTGAGGAGGAAGTCATTATAACATTGCCATAGTCATGAGAAATCTGGTAGGTAAGTGGTTCGCTTATAGGTGGTTCTGACATCACTTGCCGTTTTTTGGAATGACTTTTGTAATTTGGGAATTCGATTCGAGTATTTAATACTTAACCCTGTTTCACCACTTTGCTGGCGTTGAGTAAGCTCATTCTTCAGGTTCCGTAAATATTTTTGCTGGGCGGGAGTTTGATCCCAGTAACCCGGTTTTAGTAAACTTCTAACATTTTCGTATAAGAATTTTAGTGAGGAGGAAGTCATTGTAAAATTGCCATAGTCATGAGAAATCTGGTAGGTAAGTGGTTCGCTTATAGGTGGTTCTGACATCACTTGCCGTTTTTTGGAATTACTTTTGTAATTTTGGGAATTCCATTCGAGTATTTAATACTTAACCCTGTTTCATCACTTTGCTGGCGTTGAGTAAGCTCATTCTTCAGGTTCCGTAAATATTTTTGCTGGGCGCGGAGTTTGATACCAGTAAATACGTATATTTTTAGTGTTCGTTAATATACGCTTACGTAATATATAGTTCGTAGTCTTGCGAATCAAAACATACCTTTATATTTCGATTTTTACCTGGAATATGTTTGCCTAATCGGAAAATTATTTTCGGCTTTGGGCAGTTTTCATAGATACTCATAATTATTTTAAAAACCTCCTGCATATCGTGGTCGCGTCTGTTTTTAGAGTTTTTATCATTTAATTCAGGTGTACCCGCAATTATAATATTTTTCTGCCGATTGCACCGATCTTGTATTCCTTAATATCACTCTCGAGTTGGATAATTTTTTCCTGCATAGTTGAGTTATGCAGTCTCATATTTTCCAATTCATTTCTTATAGTATGGTGTTTAGTAATTAAATTTTCCGTGGTACTTTTAATTTCTTGAATTTCTTGTTTAATTTCTCTCATTTCTTGACAAATTTTGTTATTATTTTGATTTTGTGAAGCACTAAAAGTTTGAAAAAAAAAAAGACTGTATTTCACTCCGCAGTTTATTTAACTCCTCTATATAAAACACATAAGAGTCATTTTCACGTTCTTTTCTTCTTCTTTGTGTTATGTTTTCTTGATCCCGGGAAGTACCTCGCATCTCAAGCACAGAATCGCTGCCGCTCATGAAGTTCCCGCTTTGCGCTAGTAGTTGGAAACTCATTATTTGATAACGTTAAATCGGGCGAAGCGGCTCAGAGCGAGATCTTAAAAAGTTATGAATGCTTACCTGATAAGGAAGGATGTCTAGAGTCCGCTAGCCTCGGACTTCTTCGCGGTCGTCGGAACAATGGACGCTCTTCACCCTCTACCTGCCTCTTTTGTATTGCCTTTTCTGTAGCTCCAACCAACCAATATGTTTGCAACTAAAAAATTAAATTTGTAATAAATTGATTTTTAGACTTCTAAAATACCCTGCAATTGTTATTTAACCCTTCAAGCGCCATAAAAATCCCATGCAGTCGCATGCGATCGCTCGGGATTTGCCGGGCCCGCACCCACCAACAGCACTTAAAACCATTAAAACTTATATTTAGAGACTACTTTTCTATGAAGAAGTTTAGCATTATAAAATCTATACAAAATTCTCTCTCCTGTGGTCTAGTCAAAAGTCAGGTTTTACTACATTACAAAAAGATTTTATTCTATTTTGATAACAAAAAAAACGCCAAGCGAATGTCGGCAGCGTGAAAATCACAATTATTTCAAAATATATTACTCGAAATTATTTACGTAAAAAGATAAATTATATTCACACAAAAGCTTTCATTACAATTTTACAATAAAACACTATACTAAAATACTAGAAAAATCCAAAAATCAACACAATAACATTCACGCGAAAATGGCGTACGAAATAAACATAGATTATAAATAAATATTCATAGGATAAGTTTTTTTTATTGCACTAGAGGATAGAGTATTTCATATTGATTATATAATGCCAAACTTCCTCCTAGAAAAGTAATCTCTATATATAAGTTTTTATGGGTTAAAGTGCTGTGGGTGGGTGCGACCTCATGAGACCGCTAGGGATTTGACAGAATATGACCGCGGTCTCATGATACCGCTAGGGGGGTGAGAGGTTAATAATTTTATATTACATATTATATTTGTCCAGAGACTATCAAAGAGTGAAGAATGTCTACACTTTGTCTGCACAGACTTATGTTTATTTGTAATTTGTGATCGCCATTACCAATTTTAATTATGTAAGTTAATATAGGGATTTTTTTATCACCGATTTGCTTAAGAAATTGAATGCCGAGTTCACGGCATCGAGGAGGTATAAGGGGCTTGCTCACGGCACCGCGCAGGCTTGTACTACGATTTCTGCTCGTCCAGTTTCTAAGCGACATCACCAGAGATCGGAATTGGGTATGTGAAAATACCTAAAGTTAAGTAATATGGAGCTATTAAAACCACTTAAGTTGAACCGGTTTTGAATTTTACCAGTTCTGTTTCAGTTTTTTTTTTTGTTTTACATGTTTCTTTACCTTTGAAACATCGAACTATAAACATTTGCAAGCTGAACTAAAAAATCAAATTTGAACCGGAATAGTTCAAGCTGTGAAAGCATGGTCCTTCCCCGGCTAAGTATTATATAATGGGCTAAATTCGTGCTATAATCATAATATAGCTGCAGCAAGACTCGCTCAACCAAAATTAGATTCCATGCATGGTTTAGGACCGTATTTGTGTTATTCCTCGAAGAGAGCCTATGTTTAGCAATGGAATAGGAAAGGAATGTAATGATGAATCCGTTCAACTTTTAATTTGAACTCGCTTACCTGTCCTTTACCCTTTATTGGTATGGTACCCCTCGGCTCTACCAAATACCCTCCGATCTTGTCCAGCGCCTGCTTGCAACTTGGCGAGATATGTATGCGCAGCGGTTCCCCGTTGGACTCCATTCGGGATGCCGTATTTACTGTGTCACCGAACAAACAGTAGCGTGGCATAGTTAGTCCCACCACGCCCGCCACAACCGCTCCTGGAATGGAAAATTTTAAATTATTTTCAGCAATAGATCATAAGAAGTATAAGAAGTAGAAATATTGAAAACCATGAAATGCCAATAGTAAGAATTTGCTGCCTAATTGCAGTCATAGTAAAGTCCATAAAGTGACTACAGTTTCATATAGGTCATTCCATAATAAAAAGGATTCGCCGGCAGTCGTTCTGGTGCACGTTTTTGCTACAGTTTTGTAAAAAATGTTTCAAGTTTTAAATACTGTAATACTGATCCATCAAGCATATTAATTTAATATATACAGTACATTTCCAACATTTTATTATAGGTTAACAACCAGTGGCGAAGCTAGAGCTCCAAGCTAGTGCAAGCCCAAGATATGAATTGATAAAAATATAGATTGTTGTTTTTAGCAGTTTTATAAAAATACACCAATCTTGATCTGTCTCCATGCTTCAGTTTCACATTCAGTGCTGTCAAGGACGTTTTTAACAAAGCACACAGAAGGCATACCACTACTGGATAGACTGTATGGCATACCAGCAATTGCATAGCTTCGGTGGCTTTGAAGAAAGCCGTTTGGGTTTGTTTAAGCGAAAGAAAAAAAATATTTACATCCAATACAATACATGAACAAAGTAAAACACGAAACAAGCCTGGCTTTTCGGCTTTAATGGAAGCTTCGCCACAGTTAACAATGTAGTACAACATATTATAAAAATATATTACATTATAGATAAAGTTTGACAACCCTTATGATCGTAGTACTAGGCGTTTCTCACCTTTAACCTTAGAGTAATTACATACATACGTATGCATAAAGAAAACCTACAATTCAACATAAATTAAATTTAAAGTTTTTTCTTATTTAATTTTCGAATAAGGCAAAAATAGACAAATCTATTGCAAAATGTTGCGTATAATTCAAGCGTGGAAATAGAAATGTCAAGTGGTCATCTTTGGTCTCTTTATACTATGCCAAATATGAGAGTAAGTACTCGTATGTTCTGATTTACTAGAATAATGACATCCCTACTACAATAGTGTTATATGTGAAGTTACTTTACAAGACTTTTACGTCTTTATTAATAGTGATTTCGTTCGCAATGTTAGATACAATCGACATCGATATACTCGTTTTTCTATTATTATTTATTTTTATTACTTTATATGCCTAAAAATATAAAAAATAGGACTAGGCTTATTCGAACGATCAAATAAATTAATATCTAAATCAAGTGATGATGATTATTACATTACATTTCAAATATTAATTTCGCAAACTTTAAAAACTAGTTATGGAGCTATCAATACTAAGTCTTGACAAACACACGGTAAATGAACAAGTTGAATCCCGTTTGCTTTATATTTATACAAAGCTTTATCTGCTTGGATAAAAATATTTCCAACTCATGAAGCTAGGCAGGATCTTAATAAAGATGAGTAGCGGAAGCGAAAAAGAATTCACTACCTCCTACCAAATAATATATATCATTACTCAAAAGCTCTAAGGCCCCATACCATCCCGTGAGTATCGTAAAAGACGTCAGAGAGAAATGAAACGTGAAATAGACAACAGTATCTTCGTAGCACAAAATAATAAAAAATTACGGTTGCCAAATCACTTGCTAGGAGAGAGAACTATGGCAAATATTCCCCGTACGTTCACTTAATTAATGAATGATGGATAATGAATAGTTCTTGAGAGAGCAGAGAAAACGGGTAAAACGTTCGTAATCGATTTATTGGTAGTTGTGATCTAGCGACAAAAGAGAAGGCAGACCGCGGTCGTTTCGCTGTTATATAACTATACTAGGCTGCACTAAAAGTATCGGGAATGGAATATTTCCGCGGTTCCTGTCATATTAAAATCTTTTTAATTGAAAACTCCTTGGTTTTAAAAATCGAATACCATTTATTTATTTAAAAAAAGATTCTCGGTCTTGTCAAACTTGTTTAGTCGTTAAGAAAATGGAATTGACTCGAGAAAATTCAAGAGCAATGATTTATTATGACTTTCGAAGTGGTTTAACATAAAAACAGTGTGTTGACCGGATGATTTCTGCATTTGGTGATGAAGCCCCATCCAAAACCACAATGTATCGCTGGTTTGCTGAATTTCAACGTGGACGTGTCAAGCTCAGTGATGATCCCCGTCAAGGTCGTCCAAAAACTGCAGTCACCCAAGAAAACTTTGATGCTGTGCGTAAGCTGATTGAGGAAGATCGACATGTGATATACCGCGAAATTCAGGCAACTTTAGACATTGGCATGAGTGAAATACAAATAATCTTGCATGAACAATTAGGTGTAAAAAAAAATGTTTTCCCGATGGATACCGCATTCGCTCTGTGAAGAGCAAAAAGCGGCTCGCGTTATTTGGTGCGTCAGAACCCTCAAAAGATTCCACGCAGGATCCTCAAATGCTGTATACAACATCGTATCAGGGGACGAATCCTGGATATACGCGTACGAACCCGAAACAAAAAACCAGTCACGAGTTTGGGTGTTCGAAAATGAGTTAAAGCCAACAAAAATAGTTTGTTCACGGAGTGTTGCAAAAAAAATGGTGGCCACGTTTGTCTCCAAAACCTGACTATTCCTCTTGAGGGACAAAGAATGGTTAATGCAGAATGGTATGCTAGCTTTTGTTTGCCACAGGTCGTTTCTGAACTCCGTAAAGAGAACTACAACCGCCGCATCATCCTCTATCACGACAATGCGAGTTCTCACACCGCACACAGAACAAAAGAGTTTTTAGAGCAAGAAAACATAGAATTATTAGACCATCCGGCATAGAGCCCCGACCGAAGGCCTAATGATTTCTATACTTTCCCTAAAATAAAGAATAAATTGCGTGGACAGAGATTTTCATCACCTGAAGAAGCTGTGGACGCCTACAAAACGGCCATTTTGGAGACCCCAACTTCAGAATGGAATGGTTGCTTCAATGATTGGTTCCATCGTATGGAAAATGTGTCAAATTTCGCGGAGAATACTTCGAAAAGCAATAAATACATTTTTAAATAGTAATGTTGTGTCACTTCCTTGATTCCCGAAATTTTCACTGCCGCCCTCGTACTTTCGTTTTAAAGCCACGCTGCAGCTATAATGTTTGTAGTACGAATGGGTTGGCTCTACCGGGGAGGTAAAGGCTTTCACAGAATACTAGCGTAAAATAGTAGCTTAAGGCTGTTGTGTTGTGTTGAGAGAGTAGTAACCCTTTTTACTGGAAACGAGGTATTCCATCTTTGTCCTTTACAACGCATCAGCATTTTATTTTTAATCTAGGATAAGTGTAGATGTCCAGGGGCCACAGCATCCACTCGCGATGTGTGTTCGTTTGGCACCCTTATTTTATAAAAAATTGTAGCAGTGCCCTCTATGTACGTCCCGTTACACAAACTACGTGTCGATTAAACAAACACAGTTATTATTTCTTGTGAAAACCATACTAAAGTCCAAGGATAATTTGGCAGAAATATATTGGCTGAAACGAAGTAGATTTCATAGTGAACTTTCACGATATATTTTAAATTATACAACGATAGTAGGAAATCCTGCATTAATCAACTATGTTTTGTTGTAAGATGTCAGATGAAGCTTCCATAAACTTAAAGTACATTTTAAATAAAAACAGAAAGAATGTATACAAACATTCCGGATGTCTCACTAAAGACCGAAAATAAAACTGTTGAGTGATGCGATATCGGTTGATCAATCGAAAGGATCAAATATTTGTAGGTCCAATGTCTAATTGAGTATTTAATTAGCTATCTGACAATTACATCTGGATTGCAAAAGATTTCGTGATGAAGACTTTGTGATTTCGTGTTTTATAAGGTCCATCTGATGGCAAGTGAATGCGGTAGCCCATAGACTAATGATAATACTCCTGAAAAATGACATAAAAAAGTAAAAACGTGGTTGATTTAAATCAAAAGAGTAAATTGTAAGTATGAGGATTATATCAGAGTATGCAGAGTACCGAGTATTAACCGAGTACTCGGCCCATCTCTAGTTCCTACCATCATTACGTATCAAAAGCCACTTAAAACATTATAAGGCATAACAAATAGTGACCGAACTCCAGCTAACGACAATGCTTACGCTAGTCTGCAGCGTTGGCGTTTCTGTATAAAGTATAATATTTAAAAATAAAACTTCTCTGTGAACTGCATCACAGCCTCAGAGTTCTGTGAAGACAAAGCCTTAATTTTTTTGATGTAATCCTTTAAGGATGCAGAACTGGCATCCATTGTAGAGCCGCAGAGGCTTCAAGTTAATGAATGAAACATTTACTACTAAATCAAAAAAAAATAGTAGCTTACCTGTGTGAATACCTATTCTTAACTTAAGGGTTTCATTTGGTCTATGCGCTATTTTGTGACTCTTGACAGCGTTGAGCAGCTCGAGCGCCATGGACGCTATCTCACCCACATGCCGGTCGTTGTTTCGAATGGGCAGCCCAGACACCTGCCGATATCGGAACTACGTCACGGACTTACTAACTTTGTTTTATTTTTTAATATTTTAATACCATCTTAAATAAATAAATTTGTAAGAAGAAGTCTATATGAAAATATAATTAAACAAAATTAAACTGAATAAAAAGTAACAGTCGACTTCGTTTCACCTTAAAAAGTAACTAAATCTATATTCACTAACGTAATAATTTAGTACAAAATTTATTAACACCACTTTAGAATTTATAGTACCAACCACCATATAGGCGTCGCCAATAGTCTCTACTTTGTACACATCGTAGCCTCTAATAATTCTATCGAACACTGTGTACAAATCGTTCAAGAAGTTGACGACTTGCAGCGGCGTGCTCTCCGCGGACATGGCGGTGAAGCCGACGATGTCGCTGAAGTAAATGGTGACGGAGTCGAAAGACTCCGGCTCCACGCCCTCGCCCGTAGTGAGCCGCCTCGCCACAGACCTACAACAAAGTACGCATTTCTCAACATGCTATAATTGTTACTGTTTCTCCACTATCAAAAAACGCTATATTTGAAAGTGCTTCAAACAAAATCTACAGCAAAAAGGATTTTTGTAATGTTGCATATTGATCAATGTACGTATATAAAAATATTCAATTTAATACATACTAACAGCTAAGATGATATAAATTATCATGCTTAATTCAACCACTACCACTAGTACGTAATTGAATTTAATATTTTGCAGCGGAAATTGCCTACCTACTTAACAGATTTTGCTAAATACAATTACTGCTAAAATTACGACATTCCTAAAATTTTATAAGTGTAAACCTATACCTTCTACAAGCATTACAAGTGTATTTATTAAATGCCTAAAAATACACAACTATATCCATTTTCAAGGTTTTTTTAAGGTATAAATGCCAAACTTATTACGTAAATGTATATAGATAACGGAATTATGTGTACATATAATAAATAATAAGCTATATAAAACATAATAAAATAATAATGCACGTGAAAAAAAGCATGCTTCATCTACTCTTACAACCAAATCTTATCTATGAGCAAAATTCAAAAGTCAAACACCCCTAAACAATAATCCCCTACCAATCTTTTTGAGACAAACTAGAAAAACGCCAACACCGATCACAACGCGTTACGTAATATCACCATAAATCCCAAGCAAGCTCTACTTTTACTGGGTTAATGGGCAAAGTGAGCCATAAACATACATCGCTTGTCACAAAGCAATGTTGGTCCGGCACCTATAGCACAAGATAAACCGTATTAACTACAATCACCAGTAGGGAGTTAATTACCTCAAGACATTTTCACGACATTTCTATTATGGATTCAACCTCCACATCTGGAAAAGAACACAAGTACAACAAAGTGAATACAATTACATTTTTTTTCCTCTTTTTGGAACAAAAGTATGTACCCCTGCTTTACATCAAGTCCATGTCGATGGATCAGAAAGGCACTACATTTATTAAAACTATTCATCTGTGCATTAGCCACTACAAGAGTTAATAAGTAAATATTTTAGATTTAAATCTGATTAAAATTAACATAATCAAAAAGATAAGATATTTTTGGATATAGTAGGGGTATGTGTAGTAAAATTACTTAATATTTGCTGACAACTACAAAGGTATGGGGCATATTACATACATCATACTGCCAGCTCTAAGTTTCCTAGAACTATTTCCCAGCAACAGGAATTACTAAATAAAACTAGCTGCTAGACTTAACACGAGATCTAAGAGGAGCCTAATAAGTTTTTTGTAAAAACAATGCATGTGGAGTTCATGACTGGACTGAATGTAAACCAGTGCGCACACCACAGCAATCAGCCAGGAGTGTGATGCAGCTTGTTGTATTTGCGTCTTCCGTAACTGTGCTCACATTTACATTTAATTATAACATTGATTACATACCTTATATTAGTAACAATAACATTACATTACCACTTTTATAACTAAGAAATAATTACATAAAGGAGGACTTTGTTTACTTTCTCATGCATATATATCCATAGACGACGCTAGCCACATCCATCCCATAGGCCTCTCACTATATTCGATATACATATTATTGATTAATTTCTAAACTAAATACAGTTAATACATTAAAAGAAAATTTTATGAAACGTTCCACTTAAAACTGTGTGGTAAAATGATATATTGTCTGATGTTTCTTAACTGAGTAGACAAATGCAAGGAAACAAGTCCAAAGAACACAACTTACTAATGAACATATGGATGGGCCATGCAGTAACTAAATTTGTTGTCTCCATTTTTGGTACTTATAATTTAAACAATTATCTTTATTAGAACTTTAAAATAAAGGAGTGTTTGTTAGATGACAACAGGACTTTGAATCGTGCGCGCGATTCTTATCTTGTATCCACCCTACTCTATATCATAACCATGTTAAGTTATACTGAATGGAACATGTACTCACTTTGGTAGCATTCTATGTAATAAATCTTCGGTTTTTTGCTTCTCTTCTATTAATAGCCTCGTCCTCTCGTTGACTAGTTCTTCTAAATTATTAGCATACTTCTCCATCATGTCCATCATTTGATCCATAATATTCCTTGACCTTCATACAAACATTATAAATAATTACAAAGTTTGATACAATAATATAGTAAAGATTACCGCTAACACAAGACTATTCTTATCGGTCAGTCATATCAGAGTCTATTTCACCCGAGGATGCCTCGCTTAGAAGCGAAACACGTGTCGCATTATTGAAAAAAAATGAAAATGAAAAGTTATTGACTGTGGTGTGCCTTTTTTAGTGTAGTTGTGTTAATAGTAGTGGTGTTGGAATTAGTGATGACGGCGATAGTGCATGCAAGTGAGGAAGGACAGGTGATTCAAACTAGATGCCTAACACATAATTATATATTATTTCGCAGATCCTAGCCAATGAATTTTTTACATCTTTAATATGATGGATTTCTGCAAAGTAATGCCTGATTATTATTTACAATAATATTATTTTGCTATACTATATTAAGTATGCCAATAAGATAGTTCTATAAAAAAGCACACATAATATCTTAATAGGTAAATGAAAGAGTGGTTAAATCATTTGAAACACATTTAAATAAACCATCGTAGTGAAATAAAGAATATATACAACACGTAACATAATTAACGCACTTCGAGAAAGTAGTTTGTTCAGAATAGTTTCCTATCATTTTTAATATAGGTAATTTTTTATCCCAAAAATAATTAAAACTACGTAAATTACAGTCACACTAAATCTGTACAGTCAAAACAAACTGAAATGGACCTAAACAATAAGACTTTTAAGAGAGCAGTTTTATTTGTATTATTACTAATTCTGTAATTCAATAAAAATAAACAAAAATGAACTTTATTTCAAGGAAGTTAAAGTCTTTGCGTTCGTGGATTTGTACTGTGACCTCAACATTCTTCCGGAATTAGTATAACTAATTTGATAAATAATCAGTGCATAAAAATGTTGAACTAAAAATTCAGTGTATGTATTATGATTATAACATAATATACTAAATGGGGTGGCTGAGGGTGTGCGTTAATTACGTTACATATTGTATATGTATAAAAATCAATTGTTGTCCATTAGTCTCGCTAAAACGCATAAACGGCTCGACCGATATCGACGAATTTTTTTTGTGTGTGTTTGAATGGGTCCGTGGATGGTTTAGATTCACAATTGTACCCGGTAGGTGGCGCTGTTGTTGAGATCCAGAAATCAGCAGTGCGAAGCCGGGGCGGTTCACTAGTATAATATAAATTACAAATAGTTCCAATTTAAACATTCTTATTGTTTATTTTTTATTATGTGCGAGCCGCTATGTAGGTCTAGGGAAAGAGACCAGTATCACTGCGACCTAAATGATCTATTGTGATCGCTACTATGGCTATAGTTCACTGAATAGAAGGAGTTGCCGTGAGCAATTTCACTACTTCTGGGCGGAGTACATAGTTTCCCAGATGAGTGTTACATTTGCGCATTAAGGGTCCGCAATCAGTTAGGATGTGCAGAGTTTTTATTCTTCATCATCCGCCTGTAAAACTCTACTGCTAGGCATGAGCCTCATCAGCCAGACACTGCTCCCAGTGACCGGTCTGAGTTTTTTATGCAATAAAAAATGGTTATTTGCCATCTATCGAAATACATAGGACCTTTCAGGTATTTCCACCTCGTACGGCTTCTAACGAGACGAAATGGGGTGATGAAATATCTTGCAACACCACCACGACCATTAGAATAAGATAAGTTTAAGAATTATAAGTCTTAAATTTTACTTGAATGTGATAAATATGTTATAAAATATGATTATATAACCGTGTAGTGGCGGTGTGAGATTTCCACTACCCCACATCGTCACATGATGTGATGTGATCGACAAACCAGCAGATGGGCACCAGCATTTTTCTAATAACAACTAGAAATAAAAAACCACGTTTACAAACCCCTGCCAAGCATGGTAAATATGTCCAAATATCCTTTTCAGGGCAATATTTGGCGAGACCTATATTCGGCAGTGGACTCTGACAGGCTGTAAAGGTAACGGTTACATAACAATTTAGGAAGATTTTTTTCTGTGTTTATTTCAAGGCCGGCTATACATGTTGACCGAGCGAAGGCGAGTACCAACCTACAGACACCCCATTTGTCTAGCCTCATTGCTCGTCATCGCTCGCCTAGCTGGCCGAGTGCAGGCGAGCTCCAACGTGTATACGGTTCGTTTGGCGTGCCTTGCCAACACTCGTGATCGCTCGCCACGACTCATCTCACTTCGGAAGTGTCGGTTTTTCTGCACAAAAATCAAAGACGCTCGCCTACACTCGGCATGTCGTGTCCACATGTTAGTCGGTCATGTCAGTATGTTCAATCGTTTAAACTTGGCCAATATGAAGACTTTAGCACCCGCCTTGTATCATTTTGCCTACGCACGCATTGATTGAAGCTTGACCAACTTGTATTTCCGGCTTAAAAAAACTGTGTACTACATATCACAGCCTATCAACAATAGAATGCTACTAACGACAAATATTAAGGTTTAAGAGCCTTGAAACATAATGGAAGTTACTAGAACTGCTATTTGATTATTAGTGAAACTTATAAAAAATATAACAACTTACTTGCCAGACTTCATTTTCTTTAGGCGGCTTCTGATTGTGGGGAAGTCAGGCCTAAGATTGGGATCCTCAGCCCAGCAGTCCTTCATGCAAGCAACCACATAGTCCTCCGCTACACCATCAAGAATGCTTGTATCCGGCCTGAACACTTCTTCGCCATCTAATTTTGGCCTCTTTACTCTATCTACAATATCTAAGATTAAAAAAGAATTTGAATCAGGTAAAAATTTTGTTACAACGAAATTCTGGGAATAATATTTACTTAAACATGAAGATATATTATTAATATAAACCTTCACCGTCAAATTTTGTAAAACTGTTGTTTTAACTCGCAACTGCGCATGAATATTTTAATATGTCGAAAACTGAGAACAATATACCTAGAAAACTAATAGGCAAATCCTGCTAAGGAAATTTCAGTAGTTAATGTAAAAGTTCTCCTAAATGATTTTGACAACAAGTGCAACTGAAGTGCTTATGAAAGCATACAGACAGGCATTCATTTAAATTAGTCTATCCAATGTACCGCTTTTACGTAAGAAGCAGAAGTGAGCTCGAATGCAGTATAAGAGACAAGGGCAATAAACGCATCTGGATTCGTTTGGTTTACGAACCTAAATTAGTGTTTTTTAATTGAATAAAGGTGATAAAAGACCACACAGTCCACCTAATGCTGTTTCTAATAGATGAAGAATCAAACCGTAGATGCGTTGTCATCCGTGAGGACTAAGGTGAAATGAGTTAAGGAAATAATGTTGAACTCGATTGAAATATGAACCCACCAGTTGTTTTTGTTTACCTATTACAAGCCAGTACTTGACTATCCCACTTATGGTAAGTAGTGATGATGGCCGAAGATGATAAAGCGCACTGATATAGCTTAACAAAAGTCTTTGTACTCTTGCCATGAATGTACCAATAATGTAATGTGATGAAAAAATTATGGCAAATTGTTCTAATCCATCACTGTATACATTACGAACGATATAGCAATCCTTTTAATTTGAATGCTTGGATTGTCGACAAAACGGGGCTTATTGACTGATATTCAAGGGAAGAGAGAGAGAGGGGAATTAACTCATGTAATTTCTGTGCACACTCCGTAATGAATAACGAGAGGCTAGCTAGTTTGGTCCTGTGTTCGATGCTGGCAAGATTGTCTTTTATTAAATTCACCTCACCAAAGAAGATGGCATTCCGCAGCACCAGCGTAAATGTGGCAGCAGTACTCTGCACACTTTGTATGTTGAAAACAAAGCTTAGTGACATTTAAAAATAACTTAAATAATTTTGATATTGCAAAACGTAAACCAGACCGTATTCAAAGACCTAGTGAACAGGAAATAAAAATAGGGAATATACATCAAATGATTCGGAAAGAATTTTTTTTAAATACCTTTGGGTTCAAAAGCAGTGAGTCCAAAAGGACCTCGTCTGGCAATTATTTCATAAAGAATAATGCCAAATGCATACACGTCGCCTTTTTGCGTGCCGCCTACTGTTCCGTTTGGGTCGTCTAATTGTCGCAGTAGCTCCGGTGATTTCCACAACAGGCCTGTCGTAAAAAAATTGCCAGGTTAAAAGTATGTTATTTGAAACAAAAAAAAATATTTTCAATATAAATTATATACCTCTAAAATATTGATGCTCTCCTATAAATTCATTTTCAGCGCAATATCTTAGCTCATGTAGACCGAAGTCTGTAACCTATGGAAAATTAAAAAAGTAAAATAAAGACATTTAAAAACGCTTATTAATTGTAATAAAAAAAATCATATTAACCTGTAGCATCCACCGAGATGTCACAACACAATTAGAAGACTTGAGATTACCGTGAAATATTAATGGCGAAGTATGAATAAAAGTCATACCCTGAAAATTAAGAAATAATAATTTTTGTAAAATCAACACAGTATTTGACAAAGAAAACCATGTAAAATAACTATTACCTTAATGAGATCATGAACTAGCGACGAGATAAACATTTTATCTAATTTTATATCTTCATTTTCGATTATATCCTGTAACAGAAAGTAAACAAGAATTTACTAAGTTGTTTATATAATTTTTATTATATTTTAGATCACAGAATACTATAATACACAATAGAATGGCTGTCAACCTAATTTTGTACAACGATAGGCGTCGCCGGGAGCACACATTCAAGCAATAACGTCGTATTATCACTACTACAAACCCGATTCGCTCTGTGTTGACAGACATATTTTAATACATATTTATTTGTAAATAGCGTGCAATTTGGCATTTTTAAATAATTTTCATGCGAAATTTGGAAACGATTGTAAAACAAACACATCTCGTGTTGACATTTATACGTGTGAATTGACGTGTTAGTGACATTTTAGTGACTACACGGGCTCCGCCCACTCCCCCCAGTGCGAAGCTAGAGCTCCAAGCTAGGGCAAGCCCAAGATATAAATTGATAAAAATATAGATTGTTGTTTTTAGCAGTTTTATAAAAACCTAGCAGTTTTATAAAAAGTTTTATAAAAACACCAATCTTGATCTGTCTCCGCGCTTCAGTTTCATATTCAGTGCTGTCAAGGACGTGTTTAACAAAGCACACAGAAGGCATACCACTGCTAGATAGATTGTATTACATATCAGCAATTGCATAGCTTCGGTGGCTTTGAAGAAGGCCGTTTGGGTTTGTTTAAGCGAAAGAAAAAAATATTTACATCCAATACAATACATGAACAAAAGTAAAACACGAACAAAGTACAAACAAACTATGTACAAAATTAAAAAAAAATTATTTACATTCTAATGGATAAGAGAAAGATAAGATAAGTGGAATCGTCTCGCTTTCTTATGGAAAGATTTAATTACGTCCACGTAAAATGTTGGTGAACGTTTTAATTGTAGCAATAACTGTTTTTAATTGCGATAATTGATAAGTCTGAAGTACACTCTTAACCTTGTGTATTATCTCAACAAAGTTTAAAGATTTCTTCTCCGATTATCACTTTAACACACTTCAATTCATCACAAGGAACACTATTATCCTCCATTTTCATTAAAAATCTTTAAAAAAGCATAAATTTTGAACTCGTAATATTAAATCGCTTAAGATAAGCACACAGAGTAAATAAACATTGAAACGTGAAATGAACTTGCAAACGTATTGACCGCGCGCCTGCGCCTTTAACAAATTTATTCCCAAAAGCCTGGCTTTAAATCTCTATACTAATTGCTATATATACATTCGTAGTTATATTTCATTATAGAATATTTTGCCATAGGTTAGAAAGAGAGCGATCGTCTTCTCGAAAGCCCCGTAAAAAGCCCACGCGAGCGAGGGAGACAACTATTAGCTCTATTAAACTCATTTTTTATGACAGGAGCAGTATCGCTAAGGCAATACGAGGTCATCGGTCGACATGTGTCGAACAGTGGAGTGCGCGGGAAATTTGAAATAGCTTGAAACATTTTACGAGTTATTTTATTAGTTATATTATATTGATATTATTGATTGATTCAGGTTTAATAAGGCAAGCGCGGCTTTTCGGCTTTAATGGAAGCTTCGCCACAGACTCCCCCGTTCTATTATGTATGTATTATAGTATTCTATGTTTTAGATGATGTAGAGGGGGGAGGGATACCGATATAGCCTAAGGAATGAATCAGTTATCTAAGCCTACATGGCTATGGGATAACTATTCAACCGCTTGAATTAACAAACTGTATAATCCATTCTGCCAGCAAGTGCAATGTTTAGCCCATACTAGATGGAGAGACGAACTGAAGAGGCATACTAACAGTCAATGGGTGGGTGCAAGCAAGGCTTATGTTCGGGACTTGTTGATGGCCTGCAATGATGATGACTCCAATTACTCACATACAAGCTTCCTTTGGCGCAGTAGTCAGTAATGAGGAGTACGCGCAGGGGTTCCACAACTGCACCGATAAACGAATTGAGGTTATCGTGTCGCAGCTCTCGTAGCAGACGCATCTCCTTCATCACTTCACGCGATATATCCTGCCACATGAAAATACATAAAATAAAATAGTTTAAATCAATGTAATAAATTAAAATTGGACACACAAACGAAATTTTAAGTTCTTACTTCGAAATGTAAAAAGTGTTAATTTCTGTATATATATTTAGCCAACTTCAATTAAAGAGGTCTTAATACGACTGTGTTGTTGTTGTAGGTTTATATTTATGTTACACGATATCATCGCTTATTGTGGGCCGATTAGACTTTTTTTTATTAAATGGGTTACATATATATAAATACGTTATGTAGACCTATGTACTTAAATTTAAAAATTAATTGTACCCCTAAGAGTAGAAAAATTGAAAATGAAGTTTGTACTAAAACTGTTTAGACAGCATTTTCTTTGTTACCTTGAGCTTGTGATACTATTTTTAGTCCACCCACAATGGTCAAAAAATTAAAACTTTAATTCGACATATAAGCTTCCTATTATTTATATTTTTTAGTTCTTGAAGCCACCTTTTCTTCTTAGTCAAAAGTTTGATTTTATAAACAATATGATATGTAGGCTATTTAGGCGGATGTAACTTATGGTCCTACTTATCTACCAATAAACGCCCTTGCTTATTTATGATTTTATTCCAGCTGATTTTTTACCGTTTAGAAAAAAAAGGGTCAACGAAGTAGAAGCCTACGACATATTTAAAGCTATTTTGTTAAACTTTAATTTTGAAGAATTAAAAAAGCGATCAGAAAATATTAAACTTCAAATCATGTGACTTTAATTTACATGTGGTATATCAATGAATTCGTGATGCCTTAAAGCCGATCGCTAGAAATAAGTTTACCCCTAAATTAGTAGTACTATTTCATAGGTACTATGTTTCATATTTGTAAAAATGTTGTAAAATGCAACCCTTAAATTAGTAGTACTATTTCATACTATGTTTCATACTTGTAAAAATGTTGTAAAATGCAACCCCTAAATTAGTAGTACTATTTAAAACCACCAAAAAATAAAAAAAAAAAAAAAAAAAAAAAAAAAGCACTCCTAACAAGATGAGTACAGACCATAGTATGTTTCATACTTGTAAAAATGTGTAAAATGCAACCCCTAAATTAGTAGTACTATTTCATACTTGTAAAAATGTTGTAAAATGCAACCCCAAAATTAGTAGTACTATTTCATACTATGTTTCATACTTGTAAAAATGTTGTAAAATGCAACCCCTAAATTAGTAGTACTATTTCATACTATGTTTCATACTTGTAAAAATGTTGTAAAATGCAGCCGGTAGACATTCGAAAATGCCGAACCAAAACCCCAAACTGACAATGTAAACTAGAGCATCACTCTTGCATGGATATGACCACTGCGTTCACCACCCCCAGTGGTGAGGATTTGCTAATCTTACAAACCTTACGAGTAAAGCTATTTGTGTATGCTGTATATATCTGTGTGTGTGTAACCTTTAACTTCTATATTCTATCGTTGAATTCCATTCATCTCAATATAATCCGATTTTTAGATAAAAACATTAGCTGTTTTAATGCTCAATATAATTTAAAAAAAATCTAAGCCATAACAAGTTACAAACCCAAAACTAAATTTGAATACAATTACATAATTTTACCCAAAAATCTTTCTTTTAGCCTATGTCTAATGTAATCTCAGTCAGTATATATCCGCTCGTTTGCTTCTTGCAACCACAGTTGCAAAAACAGAATCCTTAACTTTGCTCTATGCAACTGTGGTTGCAAAGCGTCGAAGTTCTTTTAATTGAATTTAGACCATGTTTAAACGCACAGAATCTAACTATTACGTATTAAAACCAAAAACAAATATATAAATCATAGATTTGGATCAAAATTACCAACCTCGGACGAAAAATATTGAAACTTTGTTAGTTAAACTTTAATGAGTGAAGTGACGCTGGAATGGATTTAACGAGGTGATAAAATATGTCGTGAGTATTGAATTTTATTGATTTTTGCTAGTATTTATATATCAACTTAATGTCTTATTAGTGTTTTCTTGTATTAAAGTAATATTTTTTGCAAATAGTGTATGAAAAATGTGATAAAGTCGACTTTTGAAAATACTCAGAATGACGCGAATCTAAACATAATTTTCTATAGCTTACATTATCGTAATTATGTTGTATTCTTTAAATACGAAATAGTCGTAGTGGTACTTGAATAATAATTATTAAATTTAAGTAATAAAGTTTTACAAATTGTTCATCATATTATAATATAAGTTTTTATGTAATAACAGTCTAGATTGTAAGTAACAAATCGCGATCAATTGCACAATCCGTGAATTCTTCATCGTGTTTCACTTAATATTTTTACTATGTATTTAAATATAAATCGTTTTATAATATAGATAAATATATGAAGTAATTTGTTTAAGGATATAATAAATAATCATACACTTATCAATCCTTATTTTTTTGATAAACCCGATGGATGTTTTACAAAAAGTCGCTAAAATGGCTTGTACTTGTGTTTTCAACACCTCTAAAATATTATTGTAATAATATTTTGATAGAATAACATATGTATTTTTATTTCCTATTTCAATGGCTATTCATAAAATTTAAAATATTTGAAGTGCTCCTCTCGAGTAAGTCATAAATTAAGTTTTATTGACGGCGGGTCGAACGTAAGAAACACAGTCCCGATTACTGGCAAACTAAGCTACCCTTTTTTTGTTAGCAAGCAATCGAGCGGTAATATATCTACTCTCTATTGTGCATTTACGTGGCTTTTTTCCTAGCTAAGATCGAAGTTGGAACGTACCTTCTTTTTCGAAAACTTTAGTTCCTTAATTCGTACCACATTTCCTCTGTATTGTGCGGTTGTAGTGAATATTTGAGTGCAACATCTGCTCTCACACGATATTCCACTTGCCAAACTCAACTACAACAAAGAAATGAAAAAGTCTCATAAAATTATTTTTATTTAAAATACTTACTATTCATGCACTGTTGAATTATATTCAACCAAATGGTACACGGTTGATCGTCACACTACTAATATACATTGAGAAAACAAATAAGTAAACATCAAACAAATAGGACTATCGTGCTTCTTTTTTTTATAGGATAGGGTGACAAACGAGCACATAGTCCACCTGATGGTAAGTGGTAAGTGGTTGCTGCGGGTGCGGCACATGGACATCTACATCTATCCTCTATTACAAATCAAAATGCAGATGCGTTGTCACCCGTGAGGACTAAGATGGAATGCCTCGTTTCCAGTAAAAAGGGTCTCCGGTTCTCTACACTCATCATACGAATTACAGCAGCATTAAGCTACTATTTCACGCTGGTATTCTGTGAGAGCGTGGTCCTTCCCCGGTCGAGCCGACCCATTCGTGCTACAACTATAATACTAACGTAACTGCGGCATGGCTCTACCACATATAAAAACAATGTATTATGTATAACAACAATGTGAAGCTTTGCCATGCTTTGTCCAGAGTAGCTATGACGCTACGGTATCCACATGTTTACAGAACAATCCGAGACCACTAATGATCCAGTAGTGTAGTTTGAAATAACACGTCACTAAACTTGACATCAAAACATAAACTTAAATGATTCCAAATACCATAAATGTAATATAAAATATATTGACAATACCTTACTTGGCGACCACACAAGCCCACTTCCCAAATAGCCAGCAATTTCATGTGGATCAATTTTCCATAGAAGACCTTCTATTTCTTGCTCGATCTTCCATTTGCGATAAATGCTTATGGTAACAACAAGGGCACAAAACAAAGTGACAGCCAGTGTGCCCGCGACTACAAGTGAAGTTATTTGTGAATCGTCTTTGGGACACTTTTCATTGAGAAAACCACAGGAAGGTTCGTCTTCAGGCTTTACACTATCAGGCCAGTCAATAGGTAGGCGCGGATTCAATTTGTATTCCTGGAATCGTATTAAGGTAATGAAGAATAGACATTATTTAGATATCAGAATAAGAATAAGTATATAAGAATAAGAAACATTATAAAAATAGTTTAGTCCAATTTATCATTCATACACTACAGTCGTCAATATAGATTGCCTCGTAGGGTGGATAATTGTCATAGAATAATAATGTACGCTTGAAAGGCGGGTTAGTAACTGCATTTATTTTGTTATTTTTAGTTGTTTTCAGGAAGATTCTACTGCCTACGTAATGTTTCATTTTCCTCCGTCGCCAACTCAATGTAAAAAAAATCAAATGTAGACCAATTCAATTAAAACATCTGGTCTGATCTGGGTGCAATTCAGTCTACTCTCACGCTCGACCTCCCAGTAAACTAAAAAACTAAAAGAAATAAGGAATCGAATTTAATTAAAACCTTATCAGGTATATAGAGCCGTGGTAGCTCAGTGGTTAACGCTCGCTGTAAATATAACAGAACGCGAGTAACCCGGGTTCGATCCCCGCCGGCACCAATGAAATTGTTAATTGCAATTTTAAGTGCTGATTTACCACGTGCTCGGCGGTGAAGGAAAACATCGTGAGGAAACCTGCATGTCTGAGGAATAAGAAAAAAAATATTTCGAAGACATGTGAAGTTCGTCAACACGCATTTGGGCAGCGCGGCGGACACTTCCTTGCCCTAAACCCTCTCAGAAATGAGGGGAGGCCTGAGCCCAGCAGTGGGACGTATATAGGCTGTAACTTTACTTTAACTTTACTTATCAGGTATTAACTAAACAATTAAGCGTCGAATTAAACTGATTTGGAGACAATATCATAATTTATCATCACACACGCAAGCACACACGCACGTATGAACACTATTGAGCACTAAGATAGAATGCCCGACTAGCCTGTTATTATAATAGCTCTTCCTTCCTTCTCATGGAATATAAAAACAAGATGAAGCAGCCAAAAGCATTATTTGGAACCATAGAATACTATAATACACAATAGAATGGCAGTCAACCTTATTTTGTACCGAGGTTCGGCGTCGCCGGGAGCACACATACAAGCAAATAATTAAGCAAGCTGATAATGACGTCGTATTATCAGTTAATCTCTACCACAAACCCGATTCGCTGTGTTGACAGACGGATTTTAATACATATTTATTGGTAAATAGCGTGCATCTTGTCATTTTCTAAATAATTTGCATGCGAAATTTGGAAACGATTGTAAACAAACACATCTTGTGCTGACATTTATACGTGTGAATTGACGGCTTGTGGCATTATAGTGGCTACACGGGCTCCGTCCATATCCCCGTTCTATTATGTATGTATTATAGTATTCTATGTTTGTAACAGAATCACTGTCGCCAAACTCACACATTCGCAAGAAAGAAATGTGTACCCACAATTGTGCACCATGTCAAGATTTTCGCCTGATTGGCTATTAAAAATAAAAATAAAAAAATTATGTATTAAATTTTAAAAAAAGAAATTTTTCTTTTTTAGAAAAAAAAAAATTATTAGAAGCTGCAGAAAAAAAAAAAAATACAAAAGAAGCCCAAAAAAAACCCGAAAAAAAGTACAAAAAAAGGGAAATAAAGTTTAGGAAAATATATGAAAATGCCTTCGAAATTGCCTTCATGTACTACGTATATCATATGCATATGATTCGTTGTCTTTAAGGGAAGTTTGTTAACAGTGACTTATTGAAATGGAAGCAATGAGAATAACAAAAAACAATAATTGAGCAATTGTTTATTATGATTTAAATAACACATATTAAATTTTATAGACCATGATATTAAGATCACCTATATTTCAGCTACTTTCCAAAAGTTATGAGTAATACTTAACTCCTTACTTACTTATCTGGCTTAGCAAATCTAACAAAAATGTTAAAAGGGTAAGGGTATCACCCTATAATATCATATATTTTCATAGACATCCAGTACTTGCATATTATCATTAATATGTTAGTGGATAAACAGGACAGTGAAATTTTTTTATCGAAAACTATTATGGGACTACCCCATCGCAGTAATTTTTATTCAAAATGTATTTACAGGTGAACCTTAGAACAATGACATAAGGTTGAATATTACTTGTAATAAATGCAATTTGATATTTTGTCCTTATTTAGTCACGTTTCTACGAAAAAAAGGAAAAATTACACATGCCTTGATACGAAACACCTTCTTACGAAATATTTTTCTTTTTACATTCGTTTTTATACTCCAATATTGCACAAAACGGCATATTTTTGCATATCTTAAGCAGCGACACGTTAGCTCGCGACAATTTGAGCTAACGACTGACAGTCGCTCTACTGTCCGTAATTGTGACTGGCTTGCCCCGCCTACTTTGGGCTTTCTCTTGTATTTTATATTCCGTGTTCCTTCCAGAACCTTCAGAGCGGAACACAACAGTGCAGACTGCTGCTTGTCGGCAATGGCTAAGGGGCGGTACCTACCTGAAGAATTCCTCGGCAGACGTAATGAATCATAAAGGTGAATGTAATAAATAATATTTTAATACTAACAGGGAACTCGCGGTTAGACTGCTGAAAATGTCCGACTGGTATCATACTGTAGGTACAGTTGATATCCTCATCGCTGAAGTTCGTGGGTTTGAAAGCCAATACCGAGAAATTACCCTCGGAGTCTGCGCGTTCGTCCAATCGTATCGACATTCCGGATACACCTATCGACACATTGAGCTTGGTTAAAAAAGTGAGTGAAATAACTTCTTAAAACTCAATATCACCAACACGTAAGGTTAGCCACTATCAACGAACTAACGAATGAAGCTCTGTCGACCGATATGATTATAGAAAAGAGCAATATGAGGGTGTCTGCCCTGGACTCATCAGCCCGACTACCTAGCATGATGAGTATTGGCTAATCTTCCAAGATTTTTTTAAAAGTTTAGGGTGAAAAACGAGCACACAGTCCTCCTGATGGTAAGTGGTTGCTGTGGCCCATAAAAATCTACATTTGGCCTCGATTACGAATCAAAATGTAAATGTGTATTCACCCGTGAGGACTGAGACGGAATGCCTCCTTTCCAGTAAAAAGGGTCTCCGGTTCTCTACACTCACCATACGAAACACAGCAGCGATAAGCTGCTATTTTTACGCTACTATTCTGTGAGAGCGTGGTCCTTCCCAGGTCGAGGCGACCCATTTGTGCTACAACTATACTACTAATGTAGCTGCAGCATGGATCTTCTAAGTACATTTGACGTGTTCTTGGAAAGATTTAATATCCCGCACTGAATTGAGAAATACTGAAGAACTCACCATTAAGACACAACTTGTAGACAATCATTGCACATAAATCTACTCATCTATCTATTTTACATTAAACCAATGGGCTGTTGGCTCACGAGCCAAGTCTAGTAAATAATATAAATTTCATGTAAAAGTTTGCATTATGAAACAAAAACTTACTTTTGTAAGGAGAGCTTTCAATCATCTTGGCGACAATCCGAGACCCGTTCGTCGCTATGCTCATCAATTTCACATAAGTCAGTTTCTCCTTTTCTGTCTCTTCTTTTATAATTTTATCCAGAGCAATTGCATAGAGCTTGACAGAGTCGTACAAATACGCCGCATAAATGGAAACAAACTGAAACCAAATTGCATAAAATATTTATGTAACTAATTTTTTTAATTGTTTGGGGTTTGGTTTTTAAATTTATAACGCATTCTACATTTTGATTCTTATCGAGGATAAATGTAGTATCTATGAGCCACAGCGTTCATTAACCATCAATTGGACTGTGATTTTTTTTTAATATAAAATAAGGGTGACAAATGAGCACATAGTCCACCTAATGGTAAGTGGATGTTGTGGCCCATAGACATCTACATTTATCCTAGATTAAGAATCAAAACGCAGATGCGTTGTAACCCCTGAGTACTAAGATGATTTTCCTCGTTTCCAGTAAAACGGGTCTCCGGATCTCTACACTCATCATACGAAACACAGCAATATTAAGCTGCTATTTTACATTGGTATTATGTGAGAGCGTGATCTTTCCCCGGTCGAGCCGATCCATTCATGCTACAACCATAATACAGCTGCAGCATGGCTCTACCACGTATAAAACTGTGTGCTCCTTTGTCACCTTTACTCTATAAAAAAATTCATCAAACCCAATCAAAAGCCCACGGCTGAACATAGGCCTCCTTCATAGATTGTTACATAGAAGGTATCTTTGACATAGTTATATTGCAACTATGATGGCAACCGTAGTTTTTAACTTTTTTCAGCTGTTACCAGGAAAAGACTGCTCATATACTATACTTTCAGTTTCCCTCAGTTACCTCTTACGATTCCAACGGAATGATTGGGGACAGTAGGTTATCCTACGCCGCCACTACACCGCATTTATTTGATTGTATGTCTTAATCTATACCGTATAATACATTATTATTAATAAAAATGAATCTAAATTACTGGTTTATAAATTTATCGGTGGTGATGAACCGTGGTAGCTCAGTTGCTAAACGCTCGTCGTAAATTTTACAGTCCGCGAGCAACCCAAGTTCGATCCTCGCCGCCACCAATGAAATTGATAGTTTTTTACAATTTTAAGTGCAGATTTTTCTTCACCGCCGAGCATTATTACCAAGTGCTGAAAAATAGTGTGCGGAAAACGGCATGTTTGAACAATAAGTAGTAATATTTCAAAGACATGTGAAGTTTGCCAACACGCATTGGGGCAGCGGGACGGACATTTATTTGCCCTAAAAGCCTCTCAGAAATTAGAGGAGGCCTGTGCCCAGCAGTGGGACGTATATAGGCTATAATTTAACTTTTTTGAATATATCGATAAACGGATCAAATTTAGTCACAATTTACTTTTTCAAATTACATAGTTCAACTCATAAACTTATTACTACTGCGTATGGATGGAATTGAATTGAATAAACAAAATGTTACCGACTCCTTGATTCGAAAATGTTTATGGAGTACCAACGCGAACACCAATGCGTTCTATGCGTCCGTGCAGTGTTTCCACTTTTAGATATTTAGCACTATTTTAGGGTAAATCTAATTATATAGGCTTTAGGTGTTTCTTCAACTTGAGAGGGTTTTGGATGATTTGGGGTAAAACCGAACTTCAGGTAACTCTTTTTATTTATTTTTAAAGATTCATCGAAAGGATTCATCATCCTTTCAGAAAGAATGGGCCAATGTGTGAAAGAGTATGAATGTAAGCCCAAGACTGCTATGGATACGAATGAAAGTGGGCTTAAAGAAGTTGTTTGTGTTAGGGGTCTACGCCCCAGACATATCTAAGCCCACTTATATCCGGGAGCAGTTTTGGGAAATGGTAAGGATGGTGTTAATGAAGTGTAAGGGAAATGAAAATATTATTATGCTAGGAGATTTTAATGGAAGGGTTGGGGTGAGGAGGCTTGGTTATGAAAGGATATTGGGAACGTTTGGTGATGAAAGTATAAATGGGAATGGTGAAAGCCTCCTCACCGTATGTGTGGAAAGGAATTTTTTTGTGACAACACTTTCTTTCGTCATAAAAAGATTCACATGTATACTTGGGAAAGAGGTGATGATAGAAGCATGATAGATTTCATAACTGTGGATGAAAGAATGAGGAGCGCAGTGGTGGATACAAGGGTTTACCGGGGATCCAACGTAGGGACGGACCACTACCTGGTCTTATGCCGAATTAGGGGTTTATTCAGACGTTGGCGGCATAGGACATCTGTGTCTACCACTGCTTTACAGCGTATAAGAATTGAGAGGTTACAAGATGAAGATAAGAAAGACAAGTACAAATGCAGACTGAGAGAAAATATAAGTAATTTGGATGAGTTGTGTGTGAATGAGTTAGACTTGGAGAATGTGTGGTGTAATGTTAAGAATGGTTTAGTGGATGCAGCTACCGAAGTATGTGGTGTTAGTAAAAGAACGAATGAAAGGAAAAACAATACGTTATGGTGGGATAACGAGGTATGTATGGAAGTTGAAGCAAAGAAGAGAGCATGGCTAGATTTACTAGCGACCAAAGCTGATAATTCTGGCGGTAAGAATGATGAGAATGAAAGAAAAAAGGCAGAGTTTAAACGTTTAAATAAGAGAGTAAAAGAATTAGTTGAAAGGAAAAAGCAAGAAAGAACGGATAAGAATGATAGAAGAATATCGGATAACTTCCAGGCAAATATTAAAATGTTCTGTAAACTCGTAAGAAATACCAGGGGACTTTCAAAACAGCCTAGATTGAATGCGATACGAGACGAGAATGGCTGTATCCTGAATGATGAAGTGTTGAGTCTAAAGAGATGGAAGGAATATTTTGAAAGCATATTTATGAGTGAAGGGAAGTGTGAACTAAAGAAAATATAAATTCCGAAAGAAGATGAAAGAGATAGGGAGATAAGTATAGATGAAATAATGAAAGCAATGAAAAGCATGAAAGTAGGTAAGGCAGCCGGATATGATAGAGTTTCACTCGAAATGCTAAGGGCTGGAGAGGACGTGGTGGCAGGCCTGCTGTACACCTTGTTTAATTTATGTTGGGAACTAAAGCGGGTACCGGGAGACTGGTGCAAAGCCGTGATAGTCCCAATATATAAGGGAAAAGGGTCACAGCAGGACTGTAAAAACTACCGTGGTATCAGCCTTCTTAGCATTGTGGGAAAACTGTATGCTAAGGTACTAATTGAAAGAGTTATGAAAGAAACTGATGAAAAAATTTGGGATGTGCAAGCGGGATTTAGAAAGGGAATGGGGTGTACAGATCAAGTCTTTTCCATGCGCATGATCGCGGAGAAGTTTTTGGCGAAAAACCAAAAAGTTTTTTGTGCGTTCATGGACTTGGAAAAGGCTTATGACAGAGTGGACAGGGATGTGTTATGGCAAACGCTGAACGCATTTAGGTTGAGTGCTGGTATGATACACGCATTAAAGTCTCTGTATAGGGACTCGAGTGCTTGTGTTAGAATCAACGGGGTCTACTCGGACTGGTTTGGCATTCCATAAAGGTGTCAGACAGGGCTGTGTAGCTTCCCCGTGGCTGTTCAACCTATGTATGGACAGCTGTTTGGAAAATTTGAATGAGTTAACCATCAAATGCCTTTTGTACGCCGATGATCAAGTCATACTTGCGTCGTCGGCGGCCGAGTTGCAAATGATGGTTACATTAATGAACTGGTCATTAAAAGAAAGGGGAATGAAAGTGAACGCAAGTAAGACGAAAGTGATGGTGTTTGAAAGAGATGAAAGCAAAACGGTATGTGAAATAAGAATAGAAGGAGAGTTAATTGAGCAAGTGGATGAGTTCATATATTTGGGATGTGTATTCAGCAGGGATGGGAGATATGATAAGGATATTGAACGACGAGTGAATGCAGGAAATAAAGTAAATGGGGCTCTACACTCTATTGTGAAAAGTCAGAATGTGTCAAAAAAGGCACGTATGGCAATTCACAGTGATGTATTAGTCCCTACTTTAACGTATGGTAGTAAAAGTTGGGTGTAGAAATGCGGTCGCTAAGGAGTATGTTAGGGCTGAATCTGAGTGACAGGGTGAGAAACTGTGTGATAAAATAAGAGTGTGGTTTGCAAGATGATGCGGTGACCAGGATTAAGAAAGGAATGCTTCGGTGGTTTGGTCATGTAGAAAGAATGAATGCGGAAAGACTGATAAAGCAAATATATGTTGCAGAAGTGAATGGAAGAGTCGGAAAGGGACGTCCTAGGCGGAAGTGTACCCTTAACCGACGAGCATGTATGCGTAGGTATATGGATGTGGAAGAGGCGAGAAAGGTATGTCAGGATCGTGCTAAATGGAAGTCTGTAGTCTCTGCCTACCCTCTAGGTGACAGGCGTGAGTGTTTATGTTATGTTCATAGAAGGGGTTGGGGTTAAGACCTAGAAAAGTGTAGAATGAAATAACTTTTCATGCTGTATATCAGAATAACTGATACAATATCCATAAGTCAATTATACAAATACAAAACGTGCATACTAGTCAGAAAAATTCTCTTAGATTCCATACACACCCAAATTAGTTTTAAAACGAAATCACAAACACTGTACACGAAACAAACATAAACTGCATTTACCAAAAGCTAGGACTAAAACTTATGATTCGAAAACTATTCAGTTTGAGGGAGCGCTATTGTACAATAGCCTACCGAATGAGGTATTTCATGAAAAATCGTTTTAAAAATTTAAAGTTAAATTAAAAAAGCACTGTCAAACATTAATTTAAAAACAGTGCTTTTTTAATCCTAATTTCGATATATTTATGTAACTTTATTCATATAAGGAACCATATTTAAATGTATTATTTTTACCAATTATGTTATTTTTAAGTCTCATAGAAGTGAATATTTGTTCTTCTTTTGAGATAATAAACTCTTTAATAGGTTTAAAGAGTTTATTATCTCAAAAGATACCTAATAACGATATAATATTTCACGTAGTTACATATTCGTTTATTGATTTCTTAAATAAACGCGATAAAATCCGTAAATTTAGTTTTATTCAATACATATTCGTTGTTAATATGAGACTAAGTGTTATTGTAATTTGAAAATGTGAACGTCTTCTTTAAAACTCAAGATTTTTAATCGTGAAATTATATTTAAATCTTACAATAATGAAAAGAAAAATGAAAATTAGGTGCAATAAATAAGGCTATTTAGATTTTTTTACGATAATTTAGGGAGTATTTCTACAGGTTCTAAGGTAAAACCAAAATCATAAGTGAAAACACTGGTTCCGTGGTAGTTCATGAGTATTTAAAAGATGGCGCTGATTTATTCGATGCTTAAACCATGAACAATTTTGTTCGCAGGGCCATATCTTGTCATTTATATCGATGGTTCAACTGGATTAAAATACTTTGAAAAGTATTCGTTATACAACATTACACTGACAGTCGTAACTTGATTGAAGAATGAAATGACTCGATGAGAAATTTAATAGATGATTTGTGACCCCATTATCTTGACATATTACACCACTTGCTATAAGTGGCAAATTTGCAGCTATAATTATCACTTTCCATGTTTTAAATTTCAAACATGGCCTCTGATAAATGGCAGTATAGTTTATATATAGTTTTTTTTAGTTATGCGACTAAAATAATAAAATGTAAAATAGACCCAGATTGGTGACAGGAAGCAGCGTCAATGGTGCGCGATATTTGATACTGCCGCCAAACCACTTACCAAACATGGATCCATAATCAGCTATTCCTATAATGTCCTCCCATTCAAGGCTCATGTTCAACAGGATACTGTTACATGCTAATAAATAGAAGATTAAAATTCAGAAATTAAGCTTGTTAAGAACAAGTCGTTACCTTGATGAATTTATTTTCGAACACAGTCGGCAGCGGGAACTCAAAGGGCTTCATGTTGTTATACTGGCGTACTTTGGCCGTGAAATCCTCATAGCTACCAGCAGGTTCTGACGACACCACAACCAACAATGACTGGGCTCGCTTTCTGAACTCTTCTGTGTTTGGACACACCAACTTCGATCCACGGTCTTCAGTTTCTGCAAAGTATCCAAATTATTTTTAATTCATATCATAAACTTTACAATAAGAGTGCATCTATGAATGCTTTAATGCTATACATATGTACATTTGAAATTCACTATAAGTAGAAAATGTAAAACATAGGTAATGTTTTCATAATGAATTCTTATGTTTACGCGAATACTACACATTGATTAAAATTCGATGGAGACTGACCCATGGACACGAGTCCCCCACGACCATGGGTGTTGTAAAGTGCTCGAAACATAGGGAATATAATTTTTAATATACGCAATAAAATTCGTAAAAACTAGTTTTATTTAAACATAATGTTTTATTAGTTTAAGAAGTTTTAATGAAAGTAATTTTATTATTTTACCAATTTGATCGCGTTTAATTTTAATCAGTACGAACTGCAAATAGCAAATAGAATATAAATTTGTAGGAGCTAAAATCCGTAAAATTAGTTTTATTTAATAAGTAGTATTCATGTAAATTTAAACAATTTCATTTAAAGGAAATGTTTTAAATGTACCCACCGTAGTTGCGGTATAATAGTATCCACTACCTCATATCATCTCGTGGGTGTCGTAGGAGGCGACACATGGAAACAAGCCTAGGCATGGGCAGCAACGTCTTCCTGATAATTACTCAAAATAATAAAAAATTGCGGTTGCCTGCCCGCCTACCAAGCGTGCCACCTATGGCAAAATCCCCCCTATAAGATAATCTATTGGGGAAGGCCTGGCCTGGCCTGGGTGGTAAATATCCTCCATATAAGGCTATTTATGGGAGAGGCTTACATCCGGCAGTGCACTTTTAATAGGCTGGAATAAATGAATGAATGAATTCATGTGTACATTACACATGAAACATTTAAAAATACTTACTTATTAAATACTTCAATGATTCTTTCGAAGAGTACGTCATCATGTCGACAAATATAACCATGTACTCTCCTTTCGCAAACAACTGTAAGGACTCCATGGCCGTCATCATTTCTATGAGACCCGACGTTGAACCCAAGAACACATATACTGAAAAAATAAATATCGTTTTTCCAATGATAAAGATCTATAAATAATGTAGTAATAACATCTGTTTTAAGTGTTTGTCCGTTTTGTTATATTTAACAATACATCTACGTATTACGAGTATGTTATGAATCAAAATCATCAACATTATACAGGATGGCTAATAGAACTAAATACGACAGTATATTAATAAACCATAACAATATAATATATAACTATCAGGTAATTAATTTATATAAATAAAGTTAAATATGAATGCAGCTTGTAACATAATTAACGCACTTTGAGAAAGTAGTTTGTTCGGAATCTACTGAATCGATTTCTATAATTTTTAGTATAGGTAATATTTTATCCCAAAGGTAATTGAAACTGCGTAAATTGCAGTCGCACTAAATCTGTACAGTCGGGGCAAACTGAAATGGACCGTAACTTAAGGCAATAAGACTTTTAAGAGTGCAGTTTTATTTGTATTATTACTAATTCTGTCATTCAATAAAAGTAAAGAAAAATGAACTTTATTTCAAGCACGTTAAAGTCTTTGTGTTCGTGGATTTGTACGGTGACCACAGCATTCTTCCGGAATTAGTATAACTAATTTGATAAATAACCAGTGCATAAAAATGTTTAACTAAAAATACAGTGTATTATTACGATTATAACATAATATACTAATTGTGGTGTCTGAGGGATATATATATATATATATATATATATATATATATATATATATATATATATATAAGATCATAAAGTTAACATAACAACAAGATGTCATAGGTTTATATATTACTGTGTTAACTATATAATTGTATATTATTGTGTCCAATATTAGGAGTACATAAGGTGGTTCATTGCTATGTAAAAGAGCGCCTCTCGCCATCAATGGTAAAAGTTTGGCGGGTTTAGAATTAAGTAACACCACTGTCTTATAAATTTATTAATAAATAATAAATAAAAAAAATATTTGCCGTCGCGTTGGTATAATAACCTATTGAAATACCAATATGCAGGTATTAGCATTTTAAATAAGTATTTTTTACTATACAAATAAATAAAATTGAAGTGTCTGTCTCTGTTTGTAATGTCAAAATGATATCTTTTTACTAATAGTATATGAAAGTACATACGGTACTTATAACAAACAAAATTCTGACTGCCGGTCTGTTTTTTTTTCAACAAAAAATTATGTCTTTCGGTCTACCTGTTTATTCCGGCTAATCTTCGAAATTGCTGGACCGATTTTGAAGGGATTTTCACTGGCAAATAGCTGATGTTATAGCAAGTCCCTTAGGATAATTTTATTGTGGAAAAAGAATTAGGGTTACACGCAACGCAAATTTCAAACCAATGAAATCTGTGATATATGTATAATTAAACATAGTAGACAGACCAACGGTGGTGCCTCACTCGCATTGGTCTGTCTGCCGGTCTGTCATCGGTGGCGAGCGGACGTTGTCGTTGTGCTGTGTACTGATATACACACTAGCCATCAAAAAAATCGGCCCACCTGCGTTTTTGCCGCAAATCACGTTTTTCTTAAGCTAACCAATCAAAACGTTTAAGTACTGAAATGTTTTATTTAACTTGTTTATTTACACCAATTTAATCGCAGTTACAACATCAAAATGATTTTTTGAAAGTAATTTTCATTTAAAAACCAAAATCTTTAATTTTTCACGATTATTTTTATTAATTTTCAATACGCTCTAGTTTTTATGTACTGAATTTTATGTACACAATTGTTGCAATTTAATATTGCGTATTCCCTCCTCTTACTCGAATGACAGCCTGCATTCGCCGTTTTAATGACCTTATCAAGTTTTGATGACAATTTTGATGGTCTCTTGAGGGATTCGGTTCCATTCTTCCCTAATGGCGGTTTCAAGGTCTCCTAATGTTATAGGGACTGGATTACGGGCTCTAACCTTTTGTTTTAGGGTGTCTCACATGTGCTCTATAGGGTTGAGATCAGGGGTTCTTGCTGGCCACGACATAACCCGAATGCCGACCTCTTCAAGGTAATCGGTTGTGATGCGCGCTACGTGTGGTCGTGCATTATCATGCATTAATTCAAAGGTCTCTCCAATATAGCCGGCGTATGGCACCACATGGTCTTCTAAGATCTCTGTGATGTAGCGTGCTGCAGTTAAAGCACCTCTTCGTATAAAAACCAGCTCAGTGCGTCCAGTGAAAGATATCCCAGCCCAAAACATTACAGAGCCTCCACCATAACTGACAGTTTCTCTTATGCAACACTGGGTATAACGTTCACCTGGTCGTCGCATGACATTACGGCGTCCGTCAGAATCGTATAAAGTCATTCAACTTTCATCACTAAAAAGAACTGACTGCCATTGGCCTATAGTCCAGTTGATGTGGTTACGCGCAAATTGAAGTCTGGCTTGTCGATGAGCTGTGGTCAATTGTGGTCTTGTTGCTGGCTTGTGAGGTCTTAAATTCTGCTCACGAAGTCTCCTTCTCACAGTACTATCACTTATAGCTACACCTCGATCTTCACGTAAGCGTCGCTGGAGATCAACACCAGATAGGTGCCGATTTCGTAGAGCTGATAACACTATAAATCGGTCATCCCTTTGAGTTGTCACCCTATGTCTTCCAGATCCAGATCTTCTTCGATACTGCCCAGTCTCCAGAAACCTTTGGTAAACTCGTCGTACTGCAGAACGGCTCAGATTTGACCTCCTGGCCACGACACGTTGACTTAAGCCTTGTTGCAGCAAAGCCACAACTTGGGCCGCCTCAGCTTCAGTAGTGTCCATTATTTTTAGACAAAGTAATCAAAGCTACAACCTCAGTAAATAAACTTAACGTTATTAACGAGAAATCGGACGGACTGAAATAACGGTTCGAATTCGTTCTGACGTAAAACAACGAAATCAGCACTCAACAGTATTTCTGTATAAAAAATTGTAAGGTACCTTCAAGTGCAATAAGATTTACGACAAACAAGGTGTCAAACATCATATCCGACCCTCAAAATAAAAAACAAATGTGTGAAACAGCTTTTAAGTGAAACAATCGATAAATTTCAAACAAAAAATGGGTGGGTCGATTTTTTTGATGGCCAGTATAGTTGTTTTACTAAAACCGTAGACTTAAATTAGTGGACACCACAAAATCCAATCGTAATAAATTCAACGCGGATGAAGTCGCGGGGAACAGCTAGTAGTTTTAAAAAAAACTAAACTAACAGACAAACTTACAGTCCACCTGATGGTTACCAGCCACTGCAGTCCATGGGCAGATGCAGCTAGCTTCAAACAAAAAGGCTACAGATGCGTTGTCACCCTCTCAGGGCTAAGACGGAATCCCTAACAGCTTGCAATTATAATGGTTTTCTGACCGGTATACATACAGAGTGTATCAGTACTAGTATCAAAAGATACTCCAGACCGAATTTCGGCCACGGCGGCCTGCCTCAACAGAGGCTAGCCATCGGCGCAGGACAGGATTATAGTGCCCAAGTGTATGCGCAAGCACAGGTGCACTATCTATTCCCTCACTCTGATAATCCGATGGGACGGTAAACCGACACGACCGGGAAAGATCAGGCGCAGGACCAACGGCTTTACGTGCTTTCCGAAGCACGGGGGTGAGACACCGCCGACTTCCCGACTCCGGGCAGCTACTGAGAATTTCTTGACAGAAAAACTCAATAATTGATTTTTGGCCCGACCCGGTTATTCGAACCCAGGACCTCATGATCAGCAGTCGCACTACTACGACCACTAGACCAACGAGGCAGTCAATATACACTGTATACTACTGATACACTCTGTACGTACACCGGAACCCAACAGTACAAGCAACGCATTTCCCGGCAGTAACGGCGTGAGAGCGTGGTACCTATGCAGACGGACTCGTAGCCAAAAAACGAGTCCCTACCACCTTGTAATAAAAGGTAAGGTAAAAGTTCTTAAAATGATAACGTGTCTTGTTCAACTTTATTCTCCAGCCAATTCATTAAATCCGCATTATATGTCAGGTACGTTTCTTTTGGAATCATGCATTAAACCGGTGCTTGGATTAAAACACAAAGCCCTCCTTTTAGAAGGGAGCTATAGAGCTATTCTCGGAGTTAGGCCCACATTTGATACATTCAAATTTATTATTATACATTTTCGAGCCCACAGCATTTGCGCATTTAATGAAAACACACTATGCCAGTACTAGAGATGCAAGTTGTATAAAAATATCTATATATCGATATCGAATATCGTATATCGAACATCAAATACTTACGAAATTAGGTAAAATGTTGTTGTTTTTGTAGATTAGAGAATCAATTTTTTTAAACAGTCGGTGCTGCCAGTAACAACATAACAGTGAGTTTGCACTGAGAAACATCCAACACGTAATGTTTTGAAATAAATTGCATAAAAAAATAACACAAAATGTTTTGTTGATGGTGGCGTTCGCACTCACAAAAACTGTGAAAAATTTTCAACAGATATTCAAACTTATCTTTCAACATGATAATATTTATACAAATTTGTTTTTAAATATTTTCTTTCTCTAGTTATAAAGATATAATATAGTTAAAGTATGTAATGTACAATAAACTGTCAAACATATTTCACTACAACATGTTCTTTGACTATGCAAACCCTTTTTGATACATTGACAGAAAATAGTGTTTAAAACATGTTTTTTTATGAAAATCGCATCAGTGCAAACTCACGGTTATACATAATCTCGTAAGTATTTGATTTTAGGCATGTTCTTTCGATATTTAGTTTTTTCGATATCAATATATTGATATTAACATATCTTCGATATCGATAAAAATCCTATTTCTCGATAAATATCGGTTTCCTGATATATCGTTGCTTCCCTAGTCAGTACGCAGAGCTGTGTAATATTCAATTGTATTTTCCATTGTCAATGGCACGCATGTGGAAAGTATACTTTGCTATTATGCAAAAATCTAGTACCTACGTTCCAATACTACATACGAAAATAATGCCTGGATACTAATTCTGACTCTTTGTTAGTATCATTTGAGGACTAACAAGATTTTTCTAGGCTAAACTAGTTTTTCATAATCCCGACAGAATTAATTAATTAAATGTCTGCCGGTTTTGCCGTGGCCCACACGCATCTTAATCTACTGTCACTAATATTTGATTTATAAATCGAGTACACAATTTTTATTTTTGCTCTCAAAAGTATTTTGCGTTAGACTCGGTATACGGTATAATGGAACTTTTACAGAAATCACGCGTAAGATTAATAAAGTAAGAACAAAGGGATCGATATGCTCTGAACAAAGTTATTAAATAAATAAATAAAACTAATGACATCTATCGCAACCTACTTCTTGTTCTGTTCTTGGTGTCCTGAATGAACTGATACCAGAAGCCCGGCGCGCAGCACGTCAACTTCTCTTCACAGCACTTGAAACCGTCGATCACGGGCCGCTGGTGATTCACGGTCATATTGTTTTTCTTAGCGTGGTTTTCGAGGGTTAACGCTACTGTCACCCAAGACTCTTCATATAATATGGAAAATTTATTCCATCTGTAGTACCGCAATAATGATATCACAGATTTTGTCGCCTGCAAAAAAAAATATTTTATTTTTATAATCTTATATTCTTTCCTCTCGCTACTTTGATCATATACTCAACTTAAATTAAATAATGTGTACCTGAGTATCAGGCGGTTCCAGTCTAGCAAAGTTTGATAATGTTGATGTTTGGTAGTCGGAACATTTCTGAAAAAAAAAACTTTATGTTATGAAGGCAGTGTCATTAAATTAGTATTGCAAGTACTAAAAAAAAGGATTTACCAATTAGGAGTCCCGAAGGACAAAGACCAATGATCTGTGTCTCTGCCTACCCTCTGTACACGTTTTTTTATAAAAATAAATTGACTCTGAGATGACTACATATATATACAAAGTAAGAGTAGATACGCCGTTTTTTTTAAACATGGATCATACCAAATTCATTTTCTTAAATTTATTGAACCATAAAATACTACAACTTAAATTCTTTTGAACTAATATAAATATTATATAAAAAGCAATGTAAAGCTAGATAGTAGGTAGGTAGTAGTAGGTAGTGAGCAGCTAGGCACAGGCCTCCCCTCATTTCTGAGAGGGTTTTAGGGCAAGGAAGTGTCCGCCGCGCTGCCCCAATGCGAACGTTGGCGAACTTCACATGTCTTCAAAATATTTTTTTTATTCCTCAGACATGCAGGTTTCCCTGTGATGTTTTCCTCCACCGCTGAGCACGTGGTAAATCAGCACTTAAAATTGCAATTAACAATTTCATTGCTGCTGGCGGGGATCGAACCCGGGTTACTCGCATTCTGTAATATTTACAGCGAGCGTTAACCATCTGAGCTACCACGACTCTATATATTATATCGTCATCACCTTATTCATATAGAAAATAGAAATATGTTTGAGAAATTTCAATGCAAATGGTTTTATGTAAGTGTCAAAATAAAAAGATTTTTCGCCCGTCCTTACTGAGCAATTACTTGCAGGCTCAGATTATTAAACAAAAATGTTTTTGTATAATCTGCTATTACAGGGCTCTAACCTTACGTATGAAACGGAAATGTTAGAATTTAAACCTGCACAATACAAATTAAGCTTAACTAAGAAATAAGATCGAAGTGCCCTCATTTAGTCAATAAATATATTGTTACACCACAATAACGCGCATGATCTAACATTGAGAGTTGCGGTCACTAAACTAAATTAATTTTGTTTGTCACTAAACTAAACTTATGTATATCTTTATAAATCACCCGGATTATTTATAAAAGAGAGGGCAAACAGCAAGCGGCTCACATGATGGCCACTGACTATCGCCGCCGATGAACAACTGCAATACCAAGGAAATTGGAGGTGCGCTGCCGGCTTTTTGAAATAATGTAAACTTTTTTCTTGACCATTTTTCTTGATGAAAATCGCTGGTGGTCCACAGAGAAATCTAAATCTAAATTTCTGGTAAATCGCAAAATGGTGGACCGCAAATTTTGTCGCAATGTGCGTTGGTGAAATTTCCTCCATGTACTCCGCTTAGTAAATGTGATAAAAAATGTAGAGGGATAAACTTCTCGTTGCAGCGCCAGTGAGTCGATTGGAAGGAACTCCGTCGGAGGAGCACGATAAGGTTTTTAGAGGCCACAATTTGGCTCGATATGTCGACGCCGAGAAATATGATACTGTCTAAGATTATTTCTTTTTTGCGGTAAACGCGCAACTACACTGGGGGTTCTTTGAGGGTTAAACTGGACAAAATTTAGTAGCCCCGGACTTTCTCTTACCACGCTTTCCAGGAAATACAAATACAGCCGGTGTACAAAGCATCACCAGTGCCATTGTCCATATAATGCATATTGATGAATATTACAGTACGCAACATATTATCATTGATATGTAGAAAAAAAAACAGGGTAGGTGGTAGCACACAGCCTTGTGGAACACCAGCATACAAACGCTTGCAGACTATAGACTAGACTATACAGCCTTCTTCATTATAAGCGGATTAATGATATAGGAAATTAACAAATAGGTATTTTTTTTTGTTTTAAGCCTCCGCGAGTGTACACAAATATCTTTAACAGTAGTATTTTGGGCGATTACACACAATATCTAATTAAATTTTCAACGCAATTGAATGAATGATGTTCCTATACCGTTCATTCGGTTCATTCATCAAGTAAGTCACTACTATCAATTATGAGTTATTGCAGTATTGTCAGTAGAAGCTACCTTTGATTAGTAGGACTTATCCCCTGGTCTGATCATCTGGTTGAAGAACGTTCTGTATGAACGGCCTCTCAGAGCGGTCGTCGAAGGCTGCTCGTCTACGACGACTAACGTATAGCTCATAATTCGTGGATTTTTTATAGTACACTGACACTTATGTAGATTTTCAAAAGAAAAATAAGACGAACAATATTTTTTTAAATATTTACTGGAATAAATCACTAACTATTAAACTCACGAGATCGACTTTAGTAACAACAATAATAACAAATATGCTTCTGATTAAAACTACTTTTACGGATTTTATCACGTTTTATTTATATTAATTTTAATACCCGACGTTTCGGGTGCTTTAGAGCACCCATGGTCACGGGGGACAGTCCCCACCGCGGTGTTTGTGTGCGTGCGACTAGACGTATGTGTCTACACTAGCTGCTAACTCAATGATAAAAATTCCTGAATAACCTACATGTATTGCAAGATATTAAAAATATTTTAAACAATATTAACTTCTCATTTATTCAATAAAAGAAAAAAATTGTTTTCTTATCGGTCACCACGCTCAAAAAGTGTAACTTGATTTAATATCAAAGACTTAACTGCATAAATAAAATAAATAAATAATTATAATTGCATAAGTTGATAAAAAATGCTATGCAATAGCTTTACCGCGGCAGTCACCGAGTGCCACACGTATTTTTATTACACACAAAGTTAACATTTTAAAATTACAATAAAATCGGCTTCTTTTTGCAAACCAAAAAATTTTGTCTTTTCAAAATTAAGAAATAAATAAATCTGACTTCAATATAGATACCCATATACTTATTAATAAAAGGTAAGAAATATTTATCAATTGAAAAGTAAAGTTTATCAAAAAGCTATTAATCAATACTTCTTGCTTTGATAATATGACCTAAGAAATGAAAGGCAGCCTAGTGTCATCATAGGCGCTACGAAGGTAGCTGCATATCATCCTACATGACGAAAATACTCTTTCAGATTCTACACTTGTTGGAAGAATATTTAACAAAACATTATATGCCCTCATTAAGGTGAAAGATCCAGGGTAGCCCGCGAAATTAAATTTTTTTAAGCTATTGCATAGCTTCTATCGCGGGCCTTGAGCGCGGGGACCGAATCCAGAAATTCCGTAACGAAAAAAAACCTCACGCTCCCCACTCCGACGGGCACGGAGGTGTGGCGTTGAAAGCCGTGCATCGTCTAACGTCGTTTCAGTTCGGCAGACTTCGGCACTCGGCAGAGTTCGGCACGGTGTTTGTGTGCGTGTACTAGACGTATGCGTGTACACTAGCTACTAACTCAATGATAAAAATTCCTGAATAACCTACATGTATTGTAAGATATTAAAAATATTTTAAACAATATTAACTTCTCATTTATTCAATAAGAGAAAAAAAAATTGTTTTCTTATCGTTCACCACGCTCAAAAAGTGTAACTTGATTTAATATCAAAGACTTAACTGCATAAATAAAATAAATAAATAATTATAAGTTGATAAAAAATGCTATGCAATAGCTTTACCGCGGCAGTCACCGAGTGCCACACGTATTTTACGTTTTTTGCAATTTGCAGGTCAGGGATTGTATGTTTAAGTAAATATGATTCGCGACCGTAACAAGTATGTGTTAACAGAATTATTCTCGAATACAACCCTCTAAGCTCATATAATTCTTTTGAATGATTTTTTCTGGAAAAAGCCATACAATAGAATTATACGAACTTAGAGGGTTGTATTAATTATTATAATGATTATAATTCTGTAAATGCATACGTACGTTACGGTCGCGAATCGTATTTATTTCAATATGCAGCCTGACATTGACCTGCAAATTGCAAAAAACGTAAGAAAATTTGAATTTTGTGGGCTACCCTGGCGCTGTCACTTTAAATGAATATTTTTAAATCGCCAGCTGTTGCGGAGAGTTACTAGTGTTGCCAGTAGTGATAATTAAATATTTTATTTCTTTTTTTTTTTTTTTTGAAGTTCCGGTCATGTTTTGAAATATTTATACTATTAAATTCTTTTTTATCTTTATTTTGTTTGTAGTATTCGTAAAATTCAAAATATTCGAATATTACTCTTCATATTATCCGAATAGTATCATCATCATTACAGTCCTTCACAAGTCCACTGCTGAACATAGGCATCCCCCAAGTAATGCCACAAAGCACGGTCCTGAGCCACCTGCATCCATCGACTTCCTGCATGTCTTACCAGGTCGTCACTCCATCTAGTAGGGGGTCGCCCTACACTACGCCTACCGGTACGAGGCTGCCACTCGAGAACCTTTCTTCCCCATCGGTTATCGGTTCTTCGAGCTATATGGCCGGCCCATTGCCACTTCAGCTTACTAATCCGTTGGGCTATGTCGGTCACTCTGGTTTCACTGCGGATATCCTCATTTCTGAGTCTATCACGCAGAGAAACTCCGAGCATAGCCCTCTCCATAGCTCGCTGAGCGACCTTGAGCGTCCTCATACGGCCAGCAGTGAAGGACCACGTCTCAGATCCGTAAGTCATCACTGGCAACACCCACTGGTTGTACAATTTAGTTTTTAGAGATTGAGGTATACCTGACGAGAAGATATGTCGTAATTTCCCGAACGCTGCCCAGCCGAGTTGAATCCGTCGATTGACCTCTCGGTCGAAGTTGGACTTACCTAGTCGGACTATTTGTCCCAGGTAAACATACTCGTCAACAACTTCGAGCATAGTGCTCCCAACAACTACCGGCATAGGTGTGACATGGACATTAAACATGATCTTTGTTTTGTCCATGTTCATCTTAAGACCTATCCGTTGGGAGGCACTATTGAGGTCATTGAGCATAGTGGTTAAGTCCTCCAGCGATTCTGCCATAAGGACTATATCGTCGGCAAATCGAAGGTGAGTGATGTACTCGCCATTGATGTTAATACCGTATCCTTTCCAGTCCAGTAGCTTGAAAACGTCTTCCAAAGCAGCGGTGAAGAGTTTCGGGGATATAACGTCACCCTGTCTTACACCTCTCTGCAGTTGGATAGGTTTCGAACTCTGGTTCTGTACTCGGATAGCCATCGTAGCCCTACTGTACAAACACTTCAGCACTTCAATATACCGATAGTCAACTAGGCACCGCTGAAGAGACTGTAACACCGCCCAAATTTCGACGGAATCAAAGGCTTTCTCATAGTCCACATACGCCAGGAAAAGTGGCAGATTGTACTCTTCGAACTTCTGTATAACTTGCCGAAGGGTATGTATGTGGTCTATGGTACTGAAGCCTTTTCGGAAACCGGCTTGTTCGGGAGGCTGGAAGTCGTCGAGTCTGCGTGCGAGACGATTCGTAATGACTCTCGAAAACAGCACGTAGACGCGGCTCAGAAGGGAAATCGGTCTGTAGTTCTTCAAGAGAGCGTTGTCGCCTTTCTTAAAGAACAAGACCACCGCGCTTCTGCTCCACGCCTCCGGAGTAATGCCACCATGGAGGACGGAATTGAAGAGCTTCTGAAGGACTTCAAGTACCGGTGTTCCACCCGCTTTCAGAAGCTCCGCTGTAATTCCATCCTCGCCCGGGGCCTTGCCGTTTTTAAGGTGGTGGAGAGCCATTCTAATCTCGCTCAGACTGACGTCCGGGATGTCATCGGAATAGTGTCGGATAAGACTTGCTCTTGGATCGTTACTCACACTTGCGTGTGGCTCCAACGATGATGTGTACAGCTGCCCATAGAACCTCTCAATCTCACTCAGAATCTCAGGTGTCCCGGAAACGATGTTGCCACACTCAGTCTTCAGCCTTGACAGTTGGCTCCTTCTGGCAGACAGATCTCTGGCAAAGACTTTGGAGCCCTGGTTCCGCTCGATCGCTTCTTTAATACGAGCGGTATTAAAGTTGCGTAAGTCTCGCCGCATGCATTTGGAGATCTGTCTGTTCAGCTGCCTGTATGCTGTCAAATCTGTTGACGATTGCAGCCTCATCTCCCGTCTAACAGCCATGAGATTAAGAGTGTGATCGGAGAGTTTTTGTGTTCTTCTGCGGTGGGTCTTGCAGAACTTAGCTCCGACCGCATGGACAGTTTCCACGAGCTTGTCATTCATATCGTCCACTGCATTGCAATCTTGTAGGCACTGAAAGCGGTTGTGTAACTCGAGCTGAAAGTTTTCGGGATTCTGGATTAGAGCACGAGGGGGACAGAGCGTTGACTTCATTAGACGAGACCTCTCCAACTTAACGTTTAGGTTCAGTGTGCCTCTAACCATTCGGTGATCGCTGCCAGTTTTCACCCTTGCGATCACTGAGACATCACTGAACAGTTGGCGTCTGGTCGTCATAATGAAGTCAATCTCATTTTTTGTCGAACCGTCGGGGCTCGACCAGGTCCACTTCCTGTGGGGCCGCTTCTGGAAGAAAGAGTTCATCATAAAGAGTCCCTCTTTCTCCATAAAGTCGGCCAGCTGCTGGCCCCTTCGGTTCCGTTGCCCTACTCCAAATTTCCCTAACTTCAGCTCACCGCTTTCTCTTGTGCCTAGTTTTGCGTTGAAGTCTCCCATCAACACCGTGTAGTGGGTTTTCGAATAGTATATGAGGTGAATATTCGAATAAAACGAATATTCGAATAGTAGAGCCCTACTTGTGAGATCCAACGCTTCCAAAACTTAAGGGTGTCCCTTCACCGAAAAAAGAGCCTTCTTCTTTTTGAGATGTATATTTTGAATATACTAAGTTACAATTTCTAAGGGGTTAAGATTTCTTAGAACCTCAACTTTGGGCGGTTCGTTCAATCCTAAGACCAAGAGAAAAAAGACCGGTCGTGCAATGAGTACTGCTGTCACATTTGTATAGATATGTAATATTTAGTATATTGTTGCGCGCCTAAGTTAATGTCTGGTACCTGGCACTAGCGCCATCTAGTGTCGGGTAACAGAGCGAGAACTTTCCAGAAAATGCCATAACTAATCTTTCAACCAACAGCGCCATCTAGTGGCGAGTGGAATAATTAGGCTTTCTAGAGGAGTCCACGCTCGAACTTTCCGCACTTAGTCGGGACCGGTATTTGCTGGAACGTTCTGGATGTTTCGATGGAAAAAGTGTATTTAAAGCCGCTGCAAGCCGGGGCAGTATTGAATTGGCGATACAAGCGAGGTTTCGGAGCGAAATAAAGTGAACTAAAGTGTTGAGTGTAATTAATTATTAGTGTGATTTAAGTTTTAATTGGTGTTCTCTAATAAAAGTGTAAATTTTGGTAATTCAATCGGCAGTTTTTATTGTCACGAACCCTAAGCTCGTAACAATATTATAAGTATACAATATTTCATTTTTGACTAGCGAAGCATTACCTTACCTTATTTAAAAAAGGTGATAAGAATAAAGCTTAAATAAATAAATATGGTCAGTGCCGCAAAATGTCACGTAGCAGTATCGTACTCAGTTAAGACGGGTGTTAAGAGGTTTATTAATGACCTTGATTTCTTTAAAAAAAATCTAATCGATCTTGCCTCTCGGTATTTCATAGGATACTCTTCGAAGAACAGTCACTAAGACCTAACCGTAAAGGGTAACTAAAAATACAAAATTCTCGCTCCTTGATCCGCTAAATTCGATTGATCTTATATTGCGATCATGATTACTTAGAATAATTTGTCAAATAAAATTGTATTCAATTCAGTATATATATATAGGAAACTGGGCGTAACACACACATAATATGTGTTACACATTAAACTTACAAATTATTTTAAGATAGGATCATTAAAATCCAATACCTAGTTACCTCTTTCACTAATATTCTTTGTTATACTGTGCTAATATTATATGACTTTTAATTAAAAACAAAACCACTCACATATGAGATCATAGGTAAATTTCTGGATTGTGCGATAATTGCTTCGGTGTGGCAACGTCCCTCGGGACCAAAGAAAGCGACCACACCGGAGCAGCTCATATCAGTGAGCAAGCGCGTGGCTGTCACCGTGTCACAACGTGTGTCGTTCCACTCCAGCAGCAGCTCCACGTCAGGCAATATATCCGTGCTGTTGTTAACCTACGAATAATAAACCATAACAATTAAACATATTTTATGGTTACACAAACAATAAACAACACAATAAGTAGAAATTGAGGCGTCTAATTATTATATCTAAATCTTTACACTAACCAGAGCACATATTTTTTAAATACATTAATAAGTTTTATTATTATTACATGGTTTATATTTATATTATCCAAAGTTTCAGTTTAATTATTGTTTGTAAATGGTTCAAAATAGTGTCTCATTCACATGAACAGTTCCTACTTTCCTATCGCACTCGAAACAACTTGAATATGACGACTAAAGATAGTCTATATATTATTGTGGATAATTTTTTATAAGTTAAGTAACTAATAAAATGTTACTAATCTGAAGTGCATTACTTTTACTATCTCTATGCAGTTTATGATTGACACATGGAATCTTTCGTGTAACCATATTAAGAAGTTATGCAGACCTCTTCAAGGGCCATGGAGAGTGCCCCGGAAATAGCCAGTCCCTGTCTGTCCCTGTGCTCGCCTTTAATGGAGGGAAGATATCCGATTGTGACATTGTACTTCTTAGCGGCGACTGAAGGCCCGGCCAGTAGACCCAGCGCCGCGAGTACAAACACCCGCGCGCCGTGCCACATGCCGTCGCCTTCACCGCGGGACCTCCAGCTGAAACATTCATATTCATAAATGTTTTACATATAAAGTTGCATCTGTCAAAGCATCAGGTATATAAAACTTTAAAGAGAAATTATGATAATTACAAATTATGTACCTGCAAATACAAATTAGAGTTTGAATTTATAATACTCGAAATTTTTAATTAAGATACTGGCTATCATAAATCTGTTAAAAACGAGAGGAGACAAGTCGAGAATGTATATAGGCTGTAATTTTACTTCTTTCTGAACTACTAGACTATAAAAATCGCTGTTTTGTAGTAAATACAGTTAGTTCTTTGTTGCGATAAAGCAATCAAGATTTAAGATTTGTTAGGGGCTAGGCCTAACCGATCGACATGAAACATTATAACACGTTAATGTAAATCCCATCAAAAACAGAAAGGTTTGGGATCTTATTCAATTATTACGCCCCGACTTTCTCCACATAAGCTCGTAAATAGTAGACTTCTGAGGGTTCTATCGGAGACCCCAAAATCTTCCGGACATTTTTTCAGTTGCCTCCTACACATCCATAAGTTAAGATAGGTCTTGAATTCTGACATATTTATACAGAAGAACTGTTATTTTTCATGAAATAAAAAACATAATAAAATAGGGGCTATTAAAAATATTGGCTGTGTAGGTAGTAGTCCAATATTGAAATTATTTAAGAAATGTAGGGATCAGCACCGAAAGATCCACAAGCTAAACTGGTGGTAAGCATTAGGAAAGATGTAACGCTTTGGAATTATTGTTATAATAAAATTCATTTAATTGTAATCTAAATCCACTCTCATCTTCTTCTGTCCAACAACTAGAATTGAAAAGATTTGCCGTAATTTCAAAAACTGAACTGGATACTTAGTTTATGTTGCTTACTGTTCATTTTGAATAATTTTCGCTTTATTTAGTACCCACCTACTTTATTTTTGGTAATTATACTTTATACCTTTACATACAAATAAAGTATACAAAAATACTTTATTTTCAACCTTTACTGTGATGCGTAAAATATACTCATCATGGGTACTTAACGATTTATAATTGCTGAACGAAATGTTACCTATCTTTACGATTCACGCCAACAGCGCCAACAGTGATTACGCTCGTGACCATGGGCAGCGTTAGCGTTGTCATCAGCGCGCTTACGGTTGATTCGGAACGGATTATTGGCGCTGACAGCGCTGTTGGCGTGAATCGGAAAGGCCTATTAGATGTCAGATGTCAGTTGTGACGTTTGTCACAGATCTCTCACTATCGACGAAATAGTACAAAACTGGTCCGTTAGTTTTGTTTATAAGTGAAGAATGCATTTTAAATTAAATATTAATGCTGAAAATGACGAGTAATTCTAATAGCGACACACCAGTGACTTCTAAAATAGCTAAAATAACTAAAAAAAATATTTATTTAAATTTAAACGTTGATTGTCAAACAAGCTTTATAACATTTAAAGACAACAAAAAATTGTTAGCATGTGCTAAAAGCACACAAAAATACGTGTTTAAAGCAATAAAAACATTAAAATTAAAAAATACTTTTTTTTTCTTCCTAATACTTTATTTTTTTCCTATCTCACCACTTTATAAGTTTTTTTTGTCAAAAAAAGTTGGCAACCCTATACCCAATACCCACATCACCCCAAGCCAATTCATGAATATCGTAAAATCCTGCCAGAGAAATAAATTCTCCCAAGAAATAACGACGTAGCTATTACAATAATTGCCAGACATAAGTTGACGACTGTGACAAATCAGCGGCCAACAACTAAATTGCACCTATTTTGTAACTACCAATTAATTATTAGCAAGGATTATAAATGTACGAAACCGGCGCCGTACGAAAAATCCAATTCATACAAGACGTTTACATTTGTAATGAACACATCACGACATCTCAACTATAATATAGTTGCCAAGGCTTATGCGAAGCGTGTAATGGCTGAATATTATAACATCGTTGAAATTAAATTAAATGAAATATTTTAAATTAAAATGTATGCCTTAAAAGCGTTGGATTTCACAAATCGTAAACTTTATGACTTAACTGAAAATTCCTATAATTAAGACAACGTTGGCTATGTTAATTAGTCAAAAGAGAAACAATTCACGTGATGTTAAATGGTCCACAGACAATTTTTACTTAATTCAGAGAAAGAAGGAGACTACAGGTGAGATTCATCGTCTCTCATTTTTGTTTAAAACGAAACACAACAGTGAATCAGTGAAAACACTCTTGTTTAGTGGCGCCCTCCCAAAAGGGCATAAATAGGCAGAAGAGAGACCTGACATCTTAAGATGACACATCGAAAATAAACGCTTAAAATGGCTCCGCCTATTCCACCCCGCGCCCCGCTTGCGACACTCGTCACTCGGTTCCTAAAATGTCAAATTCGCGCCAAATGCTCAATCGGAGGTCAACGTGCGATATACAGAAAGGAACAAGCAAGCGTCAGAGTCGCGACACACAATTTTTTTAATGTTTTTAATATTTTGCATCATTTATTGTCTTGTTGTACAATAAAATGTAACTGTATATGTCATTGTTGTCGTCATGTTAGTTTATCAAAAGAGAAATTAACAAAGCTTATATTCTTTTATTTATCGAAATAATAACTAAGTCATAATTTTTAAAACTGATTATATTGTATAACAGAATTTGTGACTTCGTTTATAATGATGTTTTATTCCTCTTCTTTTTAGGGCCATTATGCACATTTTCTTTATTTTTCTTTTTGTTACATTATTTGGATCTCGAATTACAAGTAAGTCGCGGTTCTACCAATTATGGTAGCAAGCAGTGAAAATAAAATGAAAGTAGTTTTTCTCCATTTCATCCTTCCAAAATTGATCATCCTTTACTACTGTTTCCACTTTGATTTAATTACTACTACTGCCAATAAGCATTTAGATATTTCGAAAATATGCAGTCTTTGAACTTGCATGTACCAATCAGAATTTTAGTTCACCTAGATCACACCACTTTTTTATTTACCCGCCAGAAATGCATTTTTTCTTGTATTATGACTTCGTCAATACCGACCTTGTATGCAATTATAGGACATATGATTTCAAAAAGGGTGTTACTTCCTATAAAACCGTCCGGCGTTGCTCCTAAAAATGGATGATTTTTGTCTATGAATAAACGACAAGGGTCTATCTTTAGGTCTAGTAAATTTGATATTGTTTACTGTACTAGCGCAACTGTTGGTTTTAATTCTTGTGACAATCTTCCCGAAATTAGAGGTTGAATAATAGAAAAAAAAAACTCGTTAATGTCACTAAGAATAATATAGAGTACGGTCACAGCGTCTCCATCGGATTACTGTCCTAATAGTGCGTATTGCGTTGTATAACGACCAACGGAATGTGACCTCCACCGACGTACAAAGCCTAGGTTGAAGCAGGCAAGCTTAATAGTGGATATAACAAGAGTGTGGAGTCCCGATTCCTTATCTAGATATACGGCCAGTATATGGATGTTGTCTATATACCTATATAGGTAGCGTTTAGTCAAATGTAATGTTTTATTCCCGCAAAAAATAACTAAAATGCAGCTATAAGCAACCACGCGTAGAAAACCTAATGATTCAAGTGTCATTTAACGTGGTGGAGTCATGCTGCAGTTATATTATGTATTAGTAGTTGTAGCACGAATGGGCCTGCTCGTCCGGGGAAGGACCACGCTCTCATAGAATACTAGCGTAAAAAAGTAGCGTAATGCTGCTGTGTTTCGTATGGCGAGTGTAGAGAACCGGAGACCCTTTTTACTGGAAACGAGGCATTCCATCTTAGTCCTCACGGGTGACAACACATCTGCATTTTGATTCGTAATCGAGGATAGATGTAGATGTCTATGGGCCATAGCATCCACTTACCATCATGTGGACGGTGTGCTCGTTTGTCACCCTATCCTATAAAAAAAATCATACCCCGATACGTATAATGCAGAGGCTTATTTTATTTATATACGATTTTGTTATCTATTCCCTTGTAGGTAAGTACTAAGTGATTTGAATTATCTAAATGGCCAAGTTGCTTGAATCATACCGAATCTAGGTAGGCAGGTAATGTTCTTTTTAATTAACTACAGACATACGTGACACTAAAATGCTATTAAAATATTTACAATGATATTATTTACCTTGACTTGTTCGCCTCCGTCATTCTAAGAACATTTTTTTTTTCAAATTGCTCTTTCCTTTTTCTCCTATATTTTTTCTTAGTATTCCCACTACCACAAACAAATTATTTAAGTACCTACTTATACTAATAATAATTTCCTATTATAATAATAAACCTATTCTACAACTATAGCTATTTATAATAATAAAGATATATCTATAAGAATAGAGAGTACAAGGAAACGACTTGCGTAGGTCCTCCGTTGTAGCGGCCTCTCGCCGGACTGGCCCACGTTAGTATATAATTTCTATAAAACTTTAAAACGTCGTCATAAGGTCTAAAATTGCGTAGCGTCCGCGACGATTAACACGCTTAGAAATTGTCAGAATCTTAAAATGTTTTTAAAAAATCAATGATTTAAATAATCATAATAATGCGCAACTAAATTATAAATATTGACGTTACGAATACATTTGAGTGATTCCCAAGCATATAGATTAAGTAATTTTGTTGTAATTTCAACTATAGTGATTTTTTGAGGTGTTTTCGCAAATAATTATGATCGAGTCAAAATTATACAATCGTGTTTTTGAGCAAGCAAATTCAAGATAAAGACATGAATTTACTTATATCAAAATTTCAGTTTCGTTAGTCGTGTCATAGACCCATACTATTCGATGAAAGGAGGTGCATTTTATCAAGGTGTCGCCTTAAGAGGATACCTTGAAAATGAATCGTAGTTTTGGGGGCGTGGCTTATCCCTTTGTCGCTAAAGCTCACGGACGACTGAGGGAGTGTCAAAGTGTGAAAGTGATGCAATGACTTCATTATACGCAAATTATAAGACAGCTATCTATACCGAGCACGCGCTGGCAGAAAACTAAGTAAGTGCCAAACAGGGATATCATATGGCAGCGTTCAAAGAATCCTTGCGAACGAGTTGCATATGAAAAAGGTCCCTGCGCGTTGGGTACCCTGAATGTTAACCGACGAGTAAAAGAAAAATCGAGTTGACATTTCGAGGGTCAATCTCGAAAAATTCCAAGCAGATCAAGAAAATTTTTTGTTCCGTTTTGTGACTATGGACGAGACCTGGATCCACCATTCCTGATCCTGAAACGAAACAACAATCGATGACTTGGAAGCGACCCTCCTCACCGACGCCAAAGGAATTCAAAGTTTCAAGTTCGGCGGGAAAGATTATGGCATCTGTTTTTTGGGACGCTCAAGGCATAATTATGGTGGAATATTTGGAAAAGGGAGCCACTATTACGGGCTCTTACTACGCAGACCAAATAAGAAGATTATGGGAGGCCATTAAGGAAAAAAGACGCGGCAAACTGCGAGCTAGTGTGCTGTTTCATCAAGACAACGCACCGGCTCACAAAGCCGCAATTGCGATGGCTGCCATTCAAGAAACGGGATTCGAACTGCTCGAACGCCCTCCCTATTCGCCAGATCTAACTCCTAGTGACTTCTACCTCTTTCCTCGGCTCAAGGAACGCCTCCGAGGCAAGAAATTCGAAGACGATAGTAAAGTAATCGCCGCTGTTGAAGCGTTTTGGGAGGGTCAAGACAAAGAATTTTTTCAAAGGGAATCCTGGGTTTAGAAAAAAGATGGACTAAATGTATTGATTTGTTAGGAGACTATGTAGAAAGATAAATTATTATTTTAACTTTAATTACCGTGTTTTATTTTCATTATCATTACTTTTGGATCACCCCTTGTAGCTCAGATGGATGCGCTCGCTGTAAATTTCATATTACGCGATCAAACCGGGTTCGATCCCCGCCGGCACCAATGAAATTGCTAATTGCAATTTTAAGTGCTGAACTACCACGTGCTCGGCGGTGAAACCTGCATGTCTGAGGAATAAGAAAAAAAAAATACTTCGAAGACATGTGATGTTCGCCAACACGCATTGGGGCAGCGCGGCGGACAATTAATTTCTTACCTTAGGGTAAGGAATTAAATGTCCCTCTCAGAAATGAGCGGAGGCCTGTGTCCAGGAG